GTTTCATCAAAAACAGTTAAGAATTGAGAAAGATATAACCAAATCCATATTTTACCCAAGTCTCTACAAGATGTAATTCGGTTTCAGTCATAGCTATGTCAAACCTTCATTAAATCTCTTCAAAATTGGTAGAATGACGAGTATTTACATGCTTTACTATTTTATATAACCCTTTATTTTTCAGAGTAATAATAGTTGAGATACAAATGGTTTATATTGGTATAATAAATTATACGCAAAAAAACCGGTCTGGATCGGTCTGAACCGGCTCCATAGACCAAAAAAGACCGGTCCTAGGTGGTTCGGTTCGGTTCCCTCAATATCTGGGTCAATCCTAGACTGGTTGCGGTCCACAGTTGCATGTTTTGGGGGCAAAAAACCAGACTGAACTGAACTTGCGAACACTACCTATGCCATCCGGCATATGAATCGTGTCCAGGTTGAATTGTCAAAGGATCCCTGAGCTCCAAGTTGGACTGAAGGCAATGATAGGGTGAGTCTTCAAGTGAAGTTGAAAGATATTGCAAGAGCAAACGAAGTAGGCAATCTCGTTGTACATGTTGGGCTAGAAAAAGCATTCAGATTCACACTGTACCATTAAGTATGTCCTTGACTCCCTCTAGTACACATGTCTACAAAATTAAACAAAAATGAATTTTCTTCCTCCTTGTACTGAGTAGATTTATGTAATCTAGAAGGGTATTCCTACACAATTGTGGTTGAGGTTTCAGAATCCAGCATCAGAATCAGAATCTGTAAATGAATTATGAATCTTCTTTGACCCCAATGGTGGGGCTAGTAGCATCACAATTCACATCTGCCCCCTTCTCTATCAGCAGCTTCACAATCACCTCATGACCTCTTACAGATGCTACCTGGAGTGCATTGCCATATACACCTCCCTGTGCATTCACATCTGCCCCCTTCTCTATCAGCAGCTTCACAATCACCTCATGACCTTTTGAAGATGCTGCCTGGAGTGCATTGCCATATACTCCTCCCTGTGCATTCACATCTGCCCCCTTCTCTATCAGCAGCTTCACAATCACCTCTCGACCTGCTAAAGATGCCACCTGGAGTGCATTGCCATATCGTCCTCCCTGTGCATTCACATCTGCCCCCTTCTCTATCAGCAGCTTCACAATCACCTCATGACCTCCTGAAGATGCTGCCTGGAGTGCATTGTCATAGAATCCTCCCCATGCATCCACATCTGCCCCATTCTCTATCAGTAGCTTCACAATCACCGCTGCCTGGAGTGCATTGCCATATAGTCCTCCCTGTGCATTCACACCTGCCCCCTTCTCTATCAGCAGCTTCACAATCACCTCATCACCTGCTGAAGATGCTGCCTGGAGTGCATTGCCATATAGTCCTCCCTGTGCATTCACATCTGCCCCCTTCTCTATCAGCAGCTTCACAATCACCTCATGACCTCCTGAAGATGCTGCCTGGAGTGCATTGTCATAAAATCCTCCCTGTGCATCCACATCTGCCCCATTCTCTATCAGCAGCTTCACAATCACCTCATCGCCTGCTGAAGATGCTGCCTGGAGTGCATTGCCATATAGTCCTCCCTGTGCATTCACATCTGCCCCCTTCTCTATCAGCAGCTTCACAATCACCTCATGACCTGCTGAAGATGCTGCCTGGAGTGCATTTCCATATCGTCCTCCCTGCAGATTCACATCTGCACCATTCTCCAGCAGATGTGCTGAAACTTGTTGCAATCCAGCCAATGAAGCATAATAAAGGGGTGAGGGGACTTCAGCTTTTGAAAAATCCTGACGCATGTCATAGTCATCAATATCATAAATCCGAATCCAATTTGCAAAGGCAGCACTCTCAGTGGTGAAAAGTTGCAAGATCAACTTCAAGGGGGCAGGATCTATCCCCTCAAAAGTTGCATGATCAATCCAATGCCAAGCTGCATACCGTGCAAGTGGCGAGGATGCAAGCATAGCCTCCGTCAGGGGTGTAAAATTGTCAAACTGTAGAAGGTAGGCAACAGAGATCTCCGAGATCTTCACATGAGCGGCTTTCTCGCTGATGCTGAAATATTTCTCAATATGGTTGGAGAGAAGGTACTCTTTGACAGAGAAATGAGAGAGCTTCAGGGTACCTGTCTTCACCGTCAACAAAAGCAAAAACACCGGAATAAGCCAACATTACGTACCACCTGATTCGGTAACGAGACTCGAACACCTCACTAGCACATGCCGCGGATCGATATACCGTTTCGACGAGTTAAAAACTGGACTATCTTCTAAGGCGTAGTCTACCGTGATCGTTTCTGCAATTTCTACGATTTCCATTGGACGCTTGGAAAAGGCCAACCACGACAGGAATGTCCTGGCATCGGCACGGTGCTTCTCATCGATTTTCGCCAAGATTCGGCCATAGATTTCGTCCAGACCCTTTGGCAGTTCTGCAAGTTGCTTGGTTATTTCATCCCTGCTTGAACACTTCGCCAACTCGGCAAGCTGTAATGCGACCCATCGAAACCTTGGGGCAGTATCAGCCACAATGGAATGGAATATAGAGAGAATCTTACGATCCCTCCGCGCGTGCTCTCAAACTACGTTCCATTTCATTTCGAGTAGTTTCATCGTACTTTTGGAATTGTAGTCCCATTTGATGCTTGAGGTATGTCGTAATGTCCTCGTTTGCATCCGCCTCACCAACATCAACCGAATGTTCATCAAGCACCCCAAAAACCGCCTCAATGTCTGGCTCCGGCCGACTGGTGACCACGATGTGAAAGCGTCTTCCCATGTTCCGATCTGTATGTGTGACGAGTTCATTGACCCAGTCCAGTGTCTTTTGGCGGTCGTTACACTCGTCGAGGGCATCAATGACAACATATGCATCCGATAATCCACTGAGAATATGTCGCAGAGTATCCTGAAGTTGATCGTCCAATGGCTGCTGATCTCCACATTTTTCGTGTAGTTCCTTCAATTTCACGGGTATTCCGCCGTGGCGTGTGTCAGATAACTGGGAAATGAGCGATCGGATGAGCTTGTTGTGAAGCTGTAGTTCTGTCTGGCCATCCCTTCCGTCGAAAAAGAAGTATGCGATTCCAAGTGATTGAGTTGGCTGAGGGAGTTTATCAATGATCGAAGAACTGGGAAGATAATTTTAATTTGGACCGTTTTCTTCAAGAGGAGACTCACCACAAAATGCTTTTACCACATCCAGCTATGGGGTTGTTGAACATGTGAATTCAAAAGGATGAATGAACGGAGGAGCTTACGCTTTCCCTTCACCCAGAGAAATCCGGGGTTTTCTTGCCACTTCAGGAATCGTTCGCCTTCGAGAAACCAGGAGCAGGTGTCATCTTGACGTTTTCCGTGGGCTTCATTGCGATTCCTGGAGCTGTCGGGTGGGGATAGCCACTTATGAATCTTATCGGCTGGGTGAATTGAACGAATTATTGTCATTGATCATCGAAAAGAAAAGGAGCTCGACTATACCTAACTGGCGGTCCTCAATCCTTTGTACTCGAATGTTCGTGTCAACAGCGATTCTAAGGGACAGCTTATCCTTCAGGACGATCCACTTATCCCGGCATTCCTCAATACGAGCTTTTAAATCGACCGAGATTCTGACAGTGCGCACTACGAACAAAGCATCATTAGACCCCGCTGGATGGTGAAGGTGAAGGACCGAATTACCCGCAAAATGCAATTTTGTATATTCTTGAATGAGCGCTGCCACCTCTAGCGATTGACGGTTGATCTCTTTGATGACGTTGGTCGTGTCCGGAATCTCTTTGAGGTTTGGAATGGCCTTTGTAATACCGAGTATTTCTCGCAAGGTGGTGGCTAGTTTTCGTATGGATTCATCTTGGATATCGGTCTCCCTTACCGCCTGCTCGATTGGTATATGTTCGTATCAGTTCATTAAACATTTCGTCGGAAGACTCACCTGGTAAAGACTAGATACAATGGACCATGATGCCTTGAGTATCGGGTGCGCCTGATGACCAAAGTCAGCTGACTTACTATGTGGCGAAAACACTTGTTTCGTACCTCGGAGAGCTTGTCCATGATAGTCTTGGTTAACTGAAGCACTACTCCGAGTGCCGAAACAGTGCCTGCTACAGCGTCATTGCTTGACAGCCGACTAACATCGGCGTCCACTTTGTCCAAGAACTCTTTCACATTGTCGCCCGATCCGGAATTAGGAGACAGAACAATGTGCATTTTTGCAGGAAAAGAGTTGCCCTTCTTATCGGTCAGATCGAAAGGGGCGACTAGTTAAGTCATCTTCAGTTTGAATAAATGGATATGGCTGATACTGTACTCACCGTTTTCGAGGAAGGCTACAACATCCGTCTCATACTGTCCAACCAGACGCTCGAACCATCTGAGATTGATCTTGAATCCACGGTAGAGCTCTACCTTCATGACTGACGACAGCGGCAAGAACCAGCTGATTCCAAGACGTGAACATCGACCAAGACAACAGTCACAATGCGAAGACCTACGTTTGATTGTTTGTATTCCATTTCCATTTGAGCACTGACGAGCTCGGCTTGGACTTTGTCGATTTCGAAACCTTCTGGCCATCCACACAAAGCCGTACAAAATAATATGATCGTCTTCTCCGTTCCACAATTCCCTCCACTTGAACTTCGATATCTAAACAACTATCAGTGGAAAGGAACGGCTTTATAGCTAGCTGCTATCGGGTTCTTACCTGTTGGGATCGCGCCAAGTAGCAAAGATTTATCGGTCGCCATGTTGACAAGAAAGATAAATTCGAGGGTATTGAAAGAGATGTGAAGTGCGAAGTCGATCCTGACATTCACTGCCTCGTGGTATGTAAGGGCTGTGTCAAGGTGAGTGTGTCGGCCCGATACGTAGCGATACATACTTTCGGATTTCATTCCAGTCACGAATCAAATCATCGGTGAGCTACTACTCCAAACACATATTTATTGCTATTCTTCCCAGCATGGTTTCTCTGGTCTGTTGAGGTTTCGGCCCAAGCAGATGTGCACAAGTTTGAGTGAGCTTCACAGTGGCAGCTTCGAAATAAGTATACGAATACTTTGGTCAGCTTGTCCTCCTCGAACTCCGCTTCTCCGAAATGCGCGTAATACTTCCCCTGGCACGACACATTCACTTCAAAAGTCATAACCCAAACATCTATCGCCTACGAAAAAGCGTCCATTCTCTTCCAGATCGCCGTCACCCACTCTGCCATCGGGGCCACCTCTCAGAGCAGGAGTGTCCCCGAGGGGCTGAAGCGCGCGTTTTACTACTTCAAGACATCTGCCGGGATGCTGAGTTATATCAATGAGAAGTTATTGCATGCGCCGAGTACGGATTTGAGTAGGGAGGTGGTCAAGTTTTTGATTGAACTCGTACTCGCCTGGCAGCCGACAAAGGTGTTCCTGGAGAAGACGATGGACGAAAACAAGGGGAGCGCGAAGTTGGTGCCCAAGATCGCAGCCTGGGATGTATACGTCGCTTATTGAGCGAATTATGGAGTTCATGGGATAGGAACTGGGTTACTCTCATCCAAGCAAGCTCTCTCCCCTCTCATCCTCATAACTTACTAACTGGATACACAGATCAAATCAAAATACTACTCCTCCGTAGTCCAATACCACCACAACTTAGCGTCCAAGCACGGAGACGCCCTCGCCCGATTCACACTCTCCTCCACATTCTTCGTATCCAACCTCCCCCAAACCTTCCCCGACTCTGGGTATCCATGATCGAAAAAGCCAAAGCCCACCTCCTCATGTGTACGGACCGGAAAGCGAAGCTAACGATATGATTTACAACGCTGTCGTACAGATGCGTTGGCAGCGATAGGCTTGTTCCATGTCGAGAGTGGGGAATGTGGGCGATGAGGGTGAAGTACCAACATCTGGACGCAAGATCCTAGCGCTGGCCCGTCCAAATCCCTCCGGCAAGACGCACTGGAAGCAGCAGCAGCGAGCAACGCGCAGATACAGGTGTATTGGGATTCTTTGAGGAGTGGTAATCAGCTCCTGCTCAATCCGAACGTGGAGCGGGTGTTCCATGAAAGGGCTGGCGATGATTTCAAAGGAGAGTGAGGATCTGAAGGATCTGAAGGATAAGGTGCTGCTCTTTGCCTCTCTCCTTCATCCTTTTCCATTGCTCATGTTGTTTGTGTAGGTCCAATCAAACGACGTCGCCCATCTCCTCCTCTTAAACCGTAAAAACACAGGTGTAGAGCCTGCCTTATTCGCAGCTGAGCTGGAAAAGTTTAGACCGTACCAGCAAAGCCTCGCATCGACCGTCTATCACCAAGAGGTTGCCCTTTCATAGGTGACCACCCTACGGAAAGGGCTCAAAGAACTAGCTGGACGTGGGGCGGGCGCAAAAAAGTGGGAGGAGAGGGAAAAGAGGAAGGTGGAGACTGTTAAGCGGTTTGGGAAGGCGAGGGATGTGTATATGGAGATTAGGGTTGGGTTGGCGTACGTTTTTTTTCTTCCTTTTCAAAGCCTACAGAATACTGATGATGTAACGGGATTGTAGGAAGGGGCTTCAATTCTACGCGGACCTGACAGAGTTGACGGTGACATTGGGCAGTGCGACTCGGTCCTTCGTTTCTGAACGGACTAGGAGGGAAATTGGAGGCAGAGAAGAGGTTGTCAGCAGTAGCGGCCACTTCACCGCCTCCACCACTCGCTGCGAAACCCCCTCTACTCCCGCCACCGCCATTCGAACCCTATAATTTGGATGGCGCATTTGATGCCTTGAAATTGGGGCGAGGGTCTCCACAACAAACACAACAGCAGTGGCAGAAGAATGGTGGTACACCGTCTTCCCCACCTCCTCCCCCAGCACCAAACAGGAACTCCTACGCAAGCCCACTGCAGCCGCCTCTCGCTCCGTACGGCGTCTCCTCACCAGCACCTGGCTCTTCACCATATCTAACTCGCAAGCCTGCCCTCCCACCGCCACCTTCTTCCCCGCCCAGATCGAGTTGGTTCTTCCCTCCTCCCATTCCGCCTCCATTTTCTGGTCAGTTTTAGCCGAGGCAGGATCCGTATGCCAATTTAGGAGGGTTCCTTGGAACGGAGAGTTATACTCCGATTCGTCGGCTAGCAGGGCAGAGTGTACCACCGCGACCACCGTGGCAGAGTGTACCACCACAACCACAGGGTGCACTACCGCCATCATAGGGGCAGAGTGTGTTACAACCACGACTACCGACTGATCGCCGACAACTACCGCCACCTCGTCCCACATTCCCTGTAGGTGTTTCGCCTGTCCGGTCACCTCCTCAGTAATCTCAACAAGCCGAACAGCAGCAGCAGCAAGAAGGATACGGACAACGACCCCAGATACCAGGGGACGGGTTCCATTATCTCAGCCTGATATTTTCCACCGTGGATTGGCTACGAGATATGGCCGGCGCAGGCGTTCGAGAATTCGTATTATCCGGGGGTGACTCCTCGCCAGCAGTATTGGGGCCAGAACCCGGGTCAACCGCCTGGGGAGTATGGGCCTCGTAGTAGGTTGGGTGACATGTCACATTGTGGAAGGATGCAAGGAAAAGGGAGATGGGGAGGGGGTTGTTGTTGAGTGCGGTGTTCTTTTTTTCTTGTAAGGTAGAGCGGACATTGCGATTTGCAAACGATGTAGAGTCGGAAGGGAAGGAAGTTCAGTACTCTAATGATAATAAAAGTGTTCGGGTATACATCTAGAGACTAGGCCTATACAACACCCTACTTGCATCGCACCACAACTTCCTCGTTCCAACTCATCCCAACCTCAATTCTTCTTGTCCTCCGGCTTACTCGCACCTCTAAACCCATAGAGCAGACCTCTTCCCCAATCCTCCACGCGACTATCCAGGACACGGAACCCTGCAAAAAGACGCGCGACTTCATTGTTCCACTGTGAAGTGAAGTATGAGGAGAATGGGTGTGGTGAGATGCGGGTGGCTGCTGAGGGGGGTGCTTGTACTAGGGCGGGTGTTTCGGTTAGGCGGAGGCTGAGGGTGTGCAGGCTGTTAAACAAGCAGGGTTGGTTGGTTATAACTTGAGAGGAGAAGGTGGGAGTGAGGACGAGGCGTACTCTCTTCGCAGTTCTTCAGTTCTATTGAGAAAAAGGTCGAGGTGGGCTCAGGCGATTGAAGTGATTTAGGACGAACCGTTGTTGCATGAGGTTTGAAAAACCATAGTACACCTAGCTTGCTCATCTTTTCAGTTTCTCGTAAGTAGCAAACACTTGCGAGATACTCACCCCTCCAGCAATGAGAGCGCCAGAAACTGGGCCTACAAGGGCAGACATAGCGCCCGACGATGATGGTAAAGCTGAAGAACGAAAGTTTGTCCGGAGAATTCCGTGAGCTCTCCACGACGCCCTTTTTTTCTCAGCCTCCACCCAAGTCTACGAAATTCACAATCAAACAGAATAAATTCTATTCCTCCTTGTACTTAGTAGATGCTACAGTTAAAAGCGTAACGGGCAGTTACATAGCCTAAGTTTAATTATTCGTTCTACAAGAGATCCAACACTTTTGGATTTTGAGAATTCTGTATGTATCTCATCCCACCATCTCCATGCCTCCAAAAAGTTCTAATCAACCCTCGAACCTTTGCCGCTCAAAGTACGTAAAGTCCCACTCGCCGCTGCTCAGCGCATCCCCAGAACCTGCCCACAAATAAACGTACGCCTCCACCCGTGTGCCATCTTCCTCGCCGATAGCTTCAGCCGTTGTCCTCGTATACGTCTCACCTTCGAAATTGTCAAGTTTGTTCCACTCCGCTTGGTTATTGGGAAATACGAGATAACCGTCCACGATTGAACTTTCTGTGGCGCGCACGAGGGCGGGATAGTCGGATCCAAGGACAGGGTGGCGTGCAAAGCCGGATATGTGTGCCCTTTTCCGCTTGGAGAGGACGGAGGAGGCATTAGCGGACGACCCTGTCAGGACCCATGCAAGGAGAGGTGCGGCCATGAGCGTGCCGTAGACGAAGATTTGTAGTTGCTGTGGTGATTCTACCGGTCCATCTCTTATAATTGCAGCCATAGACAGCTAGTTAGGAGTGATCTATGTACTGATCAGCGAGAGAGATAATAAGAGGAAGAAGAAAGTTACCAGGGTGCTTTGAGGTTCGTCTGAATAAATGACAGGACATTCAACGCGAAAAATCTGAAATGTGAAAAGATGTTTCAGACAGGATGAAGATGCTTGGGAAGAATGAACTAACCTTGCACTCAAAGATAAATCCCGAGCGTGGATATGATGTTATAAACCAAAGTTCTCTGAAGTGAATGAGGGTCAATGAGCCTCATTTCGTTTCGACCAAGGATGTACTTAGTAGTAGTTCAAGTCATAGTTTCAAATTGGTCACGGTACCGAAAATTGAAAATTTTGGAAGACAAACACTTTCGCGCTTTTGAAGATTATGCATCGAATATGTGTTACGGTGCTAGCAACAGTCCAAGTAGTCACTATACAAAAATCTACAAACGAGGGAGGTTAAAGTTGGCAATATAGATATTAAAGTTTAAAAGCAGGAAACTATCAGCTTAGAAGTCATCCCCTCCGAAATAATCACCTCCAAAATCGTCGCCTCCGTCATCAACAGGCTGGGGTTCCTCAACGGGAGCTGGCTCCTCAACGGGTGGATCGTCAACAGGAGCAGAGTCAACGGGAGCAGGATCTACGGGGGCAGGGTCGACAGCAGGCGTAGGATCGACAGGAGCTGGGTCAACGGGAGCTGGGTCAACGGGAGCTGGGTCAACGGGAGCTGGGGCGGTATCAACGGGGGCGGGATCAGTTAGAGGAGCCGGGTCAACTGGGGCAAGATCGGGGGTAGGATCAACGGGTGCAGGATCAGTTGGAGCAGGATCAGGGGTGTCTGTCGGAGGATCAGTCGGTGTAGGGGAATCTACAGCTGGATCAGTCGGGGTGGCGGGATAAGTGGGAGTGGAGGGATCAGGATCGGTTGCTCCGGGGCCGTCAGTGGGCGTTGTGTCAGTAGGATCAGTGACAGGAGCAGAATCCGTGGGGGTTGGGTCGTCTGTTGGGGCTGGAGAGTCAGTGGGGTCGGTAGTGGTGGTAGGAGCATCAGTCTGGTCAGGAGCGTCGGCAGAATCAGTGGTGGTTGGGTCATCTGTCTGGGTTGCAGTGTCAGCAGAATCGGTAGTGGTTGGGTCGTCTGTCTGGGTTGCAATATCAGCAGAATCTGTCGTGGTAGGCTCGTCTGTCTGAGTTGCAGTGTCAGCAGAGTCTGTAGTTGTGGACTCGTCTGTCTGGGTGGCTGTATTCGCAGAGTCCGTAGTAGTTGCACCGTCGGTTTGGGTAGTTAGATCAGCAGAGTCTGTAGTGGTGGGTTCGTCTGTCTGAGTGGCAGTATCAGCGGAATCTGTGGTCGTCGCGTCTGTTTGCGTGGCCGTATCAGCAGAGTCCGTGGTAGTAGATCCGTCAGTTTGAGTTGCGGTATCAGCGGAATCTGTGGTCGTAGCACCATCGGTTTGGGTAGCGGTATCAGCTGTGGTGGTTGCAGGATCGGTCTGGGTAACAGTATCAGCAGAATCTGTGGTGGTGGCAGGGTCTGTTTCCGTAGTTGTATCAGCAGAGTCCGTGGTAGTGGCAGGATCTGTTCTGGTTGCAACATCTGTAGAATCTGTCGTCGAGGGAGCTGTCGTCTCTGAAGGATCGGTGGTCGTTGGTGTTGGTCTGGGGCCTATGATAAGAAATCGTCGTAAGGAATGGAAAACACCGCATCAGGGGAAAACACAAACGTGGCTTGCTTCCACCTTGGCTTCCACCTTTACTTCCGCCCTTACTTCCGCCCTTACCTCCACTACTGCCTTGTATTTTAGCAACAAGCGCTTTACCAGCAGCCTCGGCTACCTTCTCGGCAGCTTGCCAAAGAGCTTTTTCAGCAGCAGCCTTCGCTTCAGCCACGGATTTAGCCTCAGCCGCCTTCTCCGCTGCGGCCTGAGCTGCTGCAGCCTGGGCCGCCGCCGCGTTCGCTGCAGCCGCTTTAGACGCAGCTTCCTTCTGTGCTGCAGTCTGAGCTGCGCCTGCCTGAGCCTGTGCCGCTTTCTGTGCCGCAGCTTGTGCTGCCGCAGACTGTTGCGCCGCCGCTGCCTGTGCTGCTTTTGCGGCAACTGCTTTCTGAGCTGCCTGCTGATCTGCTGCTGCTTGAGATGCGGCTGCCTTTTGGGCTGAAGCTCGGGCTGCTGCTTCTTTCTGCTTGGCTGCTGTCGCCGCTGCTACAGCGCTACTCTCTATAGGAGACATTGTTAAAAAAATAGTCAATGAGCATGAACGCAGATACGTACTGGCTTCTGCTGCTGCGTTGGTCTCGGCAACAGTGACTGCAGCTTTCACTTTCGTGCAAGCAGTAGTAATCTGCTTGCCAGCGGTGCTGGCTGTTGCGAGATGTGCCTTGACGTTGTTGATTGCCTCCAAAACTGAAGGATCAGAACTAGAAAGGAAAAATTGAGCTTTTTGGTTAAATTTCCTTGACATCTGAACATACATTGACAAATTGTTGAGAACCGCTAAAGCAGACGAAATGCCAGAGTTGACTGATGCAGCTGGAGTTATGCATTGTACGCTCTGGAGAACACTGACGACGTCTCGCTGTTGGAATGTACGAAGCGTGGGCGAAAAGAATGGCGCTGGCAGGAGGAAATCAATATGTCGTTTGGTGAAGAAATAGGCAGTTTTCACCTGCATCAATTCCTTGCAGGAAGGAGGCCGTCAAAGCCAACGAGAAGGCTGTCCTCACGAACAAGACCATTGTGAGTTGTGTCGATTGTAAAGAGTGTGTGTTCGGTGTATTTGAACAGGAGGAAGGTTAGCCGTAACGGCCGTAGAAGGAGTGAAAGGAAGACACTAGGTCGAGAAGTTGGGCTCCTTCCAACACATCTTTCATCGTTTAAATACTGAGGAATTCTTTGTGGACGGCCAGACCCCGTCAAACGTTGTGGTTTTTTCGAGTGCTATCGATGCCATCCTTAGGAGAAACTGATCAGATCAGTAGGCTTTACAGCCTGTGAACGGATAATGATCCTTTTGCTAGATGATAGGTGTATACTGATAGCAACAATCGAGGATGCGGTCAGTCAATGTCACTGAACCGTTTGGGATGCCAGATACATGATAAAATTCGCCTATATGATAGAAGGAATAAATTCAGCAACGATCTCGGAAGTATGATTGGATTTTGCACTTGCCTAGGGACAGACCAATAGCATTCTATAACTCAAAACTCAGCATCGTCATGCGCGAAAGGAATTCGCATGAAGAATCCTGGATGGAGTCAATAATGTCGTGGTAGATTGATCTGTCGCATAGCCGCCTTGTGATGCAGATGCACAATAATTTTATGGAGACCCGGAAGTTTGAGAAGTGACAGATGCTGGGCCTGGATTGGGAGCTAAATCAAGACGAAATGCGCGTAAAGCTCAAAGTTCGGGCAGCACCGAGGTAGAGATTCAATACTCCTTGTCCTCAACGATCTTCGTCCCAATTCCCAGAAGTAAACGAGGCGGTGGAGTCAACAACAAAATGCACGGGGAATAAACTGGGCCTTCTTTAAGCCCGAGGAGATCAATCGTCGGTGTAGATACCCCAATAACGTTTTGGTTTTTTCGACTGATGCATCAAGGGGATAGTGACAACGCCGTGCAACTTGGGGCATGAAGCTGAAGTCTACTAGTAAGAGGTTCGAAACATCTTGTATTGGGAGCTGCGGCATGGAAAGCGTAACGCAATCATTATGGTTGACGTTGCGGCGAATGGATTATGGAGGTATGAACATGAAAGAGGATTTTTGATGGAGTCGTGCGAACGACTCTCTACGGCCACATGATGATGCCTCAATTTGAACTCAAGCTAATCCAGTCGCCCATTCGCCTCAAGCTGAGTTGCTACAGTCGCGGATTGAGGCATGCATCGCTGCTTACAGATTCAAGAACTCCTCTCCATCATTTTTCAATACGTCGATGTCCCACGAAAAGCAGACTTCTTTTCACCAGATTTCCTAGCACGGCTCGCGAGGACGTGTAAAGCTTTCCAAGATCCAGCGTTAGACATCCTTTGGTACTCTCAGGACACTCTCCTTCCTCTATTGAAATGTCTTCCACCCGACGCCTGGGCGTGGAAAGAAGGCAAATTTGTGAGTAATATGTATTTCTAACAACCAAGAGTTGCAACTTTAACCGTGATTGTCACTTCAAGAGCATTACCAGGGATCTCGTCGCATCTGATTACAAGAGAATCGATTTCTACAGCCCTAGAATACAATTTTTTGGTCGCCCCTACCCCAAGCGCAGTGAGGTGATTGAAACACAAGCACTGCACATCATCTGGTCACAAAAACCATCTCCAGGTCCTCTTCTGTGCAATGTGTCAGTAGTCGAACTCGTCAGCGACGCCTTCATTGGCCTCGCCATTTACCCTCGCCTCGTGATCGGCCCACGTATTAGGGACATACGAATTAGACCCAGCATGGAGTCACCCTCGTGGGCAAATATTACGGCCGTACTGAAGGAGGCTGCACCATCAAATCTCACGAATTTTATGCTGAGAGAAAGTGCTCGCAGGCTATCATGGTCGGAAAATGAGTCACTGGAGCTCTTGTCGACCCTTCGCAGTGTTCAAACACTGATCATCAGTGGCCCGTTCTGCACGTCCCGTGACATATCCACCATCGCTACACTCCCCGCACTCGAACGGTAGACCGGTGACCGTCTGTATATGAAGAAAGTCCTGCGATATACAGACCGGTAAATCTGAGTTTAAATTGACGTACCGCGCGGCTCCCACGCCAGTTTCCATAAATGGTTCGATGGTTTCTGACCTCCCCTAAACAATCCGCACGTGTCGCATGACGCGCCCCGCGTTTCCACTGAATTAATGGCGTGAAATTGACGTGTTTTCTCATATACCACACGTCTGTATCATTGAACACCAAACCCAGAAAATTCACCGGGAGGCTCTGATCCAATATTGTCAAATGAAATTGGCCTACACACAAAATATATAATACATTCAGCGTTAAAGAATATACCCGAAGTACCCCCAACTTCCTCCTTTCTCAATGTCAAAAATGTATCGGCGTCGATGTTGGGGTGAATGTGAAAGAAGTTGGTGGTATGTAAGAATTTGCGGTGGTCAGAGGATTGGCGTCGCTCGGCGCAAGCTGGGATATTGAAGGAGACGCAGAAAATTTGCTGGAACCGATGTCGGAAGCTAGAGGGTTCGCTTTTGCAGGTTTTCGTGTTTTCTTTGTCGGCGCAAATGTGGCAGATGCCAGTATATCGGCTGCGCTTCTGTGGTGCATAGCTGAGAGATGACTTGACGTTGGAAGCAGTGGACGGAGAAAAAACCGAATCGCAGGGCGGGATGATTTGGCGTGAGCCGGACCGGATTGTTAAGGGGAGGTCAAAAATTGTCGAACTGCTTATGGAAACTGGCGTGGGAACCGCGCGGTACGGGGATTTAAACTCAGACATACCAGCCTGTATATCGAAGTTCTCATATACAGGCTGGTCACGAGCCTACTCGAACGGCTAGACATTTCAATCGCAAAAGAGGCGATGGAAAACTACATCCCCCCCGTCGGCAATGATTTTCCAGCCATTACTCGCCTGGCCATCGAATCCGAAACTATTGATGCTTGTCAGTTGCTGCTGGTGAAGATCAAGTCGATGATGTTACGATCCTTGCTTGTCACGCGGTTAGCGTTCAATCACTGGGATTTGAGAAGCCTTTTCACAGCCCTTCATTCAAGCAACTTGGCATCAACGTTGGAAACCATAAATGTGTATCATAAACCATGTATTCCTTTCGACCCAGATGAACCTATTCTTGAAGAATCTTTCAGAATAGATTCTCATACTTTTGAACTCGTGGACTCCTTCAAGCACTTGCGCGACTTGTACATAGGGTCATCTTTCCTCGCTATGGATGATGACGATCTTCTAAAACTTGCCAAGTCGCTCCCCCAAGTGCATTCACTCGTTTTTCACGACACCTGCGACCCCGAAAACCGGCCGAAATGCACATTAACTGGAATGCAACACATCATTCAGTTTTGTCCGAAGTTGAATAACCTGGCACTCCGCCTCGATGCTCGTCGAATTCCGATGTTTGTTCCTCAGCCTGACAGTCCCATGGGCTCTCAGCTTACTGCCCTTAACCTTTGCAATTCTCCCGTCTCGAATGCTTACGAGGTTGCATCGTATCTGGCAATGCTTTTGCCACGTCTTACCGATTTTACACTTCGCCATACTCAGACTGATAGATATTCCGAAGAGGAGGAGGCTAAGGCTGAAAGATACTATAAAATTTGGCTGAAAGTGCGGGATCTATTGCCTTCTAGTGTTAGATTTACGGCTCGGGGTATTTAACGCCTGAATATGAATATTATTACTTGAGCACCAACCTCCCACAACATGGCTTCCCCATCTCCAGGGATTCGTTTCTCCCTAATAGCCCCCAGCACCAACAACAAATTTTCGCCGCGCCTTGGCTCTCTCCTGCTCCTTCGCGATCGTGCTCAAAACTCTCCGCAAATCTCAATACCAACACCAGGCATCCTAACCTCAACCTCCCGCGGTGTCATCCCCCATCTCTCGAGGGATCACCAGAATCTGACCAGCGCCGTAAAATGGGTACATATCCCATTTGAATCTTTGTGAGTGCCCCCACGCTTCTGTACTACGTAGAAGGTACGCCTGCCGTTTTCAAGAATTTGGCTCTGATCGACCTTTTTTTCTGGTATCTAGTTTGGAGCATAATCCTCCCGTGCCGACAATACAGAAAGGGACGGAGAAGCACCCGATGCATAGGTTCTTGGGTTACTTACCTTCAAAGCACGTCGTGTCGATGTCGATCCGCGATCCTGACGATGCGAGGGAGATGCCGACGAATGGGAACGACCACATATCGGCGAACTGTTTGCGCGGTGTTCGTAAGGTCCTCTTTTCCTTTTCCTCTTTCCAAAGCCGTCGCTGATATACTATGAATATATAGGCATCACCCACAGACTGGCGCTCGTACACGCTGGCATGTAAACCTGACCTGGTAGTAGCACTATCCGACACCCCGTACATCAACCCTCCATACTCTCAGAAACGACTGACGAAGAGCATACAACGCTCCACAGCATGGCTCGCTACCCTCCTTCGTCCCCCGCCAGATCCCTCAGACACCAACCCCGCCGTCCTAGTCCACATGACTGGCCTCGCAAGTATTCCTGCACGCCGGGCCTTTGCAGAGAGCCTCCTCGAGCAGCTGCACGACGCTGAAGCTGAGGCAGTGAAGCCCCACAAGTGTCTTGATGCTGGTGTTACGGGGTATACGTTTGATTTGGTACCTATACGGCTGGCACTCGGCTCTAACCCTTCGTCTCCTCTCATGTCAAATTTTCTCCCCTCTACCTCGAATTCAAACGAATCTCAAATCCCCTCCATTTCCACCCTCCTACAAACGTCCCTGCACCCCCTCCCACGCGACAAACTCCGCCTCGTTAACTCGACGCGATCACCACACGAGGTGCTCGATCTCATATCAACCATCGGGATTGATGTGTTCGACGCAGGGTGGGCGCAACGCGCTGCTGCGGTTGGGGTGGCGCTTGATTTTAGGTTTCCTGTGAGGAGGGATTCGAGGGTAGGTGTTGTTGACGGTGTTGCGAATTCGAAAAAGCTGGACCTGGGCCATAACCTCTACTCCTCGCAGTACGCGTTCGACTTTTCGCAACTGGCGGATACGTTTTGTGGTTCTTCTCAAGCGCAACACCACAATGAGAAGGATGTATGTCCGTGTGGAGCGTGTTCGCCCGTGAGACCGCCAGAGATGGAGTGTATCGTGCATGATACGATTGATTTGGCAACTTCCATGACCACGGATTCTGCTACGTCGAGTTCAACGCCGTCTCCCTCCTCACCCGTTCAGTACGAACCCCCCTTCGCCAGTGCCTACATTCACCATCTCCTACACACGCACGAGATGTCTGCGCACGCGCTGTTGGTGATGCATAACCTCACAGTGGTAGAGGCGTTTTTCGAAGGGATTAGGGAGGTATTGCGTGGGTCAGGTATAGACGGGACTGAGAAAGAGTACGACTGGATACATGAAGTTGATCTATTCAACGCTGCGTACGATGGGTCTCTGAGAGTTGTGGATGACGCAGTGGAGATGTGGAAGGATGTTGACTTGGCGAGGGGGAAGGGGAGGTTGGGGAGGGAGAAAGAGAGGGAAAAGGAAAAGCAGGAGCAGGGCGACAATGGAGATGAGGTATAGACTTGTTATAGGGAACACAGTTCCTTTTTCTTCATCTTTTCAAGTCAAAGACTGTAGACTGTAGTTGCCCACTTCATTAGTCTCTACCACTTTGCTAATTGTGGGCATCGTGCCAAACAATCCTGCTTTCACCTCTACCTCTTCAACCTCCCGAGTCCCCAGTTTCAACATCGCGGTCACGACGCGTACCTCGAGTGCATGCATCGCTGCTTACAGATACAAGAGCTTCTCTCTATTATCTTCCACCATGTTCACGCACAAAAGAGGCTAGCACGACTTGCAAGGACATGTAAAACTTTTCAAAAGCCAGCCTTAGACATCCTTTGGCGCACTCAAGAAACCCTCCTGCACTTATTGAAATGTCTTCCGCGCGACGCCTGGGTCGTCCAAATGGGAATCTTTGTGAGCGATATTCCTGTGTCTGGAATCGTCTCATTTTCCAACATGATGTGATCCAGACTATCCAGAGGAATCTTACCGCGTCCGACTTTGAAAGGATCCAATTCTATCGCAATAGAATTAGAATTTGCCGTCTCTACTCCCAATGGCATCCTGCGGAGATCGACGAACAAGTCCTATCCATCGTTTGGTCACGAAAACCCTTTCCAGGTCCTCTTCTACCCAATGTGTCAGAGGTTGACTTGGATGGCGACTGCTTTGATGGTATCGCCATTCATCCTCGCCTCATAATTGGTCCGCAGATCAAGAGTATACGACTTATAGTCGATGACTCGTTGTCCTGGGTCAATGTAACGGCGATGTTGAGGAAGGCTGCACCGCTGGATCTATCAAGTTTTACGTTGTTTAGATCCGTCACCACAGTATCGTGGTCAGAGTCAGAGTTGTTAGAACTCTTGTCAACCCTCCACAGTGTCAGGACACTGAACATCATTGGAGTGTTCCTTACGACGCATGCAATCTCCTTGATTGCTAAATTCCCTGCACTAGAAGATCTGCAGCTCTCAGTTACAGAGACGGAAATGGAGAATTACGCCCCTCCAGACAACAACTTCCCAGCCATCATTAATTTGAAAATTCGCTCCAAAACCATCGAAGCGTGCAATTTGATGCTACTGAAGATACAGTCGAGAACGTTCCGCTCGTTAACGGTCACCCGAATCACGGATGATGACTGGGATGTGAGAAGTCTTTTTATGGTTCTTCATGGGTGCAACTCGGCGGCAAGCTTGGAAACCCTGAATGTGGGCATCTCAAACTGGGAAGCTTCTTCTGCTTTCAAAGTAGATGCGAAAATACTTGAACACCTAAATTCCTTCGAGCATCTATGCGAGTTGCGGATACAGCCATGTTCCGTTGATTTGGACGACAACGACCTCATGAAACTTGCCCAGTCGTTACCTCACTTGCGTTTACTCCTTTTCTGTTCCCGAAACGATGGGCCCAGATGCACATTTACTGGCATGCAGCACCTCATTCGGTTTTGTCCAAAGCTAGAAAGCCTAACTTTTTGTGTTGACGCACGTCGCATTCCGATATTTGCTTCCCAGCCTGACGGAGAATATCCTTTAAGCCTCCATCTTACCACCCTCAGTCTCCGACACTCCCCTGTCTCGGATGCTGGCTCTGTCGCATCCTATCTGACCATGCTATTGCCCGTCCTTACCGATTTTACGACATCGAATGGGTTTTTAGGAGCCTCGGAGGAAGAGCAAAGGGAGGCCATTCACTATCGTAAAATTTGGCTCGAAGTAAGGCAGCTGCTGGGCCGTCTTAAATTTTGAACACATATTTCAATCACAAATGCAAAGATATGAGATTCGTTGTGCATTCATATGCAAGTTGATCTATTCAACGCCGCGTACGATGGGTCTCTGAGAGTTGTTGATGACGCAATGGAGATGTGGAAGGATGTTGACTTGGCGAGGAGGAAGGGGAGGTTGAAGACCGTGGGCATAGCAAGGCGGACGACTCGGAAAAATTCTGATTTCAATTGGTTTCAGGTTACCTCTACCGCTCCAAGCTCCCAAATCCCCAGTTTCAAGCATTGCGGTTACGAAGTGTATCTCGAGTACATGCATCGCTGTTTACAGTTAGTCTCTCGTAGACAGACTTCGATATATGTGAAGTCGTACCTTGGTTCACGATATATGAAGTTTACAGTTGCAAGAGCTTCTCTCCATTATATTCCACCATTTCGAAACACGAAGGACGCTAGCACGACTTGCAAGGACATGTAAAACTTTTCAAGACCCAGCTTTAGACATCCTTTGGCGCACTCAAGATACCCTCATTTACTTATTACAATGCCTTCCGCACAACGCCTGGGTCGTCCAAATGTTACATTTTGTGAGCGGAATTCCTGAGTTGATACAAGTTCTGGGATCGTCTCATTTTCAACATAATGTGATCCAGACTATCCACAGGGATCTTACCCCGTCCGACTTTGAAAGGATCCAATTCTATCGCAACAGAATTAGAGTTTTTCATCGGCATTACCCCCCATCATGGGATTCTTCAGAATCTACAGATATCGAAGGACAAGTCCCATCCATCATCCAGTGGTCACGAAAACTCTTTCCAGGTCCTCTTTTACCCAATGTGTTGGAGGTTGACCTGGACGGCGACGACTTCGATGGTCTCGCCATTCTTCCTCGCCTCGTAATTGGTCCGCAGATCAGGAATATACGACTTAGAGTCCCCTATGGCTCGTTATCGTGGGTGAATGTAGCGGCGATGGTGAAGAAGACTGCACCGCTGGATCTCTCAATTTTTTCGGTGATTGGATCTGCTACCACGTTATCATGGTCGGAGTCTGAGCCGTTGGAACTCTTGTCGACACTCCACGGTGTCAAGACGCTGAGCATCATCAGAGCGTTCCTTACGACGCGTGCAATCTCCTTGATTGCTACATTCCCTGCACTAGAAGATCTGCAGCTCTCAGTTACAGAAACAGAAATGAAGGATTATGCCCCTCCAGACAACAACTTCCCAGCCATCACTAATCTGGAAATTTGCTCTGAAACCGTCGACGCGTGCAACTTGATGCTGCTGAAGATGCAGTCGAGAACGCTCCGCTCGTTGACGGTCACCCAAATCGCGAATAAGAGCTGGGATGTGGGTAGCCTTTTTATTGTTCTTCATGGGTGCAACTCCGAGTCGGCGGCAAGCTTGAACACCCTGCATCTCTCAACCTCGGAAGATTGTCCGGCTTTCAAATTAGATGCTCGTATACTTGAATACCTAGATTCCTTCGAGCATCTATGTGAGTTGCGGATACAGGAATGTTCCGTTGATTTGGACGACAACGACTACATGAAACTTGCCGAGTCGTTGCCTCACTTGCGTTTACTCCTTTTCTGGTCCGAAAACAATGGGACCTCCGACCAGATGCACATTTACTGGGATGCAGCACCTTATTCGGTTTTGTTCAAAGCTAGAAAGCCTAATTCTTTGTGTTGACGCGTGTCAAATTCCGGTATTTGCTACTCAGCCTGACGGAGAATATCCTGTAGGCCTCCACCTTACCACCCTCACTCTCCGCCACTCCCCCGTCTCGGATGCTGGCGCAGTTCATCCTATCTGAACATGCTATTACTGGTCCTTACCGATTTTTGGACGATGAATGAACATATACGGGGGGAGTCCTCGGAGGAGGCACGCTGGGAGGTCGCTAGCTATCGTAAAATTTGGCGTGAAGTAGCGCAGCTGTTGAACTGTCTTAAATTTTGAACCCACATTTCAATCACAAATGCAAGTATGAGCAAATTTATTGCATAAATTGAGCAGTTTGTCGTATTGCATTGTCAAGTTGTGCTGACACGTAAGTTATGTCTTTAACACAGTAACAAAATGGCATCAACAGCTTTAGAGTGTCTGTTGAAGTCTGGCGCGATTCCTACCGAACTTCCAAAAGTTCTCTCAAACTTTTTCATTGAGAGCCTTCCGTCGCCATCCTCTGACCCGCAGAATGATCCATAACTTGTCCGTCTCCAAATAGTTGCAAAAGCCGGTAGGAGTTCGTCGAAGAGCCTCGGACCTCACATTAGAGAGCACTTCTTCTTCGTAGTGCACAAAGCCGGCGGTAGCCCACGCGTCTATGATATAGGTCAGCTCTGAATCTGGACCGAAATGTGAATGCGCGCACTCCACGATGATAGCAGCAAATCTGGCCAGTCTTACAATCCTTATCGAACTCGCATTGTGGGTAATTCCACGCTGCAGTAGACGATACAAAAAGGACGAGAAGGAGTACGCAGGCGAATGGATGTTTTTGGAGATGCATGAACCAGCAATTATCTCTGAGAAAGTGTTAGCTTTTTGAAATCCTTTCACTTTCTAGGCCTCGTACCGCAAGTGGTCTCTTCACTGTCAGTTCTTGGTAAGGTGGTTGGAGTTGGGGAGCAACCTGTGCGCGCTTAAACAGCATGATGATGGGAAGAAGCTTGGCTGTGTTGAATCAGACTGTTGATAGGGATTCTTAGGGAACAACTCCTAAATCACTCTCTGTAGTCTTATTACATCTAGCCTTTTCATTACTGCTCCAGCCCTCGTTATCATACCAGACCTCGATACCAGACCCCGATCTGATGCATACCTACAAAAGGCCGACACAAATGCGCTTACCTTGAGCCACCATGTGTCATTGCGCCCACGTAGAGGAACCGGCTTTCACCCTATGGCGACCAGAAGACAAAAAACGTCCGACACCTCTTAGGTCAGGTTCCAGTGAGGTCTATCGACCCGACATTCTCGAGACGATTGAGGCCAAAATCAAGGAGTTAAGCAAGGAGCTGAGGACAGTTAGTCTCGACATTCATGGTGAGAGTCACCTGTGGTGCGGCGACAGCATGGGCTGACGTGGACGTTCCTAGCGCACCCTGAGCTCGGATTTGAAGAATTGTGCGTCCACCTCGTTCATGTATTCTCCTTCCTGATACTGATAACTTTTTTCTCATCAGCTATGCACACGATGTGTATACCGAATTTATGGCTCAGCACGGTTTTGAAGTGACGAAACATTTTCATTTGCCAACGGCGTGGCAAGCCACCTTTACTCATGGAGTCAGTGGGAGGACTGTTGGAATCAATTCTGAGGTATTTCCGACGTAAGAATCCGTTGTCTTACGTTAATGGCGAATCCGTCAGATGGATGCTCTGCCAGGCATCGGTCATGCCTGTGGTCATAATCTGATTGGTATATCAGGTAACCTTTCTTTTTAGGGGGTTTTCGCACACGCCTGTCCTTATCAGCACAATATTTTAGGCGTCGCAGTTGCATGCGCAATCAAGGCCGCTCTCGAGAAGCACGACATTTCTGGGAAAATCATCCTTCTTGGAACTCCCGGTATGGCTTCATTTGCTGTCGCACATTCCACCAACTTACTCGAAAGTGAATCAACAGCAGAGGAGAGTGGTCATGGTAAAGTAAAGCTGCTTGATTGTGGTGCCTACGAAGAAATGGATGTCTGTTTAATGTTTGTGCTCCATCTCTCTCACAACCATTTCAGTGTTTGATTATCTTTTGTTCCAGGTGTCATCCTTCTCCTGGTCCTATCGGATCAGTCAGCCTCACCAGCTGTCTGGCACTCAAGGAAATTGAAGTAGAATATAAGGGACGCAAGTACGTCAACGACCAATCTTCTGTTTCAATACAGCTCAATATGGTTCTGGTTTAGTGCGCATGCGGCTCTTTCTCCCTGGGAAGGAAGGAACGCACTCGATGCTGCGGTGCTGGCGTACAACAATATCTCCGCACTACGTCAGCAGCTCAAACCTACCCACCGGGTTCAGGGCATCTTTGAAGGCAAAGACTGGGCACCGAACAGTACGTATGATTGCTTCTTATCTGGCTATGGCTGAAATCTCCTGCATAAGTTATTCCTGACCATTCCAAGTTCTCGTACGTCGTCAAAGCTTAGCAATGCACTGATTTGTGGACTAATATTCGCATTTGCAGATGCCTTATTCGTGCACCCACACGTGAGGAGATGGAAGAGACCGCCAAGCGCGTGGTACCATGTTTTGAGTATGACCTGAAGATTCTTCATCACCATCTCCTTATCCCTCTCTAGGGCAGCGGCACTTGCCACAGGATGCGAAGTGACCATCACCTTCCCTGGTGCTGTGTACGATGTGCGCCAAAACAGAGCCCTAGGTGCGCAGAAGATCATTTTATTCACTGTTGTCCATCCTGATCATATTGCTTTGTAACTAGGCGATAATGTCGCAAATATCGTCCTGAACAAGTATGGAAGCATTGACTACAAGTATGGAATCGCCAGTGCCTCAACAGATTTCGTGCGTTCATCGTTGTCTGGCCTGGCCTATCTCTGATTAGAAAATCTGTTCAACAGGGGAATGTGACTTACGGTTCGCGTGAATCTCTCGGGTCTTCTTTTCCATAACAATCACGGTTTTAGCACTCCCCTCCCTTCATCCAGGCTTTGGTATGTTCCGCTACACCTTCAACTATCTCTTCGAAAGACTCAGCATCCCACAGCCATCCCGACAGAGGTGAATGGAGGAAACCATACGCCCGCTTTCGCAAGAGCAGCCGCGACTATCGAAGCGCACAACGCGTGTCTTGACGTGTCCAAGGCATTGGCGGCCACTGGTGTCCGGGTGCTAGCTGATGACGAGTTCTTCGCAAAGGTTCGTTTGGCTTGGGGTGGAGCGTCTTTTTGGGCTGACAGTTTTGTAGGTGCAAAAGACGTTCAAGGAAGATGAGATTTTACGCAGACCTCTTTGATAATCGTTTTCTTTTACTTGAGTATCAAGTCCAGTGACACACCCTCGCCTAACTCTTGAATCTAAGACATGGTCGAACTTCTCCTTCTGCTTCACGCTGAACGTTGTTTCGTCTTGAAAGTCAGCTCTTCAAGACGACCCTCTTCTTCGTGCCTCGCGATTACACTTTTATATCTTCGTCCCTCTCCAGAAGATCCTGTCATTGGCCTATCGCATATCCTGCTCCTCAGCCAACAATATCGGCGCTATGCTTGTGGTATCCTAACCTCCGACAAAAACTACCGACATCTGCTTGACTTTATCATGATGCTCAACTGTCCAGACGAGAACAGCTTCTGGCTACTTATGCGCTGAAGACTTCCGCTCGGCATGGGAGGGGTTTGCATTTCCCCTCTGATCGAATACTTATTACCAAAGTTTGAAGAGGTTTACGAGGGTTCAACTCTCGACAACCTTCATGATTTTCTGGTGGTTTACCTTGAACAGGTTTCCAAACTAGCCCATCGTCTTACGGCGGACGGCACACTCTACCTCGCAGTGTGTGGTCATGAATCGCCACGTAGATGGAGATGATTTCGATTTTAGCGAGCGTCGGCCGTCTTCTTTGAGAGTAGCTGTGGCAGGTATAAAGCTGATATACACTTAGTGACGTCGGCGAGGGTTCCAAGGAACTGGGCGAGTCCGCGGTGGACCCTTTTTTCGGTGGCGTCGGAGGATTGAAGGGAATCATCTTCTGAAGATGGTCCGCCCCGTGGTGGCACTACTCACGAGCTGATTATGCAAGCCTGAATGCCACTAGCTGACACCTCTGGCTGGGACAAAGAAGACCAACTGGTGGAATGGTTCTTCCTTGAAGGCGATTATCTGAAACCACGATGACCAAACGGATTTGGATTAGAGATTTCACAGAGATCCACTACTCGATATTGTCTTTCCCAAACTTGTATGGAACTTGTATGGCACCTTGTGAAAAGGCAGGATTTGTGACAAGTACAGTTCTGGACGATAATGAGATTCTTTTACGCCTTGTTCAAGTGAATCCCAAGCGCTCATTAATCATTAATCATTCATGATCATGAGATCCGCTCGAGAAGTCCAAGTATATGCATGAAAGTCAAATATATACATATCTATAAAGTTACTACGTACAAGCTGCTCTGCAGGGTGGGTTGGTGATACAGTGGTATGGTACTGGTATTGGTATGAAAAAGAGTGGGCAAGATGCTCTACGACTTCTAATGTCTAAAAAGTAATGATACAACAATGAACAATGCTGATGATGCTGGTGTTTGGTGCTTCTACTGGTGCTACAATAAGTTTCAATGTCCATGAATGTTCAGAACAAGAGGGGAACGAATGACAGTGTCTCGGAAGAGGAGGACCCGGGGGGAGACAAAGAAAGCAAGCGAGGAGCGCGTTGTACTTTGGAACTTGAAACCTGTTTTCTTTCTTGTTCGTTTGAAATAACCCTACAGAGAGAGAGGGAGTGAGAGATTCAGATTCGCGGACGATCGCAATCAAAGTCGAATTTGGGAGGAGAAGGTCGGATTTGGTGTGTAGGTCTAAATCAGGGAAGATGCATACGCCGCTTCCGCTCCTGCAGCTCAACAGAGGTATACCACGCCCCACCAAGCAGCGTGAGGCCGATGCCGAGTCCGTTGGTTGGTGTGATGGTGAGTTGGAAGAGGGTGACGGATAGTAGTACGGCTAGTACTTGTTTCACGTTCGCTGTGTGATAGCAAAAAAAGAATGTTAGTGTCATGCGGGGAAAGTAAGGAAAGAACCAGAAGAAGTAAGGAGGGAAAAGGGGGGGCCAAGGAAATCGACGAGGCAGACGAAGCCACCAAGAAAACGAAAAAAAAGTGAGGAGGAGGATGGAAAAAAATTCGAAAGAATCCCAACTCAAAACCCAAAAATAAGAGAAAAGAAACCCACGTACAAGCAACACCCATCCCCAACGGGCCAACCCGTCTATTCGCATTAAAGCTCACAACATTCAAGAAAAACGCCAGAACGCCATTAAGTAACAACCATGAACACGACACGCCCACCGCCATCATCCTCGCATTTGCATTTGCGTTTACCACCTCGGCGGAAGAGGGAGGAGGTGTGGAGAGGTGTATCCACACACTATCCAGCTCGCCCGTAACATACGCCAAGAGCGTCGTTTGCATGAAAGCTAAAGGGGAGAGGAGGTATAAGAGGTGCAGTGGGGGTAATGACAGCGTTGGAAGAAGGGTGGAGGAGGAGGTGGGTCCTGAGGGAAGTTGGAGTTGTTTTCCCGAGCAGGTGGAAGAGCGGCGGGAGCGTGTTATGTTCGCTAGTGATTCTGCGAAGCTCGTGGTGGTGGGTGAGGAAGCTGGGGAGGGTATGAACGGCGTTTGGAGGAGGTTTGTGAGGATTGTTTTTAGCGCTGCTAGGACTGTGCCGAGGAGTGTTAGGAAGAAGCCCCATGGTGTGAAGTAGTAGTCGCCGTAGGTTCTGTAAAAAAATGTTTGAGTGTTAGTTTTGGGGAAGAGAGGGGGAAAGAGGGAGCAACGTACGCGAAGCCTAGACCTGCGACTACGGGGATGAGGGATACGAGCTTTGCGCGGCTGCTGTGTTTGCCTAGGAGAACGGCAGAGAGAAAGATAGTGAATAGCGGTGCGGAGCCGCGTACGACTTGGTGGAACTGTCTGGGGGTCAATAGGTTGGGATAAGGAAGGAAGGAGGGAACGTACGGGTACAGTGACCAATTTCAAGGAAGCGTTACTGACGACGATGTTGACGGTGTACAAGATGCTAAACAAAAACAACACGAATTTCTCGCGACGGTTGAGTGGGGCTGGGAGGGTGGATGTGGTGTTGGATGAGCTGAGGGGACGACCACCTGTGAAGAAGGCGGCTAGGAGGGCACCGGGGTGGGAAAGCCTGTTCCAGTGCAAGAGGATGGTGGTGCCTATGGAGCCGCAGAAGGCGTGCAGGGCCGTGAGGGTGTATGGGAAGGGAAAGTGGATGAGCACGGATTTGTTGTAGAGGGTTAAGGTGAGGTTGAGCATGAAGTAGATGCCTAGCCAGAGTGCGGCTGAGTCTGTTCGTTTCTTGCCTTTTGAAGGGCGCGACTTGACGTCCAGAAGGAGGACTGGTGATTTGGGGGAGGAGGAGAGGTAGTAGGAAGGTATGAGGCTGTCTTTTGATTCGGAGGGTAGGAGGAGCGGGGAATGGGGAAGGGGGTATGGTTGGTCTTCATGGTATGCGCGTCGGCCGAACGGCGAGCGACTTCGAGAGGGAGAATGGTCCTTTTCCCCTTTGGTGGATGGGGGATGGAGGAGAAGGGGTTTGAAGACGGCGTTGGAGGCAAAGTCATCGATGATCGTCGTGTCATCTGGTTTGCGCGTCGCGACGGACGGTGAGCTCATGATTGGGGAAAATTGGGGGTATCTTGGTGGTATTTGAGAAGTGGTATATTGCTCCGCACGTCTTGTTTCTTTGAGACCATCAAAGTAATGTTCACACTCGCGTTTATTAGTGGCTCATCGGCGGATGCTTATGTCCATATATAGAACTTAATTATGTGCAAATGCGGATGTCTTTTTTGTAAGCTTATTTTACATAAGAACAAAACTTTTTGACTCCGACCGATTTGAAATTGCAGGCGGGGACCTCTCAATTTCTGGATCAAGGTGCAGAGAAATTATAAGCAAAAAGTTGGCAAAAAGTCACATGTATCTGCTGTTCAACGTCTTCTCGACTTGTTGGTGCGGGCCATCACTGCGCGCGAACTGCGCGTGGCAAGTACAAGCCCCCAAAGGTAAAGAGGAGACATGAATACATAGCAACAGGGATCCGGGCAAACACCGATATTGCATGCCGAACATTATATGCACGGGAAGTGGCGAGGGTTCTTGTTTAAGAGCTGTCTTTCAGAGTGGCGGGTAAGACTATATGGCAGAATTTGAATTTGTACTTGGTCTAAAGACCGCTTTTAACTCTTACCATTGGATTGGGTGCGAACGGGTTTTAGAAACAAGAATGAGTACATACAGAAAAAATCAGAGAAAGGACCAAGAAAGGACATGAATACATATGCAACAGGGGGCGTCTACCCTCAATTTGCCGACATCGGACTATTACAAAATACTATTTTAAATTTCACACAGTAATTATCGCTATTTGTGTCTGTGGTCGCGTACCCGTGTGAACTGTCACTTCTCTTTTCCCTCCCGTCATGTCGTCGCGTCAACCTACGCCTGGCCCATCTCTCATAAATCACACTCAAAAGAGGAGGGCAGAGGCGGGGGCAGCCTCGGACACGGAGGCACTCGACGATACTAGAGATGCAAAGAAGCTCAAAGTTGATCCAACCTCGACTAAAGACAAGAGAAAGAAAAGGAGGAGGAAACAAAAAAAGACTTCCGTTGTTGTTATGAGTCCGAGTCGCACCCGCTCTCCATCGAGGAGCGTCGCCCCGGTGCCCTCATGTCCTGCATCTACCCAGTCGGTCAATGCACAGGCCACCTTTGCCGTGTCTGACTCGATGGAGCGCAATGGCGATGACCCTGCTCCAACTGTGCGTCTCACTTTCATGCCTCCCTCTACTCAACTTACGCGCATATAGTCATTAAACAAAGGAAAGGAAAAGGCAAAATCACCCACACCGACTCCACAGCCTGACAATGTGGAGAAAGACCAACCACCAGCTGTGCTTCCAAGAATCACATCCAATTCAGACGCCCAAGAAATAGCCCGTCTCAAAGAACAGTTGGCCACACAACGACACGTCAGTCTCTTGTCATCATCGCTCTATCCACCTCTTACAACTTTTTCCCCTTTCCAGCTGCTCGAACGCCATCAAACACACCTTACTCACGTCCAACAATCTTTGACCTGCCAAATCTGCTTGGACCTCCTACACAAACCATACGCGCTCGCTCCATGCGGGCACATTACCTGCTATGGATGCCTTGTCCGCTGGTTCACGGCCACCCCAGATCACCCCACCCAGAACCAAAATCTAGAACCAGCTGCTGCTGCTGCAGCGCCCCCTGAAGCTGGCCAAGAAAACCCAGAACAGGAAGTCACCCACCTTCTTAACGGCCTTCGCCGCAACCAGCATGTCTACAAACGTAAAACTTGCCCCCTATGCCGTGCCGTCGTAACCGCTCGTCCAGTCGAAGTATTTGGCGTAAAAGGCATGGTCGGTGCCCTAGTCCGGAGCGCGCTCGTCGATTTGCCTGCACCCTTACCCATAGCTGGGTCCTCGACTGATGACATTGGAAATGCAAACCCAGCCAACGCTGATCCGTGGAAAAACATCTTTCTGGCTGAACATCGCACTCATGGACATGGGTTTATGGGCCAGGGTGATTTTTATGGGCTTCTTGGTGGTCTTGGGGGCAACGCAGCACCCCAAGAAGAACGCGATCGAGAGGAAGTGGGTTGGTGGGACGAAGAAGACGGGGGTATTTATCGGTGTTTGGATTGTATGCATGAGATTTGGGGTGGGATTTGTTCGAGATGTGGGAGGGAGTATCCTGGGCATCGAGACGAGGATGACGATGACGATGATGAAGACGACGAAGATGGGGATGGAGACGGTGGGAACTTACGACGACACCGCCGCCGTGCACTTCGCCAACTCTTGTTACGCACCGTGAACGATATTGCTCGTGATGATGACGAAGATGATGATGAAGATGGGATGCACGAGGAGATGTTGATGGCGGACAATGAAGAGTATCTTGATCGTCTTGAAGAGATCGAGGGGTACCGGGACGCCTTGTTTGGTGCTGGTCGGGGTGGTCAGTTCCGTGTTGCTGATTTGCCGCCTATTGGCGAAGACGATGTGATGTTTGGACGACGTTTGGGGTTGACGGACTCGGAGGGGGATGAGGAGCGCGAGGAGCCTGGAAATGAGAATCAGAATGGGTGGTTAATGGATGATGGGGATGAAGGGTGGGCTCCGTTTCATGGTCCTGGTGTAGGAGGCATACCTGCTGCACAGATAAGAGGACTTGGACCTGGGTCTCCGAGGATCTATGCCGACTTTACGGATGAGGAAGACGCGCGTGTCGGAAATGATACGGATGATGAAGCTGAAGATGTCACTGACGAGGATGATGATGGGTTTATTGATGATTCGGAGGTTATTGATTTGGTTGATGAGGAGGTTATGGCTACGCTTGCTAGGTTGAGGGAGACGAGGGGTGAAGCGCGTTCTGGGTTACGGGGTTGGGGAGGATCGGGAGCTGGAGGGAGCCGTGCAGGAGCTGAGGGAAGCAGGGCAAGCGCACGAGCAGGGGGAAGCACCCGAACCAACACCCGCGCTCAGCCAATTGTTATCCTCAGCGATGAGGAGGATGAAGAGGAAGATGAAACTCCCGTCCGAGTACCTCCTACCCGTCGTCGTGCTGCTCGGCGCGTAGAAGCTAGTGAAGACGAGGAGGAGGAGGAAGGGGAGATAGCGGTGGAGGATGCGGCTGCTGCGCTGGATGAATTGGATTTTGATAATGACGAGGACGAAGAAGAGGAGGAGGAGGAGGACAGGGAAGTGCAGACGAGGAGGAGGAGGGCTGCGCGAGCTGCTGAAAGACGACGTCGATGAGTTTGTGCTGGTGTGGTAGATACAAATGTAGAATAAGTAGATGGGATGACGGTTCGAAGTATCATATCATTCTTTTGCTGGAAGAGCTGCTCTACAAACAGATGGGTTCAATCAATATTAATGCACAACACCTTAATGTCTGTGAGGTGAGCTTCGATATACTGCGAAGCCTGCCTAGCTCAAATGGATAGAGCATCAGACTCATAAAACTGAGGGTGCGAGTTCAAGTCTTGCGGTAGGTAATTCTTTTCATGAATTCAAGTGAGGTGCCCTTGACATGGGGTTCACCACGACAAACTAATTAGTTAAACTTGTATCAATTACCAGTCTAATGAGTTACAAATCCATACGAAAGGCTTGCGTGGTGTGAGAGGAGCTTTTTTTTAAACATTGTAAAGCCTGCCTGGCTCAATTGGACAGCATCAGACTCAAATTATATCATGGAACATAATTGAAATCTGAAGGGTGTAATTTTGTTCCCCCTGGCAGGCTTTTTTCCTTCACGAACGTAGCGGCAAAGTGTTGGCCCAAACTTTAAACTGCCATCCATCGTCTATGTACACTTCCATCGGTTATAATGCTAGCTCGATCGGAAAGAAGATCAAACTCTATGCATGACAAAAGAATCTACATATTCATGAGGGGAACAAAATAAATATTGAGACCCGTAGGTCTACCACTCCGGGAAAGCGTGTCATCCTTGTGCAGGGGCCATGCTAATCTTCTCTGTATCGTTCCAATTTTTTCGTATGTCACCCCGAAGGGGACAATAACTATTCAGAATTTGAGGAGGGTGCGAAAGTGGTCTCGTATTTTGTTCAGTTTGCGGGGTTGGATTACATAAGTCATGTGGTTAGGCGAGCTTCACCCTTGCTTCACCTCTGCTGAGTCAAACCTCCCAAGTTGCAGGTTGTAACTTCTCGGAACGGCTTGGGAACGGCTCAAAGTACACTCTGTAGGCTCGACCTCTACGTACTGCACCCCAAGCTTTCCCGGCTCCGAAAGTCAACGTCAATTTTTCACCGTCTCAACTAAACAACTCGCTTCCCCTCCGACGGTCTCACCATCTGCGAAGTGCCAAAACTTCACTAGCACAAACTGCACTATTTTCTCGAAGCTGACGATCCCGACGCGACGATGAACGTGCAAGATTTCAACAAAATTCTATAGTTCTCGACCAAAAATCAAGAAAAACCGCCCGCGGTCATGTCATCAAGGTGAAATTTTGCCACTGCACAAGCTTGTCTGGACCTCGAGTTCCTGCTTCTTCCTGCGCGCTTCCCTCGATGATGCACCTTGGAGACTACTGCTTTGTGACAATTTCCGGCCACCCCTTGTTTCTCGCCGGTTTTGGAGGGACAGACCTTCCCAGTGCGAACGGGCGTCCACACGAAAGGGATTGACCTGAAGCTAGTCGTCTGGAAAGCTCCAAAGGAAAAGGGATTATCCATCTCATCACCTCTCTCATCCTTCAACAGATCGACCTTTCCGATGCGTCGCGAGCTCTGAACATTTATGAAACTCGCGGAGGGTTTTCCGCACTTGGAAAGGGGCCCATTCTGGACGCGGGGCAGAAAAGTCGATAGATAAACGTGCTCAAAAATATTTTCTGGTGCGAGGGAAACAGACATTGGCACGTCCATGGTTATCGTCACCGCTCTCAAGAAAAACGATATTTCTATCCGCAGTCCTTTACCTTCGGCTGAAAGCGGGTCTACTCACTGGCATGTTGTTCACGAATGGCCCTTATGGGTTCCACTTCCTCCGAACCGAAGGAAAAGCCTTGGATTACTAGGGCCTAAACTTGAACAGGTGGTCTCTAAGGCCTCTGAGCCATGACAAGGGTGGCTTGTAAAAACTGGACTCAAACTGGAGGAGGTTCCACAGTATCTGCGAAATCTGGGGCTTTTCACGGTCTCTCCGTGTGGTAGCCATTTCAGGGGGGTGCAGATTCACTTGAAGTGACATGTGCTCAAAACGTTATGAAGCCCTGGCCGTTGCAAGACATCTTATCAGGGTGGCTACTTCCCCCTGCTAGATTTTGACATTCTTCTTCTTATGATTGCGATGTTCAGGCCATATTTGCAGCACATCCAGAACGTAAAATGCGTTCACGAGCTTTGAAATTTCAGCCTGGATAACATGCTCACAGGTTGGTCTGGGAGACGCTGCGGAGAAAATCTGCTCAGTTCGTAACGCTGGACGCGCTAGATGCTGCAGTCGATGACACCAATGTGCTAGAGCTCAAAGGCTGTATCTGCCCCCTGCTTCTTGTTCTAGTCCTAGGAAACGCCATACCGCGTTATTGCTATCCCGACGATGTTCATAGGTACCTTGATGTCTGACGTGTATCCGCAAGTAAGAAAAAAAATGTTGCCTCCGGTTCACTCATATGCGAGTCCAAAGATGTGGACTCTTGGTCAATGCGGAAGATAGTTTGGCGATGTAAGGGTGGCACTTTACATTCGTTGAGGGAAGTTAGTGATAAAACCTCCCAGTAAACATCAAGCTTTCCACACATGCATCACTGGTTGTGCCCTTAAAGCCGATGATGTGAAGGGAGTGATGAGTGTTCTGTTGCTGAGCTGGCGAGCGCGCCTGGGGTACAAAGACGAAAAAGATCAATTGAGTGCATGGTGAAGTTTGATTGGATAAGGCGACAATGTGCCGATGCTGCTTGCCCTGGTCGCCAAATTAAAGATGTGATTTTCTAGGGTTCTAATCCACAAGGTACTAATCTGCCCATTAGTGATGTACACCAGCCGCAATGTGTCCAGCTTTGCTGTTCTGGTATTCATCAACGCGCTTCGCCCATGCGTAGACACTGTAGCCTTAATGGACAGGGTTACCATCACAGTAACAAGGTAATAACAACAGTAACATACCCAGGACGAAGGGGACACCGAAGAAGAACAACTCGCCGGAGAGGCGGCGGTAGCCATTGAAGAGGTAGTGGCGGAGCCAATGAGGAGCAGCTTTCACTTGATATGGGGAAAGAGCTGACGGGTGACCGTCAACAATGAGTAAGTGGTGTAGGAGATAGTTACGCACTATATTGAGTGATTCCCTTTAGTCGGACTCCACCAGACTTGTCACCCCACCAAAGGCTCTATAACAGACGACTGAGGCGCGTTGAAAAAATCCACAACGAGAATTGCTCACGTATACCTTGGCTGGAAATGAAAAGGGTCATTAGAACGCTCTGGCCAGAGTATACAGGATACTTACGTCCGGGCATATCACTTAGACGGGCAGCAGTGGGCTTCATGATGGCTAGCGGAGGAGAGTTGAGTTTTTGCTGTGAAGCCGCAAGTCCGTTCTCATCCGTGACATGCAAACAAGAAACAAATAAAGCGCATCATCCCACCGTCCACGACAGCCTCAACCTGGTCTCACACCACGTTCTCTCCTGTCAGGACCCTCATCTTCACTATTTATCTTAGGCTTTACTGACGTATTCTTCATCTAGGATGATTTCACACAACACTCTTTACAATCTGGCTAATTCTCTCGGGCTGCTGGCCATGGTCACTGTCGTTGGGTACCACTTCGTGGCGGTGAACGCGAGATACCTAGAAAAGAGCAAGAAACAGGCATAGGCTAGGTGGGTGCGATTTATGCCTCGCCTCATTTCCAACGCTGATTGACCCCTCTAGTATATATACGTATTGTGTACCATTTCCGCTTCCACTTCAAATGAATTGGTTTATCCTATAACGTCTTCCACGGTCCCTCATAACAGCTCTTCCGTGTCTTCGCCATGCCCTGTTTCTTCGTTCTCCAAGTATCCGCTCGATGTGTCTTCGTCGTCCGTGTCTCCGTCGTCCGTGTCTTCAACGTTCCTCTGCTGAGTCTCTTCAATCCCGAACTTCACTACGACTGAGAGACCCTCGTTTCTTAGTCTCTTCAGCTGATCCAAGGATGCTTTATCTTTCTTTGGGATGGTGATTGCAACCTTTGTCATTTGAGTTCTACCGTCGCCTGTATGCCATCTCGACTCGACCATTGTTGTGAGGAGACCATATCTTTTGCCAATGAATGAGGAATCAACTGATATACTTTCTAGGTTTGGGCAGAGGAATGCCTCATTGTGGCCTCTCCAAGTAAGTAATTGCAATAAACGTTTTCTAAGCGGGGGCCCTCTAAAACTGAAACATCCTTCCATCTGCAGGAAATTGATGGACCCGCTCATCAAATTGAGCACCTCTTCCAATTCCCTTTGGGAAATCGGTATATTGTTAATGAAAAGTTCTGTCAGCGCGCAGGCTGATCGGGCAACGAAAGATACCAAAGGTTCATGTTCATAGGCGTTGTCCCACTGCATTACAAACCTTTGGAGATTAGGGGCAGTTATCAAGTTCAGGACATTCGTCAGATACGATTCCCTTTGTTACTTTCCAAAGTCACAGATCATACTCAAGTCTGAGCTCGGTCAGGCCGGATGGCAGTGGCATCAAAGTTTTATCGCCACGACCGCATTCAGTCTCGTCGTTCATGTTGAACCTACGCAGACGCGGAGCATTCGCCCATATCCGATGAATGAACTGGTCGATCCTCGTCCACGACTGGTTCGCTCTCCTGGTCACCTTGAGGCTCTCTAACAACGGTGTGCCCGTTTCAGGTATAGGGAAATCATGGCCATTGAGGAAAGGCAAGGCGAGACGAACCGTTTTCCAGCGTGGCATGCACATCAGCAGTTCAACTACGAGAAGTTGAACGAGAGGAAAATTTCGTTTAGGTTCATGGAAGTCCTCAAGATCCCGCCAGGTGAAAAGGCCATCCGCCTTGGTATCGAGTGAGAAGGAGATCGGGTGGGGCGCAGACCGGGCTACCCACAGGATGGCCAACTCGGGGTGTGGATAGGAGCTGCGCAGATCAGCAGTCCGGGTGATTTCTAAGGACCTCCAGAGCGCAGGTGTCGAAAGTGCGATCGCACGCCAACGTTGACATACCCCAGCTACGTTGAGAGGAGCTTCGTCTTTTCTGGCCTCTACGAAAAAGTCTTCGTGCACCTCGTCTTCATCGGCGATGAGAACCATCAAAAAGATCATACTCCAGATTTCCGTTGGTACACGTCGGATTGGAGAGAGGACGGCCTTGCATCGCATTATCAAAGAACCTGGGGCGTGGCTCAGAGTCTTTTTCGCCTCCAAGAGCCCTACAATCTTCTGCATCAAGGCAGCCTGGTTCGGCGAAGGGTCTATGTCGTTGCCTGCGTTGAGAATTTCAGCAACGTAGTTCAAGATGGGGAGGAGATCAGGGTTGATATTGGGTTCGGTCTCATTGGTGGCGCAAGTGGCGTTAGCTGATTGGGTGTCGTTCGACATGGTCATGGTTTGTCTTGGGGGATCCAATGATTGACTGGTTGGTTGTTCTTATATTTCAGTACCGGGCTTCAGTGGCACTGCAAAGCGACAATGGATCCTCGACGCATGAAGGATTTCCCCGATTACGAGATGACTCACAATCAAAGAATTGCGCTTATTCTAGGCAACAAAGACTGCACCCCTTTGTTTCGAATCCGTTAGAGGGACGGCCGGGAAACAATCTATTCGTTCAGCTATTTCTACTTGACCCTTTCGGTTGCATTGCGGATGCAATACTCTCGATCATCAGCCGTGGTCCTCTTTATTCAATGCCACTAGTGGTCGCAGGCGGCAGTGAGCCCACTAAGCAAATTTCAAGAGCTAGAAAGGGCCTCGCCAGAGCAATGAGAGACACATATGCGCTTACGATCAATTAACTCCCTGCCGACATTATGAAGCTGATAGACTTTATTCAGTGAAGTAACATGGTCACCCCTCGAGTCGAGTCCTTCCCCCTTAAACTGGTCCTCTCCTCTGTATCGTCACCCTACTCTGTGTCTCCGCCCTCCATATCACTTTTGATCTCAGTGTCCCAGTCATAATCCACGTGTAATTTGAGACCCTCCCTCTGATATACTTCGAGCTGATCAAAGCCTGGCGGTGGACCCAGTTTACGCGAGGAATAGATTTCAACCTCGTCCAAACGAACCCTACCATTGTCCACGTGCCACCTGGATTCGACCATTCGTATGAAAAGACTGTTTCTCTTACCGATAACGGAGCGGCCAAATAAGATCCGTTCTAAATTAGGGCATAGGAATTTCTCGTCGGGGCCTCTCCAAGTAAGCGACCGCAACAAATCCTTTCCGAACGGGGTGCCTGTCATTCCAACATCCACTTTTAGGACTTTGATGGACCCGCTTATCGCTTCGAGAACCTCTTTCATCTCCCTCTTTGGAATGGGCACGGTGAAAATGAAAAGCTCTGTCAGGGCACAGGCCGATCGGGCGAGGAATGACATGAGAGGTTCATGCAGATAACCGTTGTCCCAATACATCCCAAACGTTTTAAGATTGGGTGCAGTAATCAAGGACAGCACCTTCGTCAGCTTCAACGTTTCTCCTTCGTCGAAGAGTTGAATTGTACTCGTCACCGTTAGGGAATGTAGCTGGGGAAGGAAAACTGGAGGGAGAGTCGCGCATGAGTCTTCGATGCCGCAAAATCGCCCCAAATTACACGTCGTCAATTCAGGCGACTCGTGGAAAACTAGCCAGCACAGTATCAGGGGATAATCAAAGTCAATGTCGAGCTCGGTAAGTCTGATAGGCACTGGCAACAAGTCTTTTTCGTAACGAATGCTCCAGTCAGTATCGTCGCATAACGAGAAAATACGTAGTCGCGGGGCGTCCTCCCATATTCGGTGAATGAATGGGTCAAAGGTGCTCCAAGATTGGACCACATCCTTGATCACCTTGACTCTCTCCAACAATGGTGCTCCTGCCTCGATATCATAGCCATTGAGGAAAGGCAAAGCGAACTGGACAGATTTCCAGCGTGACATACAACTGAGCAGTTCTCCCACGAGGGCTTCCTGATCAGGAGAATTTTGTTTATTTCCTGCATAAAGGTCCTGCACGGCTGGTAAATCGCCCTGCATGTCAATGGTAAACGAGAAGGAGATCGGGCACGGAGCTGATCGAGCAAGCCACAAAGAGACCAGCTCTCTGCGTGGGTATGAACTGTCGAGGGATGGAGACCGGGTGATCCATATGGAACTCCAAAGGAAAGGCGTTGAAAGAGCGATTGCACGCCAACGTTTACACACCCCCGCTACGTTAAGAGGGGCTTCATCTCGCACGACCTCTATGTAAAGTCGATTCTCATAGCGGAGGCACTCCACAAAGATCATGGCCCAAATCTCCGTTGGTATGCACCGAATTGGAGAGACGACGGCCTTGTAATAGGGAATCATGGTGCTGTGGTCCAGATTCTTGTTCACTTCCAAGAGCCCTTCGACTTTACGCATCAAGGCAGTCTGGCTCGGAGAAGGGTCCATGTCGTTTCCTGCGTCGGCAACGTCAGTCAAGATGGAGAGGAAGTTAGGATCGGATTTAGACTGACTGGAAGCGGGAGTGGCGTTGATTGACTGAATGTAACTGTAGTTCGAAGTTCGGACGTGTTGTGGTTCGCAGACTGGGAATTTTTCGTTCGGTCTATATAGCAAGATCATCCAGTGGCACCACCGGGCTCATTGTCATCAGAGCGCCTTGTCCTCATGTATGAACAAAGGATTCAGAATGGCGTGTTGAAAGAAAGAAGACCGACCACATGGACAAGAAGGACCTCTTGAGTGACCTTGTTAAAAGCGCATCTTCTGATCAATACGCCCGATGACCGACACCTCGTCAGTCACCAAAATCTCGGATTAGCGGGTATTTATTTACATGTACGTGGTAGCAACGATGGGAATAATGATAATAATACAACAATGTAGCGTCCGCAGATCCAAGAGCATATCGCGGACTTGCTAGTCTAACAAGATCAGTTGCACAAAACGTCTACGGGAGGCTGAAATTCATGGAGTCGCGGTCATCTGCCCAGAGTCGAGCCCACTCTAAGCATAGTCGGTAGACGTAGACTAGATTGTTGTGGGTAAAGTCAGCCTCAAAACACCAAGTCGAAACGAGTGGCTCACCCTCCATATCCAATGTCCGACCAATGGTTTTCTTCCACCGCTTTCCGGCAGTGGCGATCCGACGCAAATGCTCGTCGCCCTCCAGTGGGGGTGTCCGCTTCTGGTGAGGAGAGGGGATAGCCACGTCTGTAAAGTTCGCTGCTTTGAAAACAGCCGAAGTCGGCCCAGAGAAGTACGTGTAGATGTTGTAAACTTCTTGGTATGATGGTGACAAAGGAATGAAGTGATACCTGCCATGCTGATAAGCTTCTCATCGTAGGTAGAGGACCTGTGCGTACCAGGGCTGAATCCAATCAGAGAAGAACTCGTCATACACGGTGGCTTTGAGAGGCACGCTGTCACTAGCGAGGAAGGCGAGAAACCTGCCGCTGTAGCTCATCCCGTCCATATCGACCAGGTACTTGTATGACCAATGTTTTCCCAGTGGGACGGGGTTCGCGAAGCGGTGTGCAGTCATCAGTGCTGAAAGGCCGCCAGGATATTGTCCTGCTACTTTGACAAAAGCAGTGTCCATAATCTCCTCGTTCAGCTGGCCAACTGGAACGGAAACAGGAACGAAACCCGTAGAATTAGGTTTTGTAGCGAGGACTGTGCGGTTAGTTTCTGATTTATCTGAGGCCATTCGAAGAAATCTGAAAAGAGAGTTAGGAGATGTGCACTTTTACACAGCTGTGAGGAACGCACCTGTGCCTTTGAAACTGGGGCGTGAAGCCGGGTGGGTGGTTTCCGCCTCCCGTGGTCGCACCCCTCCAGAAAATCTTGTCGATTTTGTCTTCCCATGGAACTTCCATAGCGTCCACCTCGACCAGCACCTTCTTGTCAAAGTCCCAACCATAGGTATAACCTTTCGTGCTTCCGTAATAATAATGACTGGGTATTCTGATATCGAGAAATCCTCTGGCCTTGGCTGGACTGAATATCGGGTATAGCGCTGGTAATGTTCGCCAGTCGGAGAAAAAGTGGCCTTGAAGGACGTGTGAATGGGGTTCATCGCAGTAATTGACAGCAGAAGACGTGGTTGGTGAGAAGCCAAAATCGTAACCACGACTTGGCGCAACGGAGGCCAAGTAGTTTTTCCCATGTGAGATGGCTTGATTCCGCATAGAGAAATAAAGACGGCGAGCGGGGCTGTCTGGAGAACACGTTCGACGCCACGAGTCCCAGACGTTGCCGTCTGAACCCCAATCTGGCTTGAACTTCCCGCCCAGCATTGAGTCAATTCCACCTGTTAAGGTGGTGTTAATGGGGTGGAAGGGCTGATTCGGGTGACGTACCTGAAGAATCCTGCTGCGTGAGATTGGGGTAACGTTGATGCTCCCAAGGAACGACAACTCTGCCCTCTGCCTTAGCATTAATTGGAAAATCCATGTCTGGAAGCTAGACAGGGATTTAGAAACGAAGGGGTTTGGAAGTATTATCGACACGCACCTTTTTCATGAACTTCCCAAGCATAGAACGAAATCCACGAGCTCGAGCACTGACTTCTGAGTCCTTGAACCCTCCATGATTATTTTCAATCGTGACCTTCCCGCCCTTGATGCGAAGCAAATCAATTGATGGCAGTTGACCAGCCTTGAAGATGAGAGTGAACAACAGTCGTGGTCGGGATATAAGAAACTAACCTGGGCAGCACGACGGCGTACTTCTTCACCAGAAAGCTCGGAAAATGGAGCCAAATCCTCCATCAACCCATCGTACTCATCTACCATCTTCACTTCGTACTTTTGCGCGAAATCCCACCACTCGTCGAAGCCCTTGGGCGGTTCCCGTCGATACCGTCTTTTGTACTCTGCCACTGCATCTCCCAGAGTCTTACTCTGCCGTTGCAGCTTTTCCTCGTACTTTGATTCAGCCTCCTGTATCAACTTCGGTATGGGGTGCTCTTCAGGCTTGACAAGGCCAATAGGTTCTTCTGGACGCGTGTTTTTCCCATATATATTGGCTTTTTTCGACAGCCATGATGTTTCTTGAGAGGGAATGGGAAATTTCGTTGAAGATGTTCGAAACCGAAAGGCGTCTGCATTGCAGATGATGACGAAGACGGTACCCAGGGCGACGTATAAGCAGTACGTTCGAACGGACCTGGAGATTTTCCGCGTCTTGAACGCCCTCATCGTGGACATTCGCGATACGGAAGGAAATTTGGGATCGTTGAACGACTGTTGAAGACGGACCGCTCGGGAATGGATCCACAGCGCTTCATGTTTAGTGAATTTGGTGTCAGGCACAAACAATACAAAGACATAACCAAAGCCAGTCCTACGTCTCAGACAAAATCATTGTCCTCAAAACAAAGGCGCGCTAGATACTTTTAACAAAGTAGCTTTTGAGACCTTCAAGCTGTATCGTGAGGTCACTAAACTTAGTTAAATTGCTCTTGAATTGCTCATGAACGGGTTTTCTCTTGGCTTTCTCTGACCCCTGTCAGGTAAACTGTCGACGTAATAACCTTGTGAGAATACAGTGGGAATACAAGTGCGGTATAGAAACTTAGGAGGATAGATTGCGATGGAAAGCTACTGATGCTAAGTATGTATGCGATGGATGTGGTAGTTAGTACAGGAATTGTTGAATTTTCAGGTCCGTATGTGTGTGCCTAAATGCGATAGTCCATGGGGATAAACAAGTCCATGCGAGGTGCCAAGTGCGAGATGTTCGGATATCCGATATGTATTTTTTTCTTTTTCGTTTTTCTTTTTCAGCGGTCGGACACTAATAAAAGCATCTGGATCTAAAAGAAGCCCAAGAGTGAGATAATTGGCGAGAATGGGAACAAAATCAACTTACAGCACATTACCCCTCTCAGATATATCAAGCTTCAATCCTTCGCGTTGCATATTTTCCAAGCGTCGGACGTCATGGTAGTGTTCTCTCTTCGTGTCAATTTCGAGGACAACTTTCCTAAGCCGCCGACCCGGATTATACCAGCGAGATTTGATCATGCTTCCAAACGCTCCGTCAGAGCCCAGAATGGTCTGACGATTGACGCTGATAGTCTTGAGGAAAGGGCAGTAAAACCCTCGCGGGTCAAATGAAAGCTTCTGGAGGAGGGCGGGACGAAGAGGCGATGGGTGGTCTGATCCGGTGTGAATCTTGAGATGCGTCAAAGTATTGCTAACCCGATGGAAACATTTTTCTAGATCTTTGTCAGTTAAGGAAACCACGTCTAAGGTCAGGCTCTCAAGAGGACACTGAGACCATCCCATGAACGCGTCGAACGCCTGCTGTGACCATCGTTCTTCGGATCCCAAAAGAAGGCTCTGAAGACGCGGGGCCTTGATGGTGTTAAGAATTGGCGCAAGAATCATATGCTGGCTGTGGTTATCAAATTCGAGAAGGTCGACGGTGAGCTCGAGAGAACGCAGATTGTGGAGCGTGGCCACCTTGGCGTTCGAGGGATGCGGCAAGGAACCCACCGAAATGTTCTCAAACACGCAGTTGACTAGTTTTTGGGAGAATTGTAACATCCGGATGCATTCGATGACCGACACAGTGCTGGAGAGGGAGATACTGGTTAACTGTTGGAAAGGAAGGTTAAATATGGAAAGAAATCCGGGTGAAGTACTGGGAGCACCCCAGTGTTCCATTTTAAATTCCTTAAATCGAGGAGACGCTGCCCAAATATTGGACACTCTGGTGCTAAACTCTTTGAAGTCGGAAGGACCGACCAGTTCCAAAGACTCCAGCCTGGGTGCACCAGTGCTTGGAATGTGTTTGAGACTGCTCATATTGACGTAGCGTGTATAAAGCTTGACGTCGCTCCATCTATCAATGAAGTAGACCAGTGTATCCAGGATCTGCTTTACTTCCGCTGCGTGGGTACGATGCGAGCGGTCATCAGGGTCTTCAGGTGCAAAGCAGATCTCCAGACGCTGTTTTCCCGCACGCGTGAGCCACGCGCTGAGTAAGGCAGGGCTAGGAAAGTGGCGTGCTCTGAGATTTCGCATGATATGGATGGAACACCATAATTTCGGAGATTCCAGAGCAATAGACCTCCAGCGGCGGCACACCTGACTGATAGACAAGGGAGCTGCAAGACGGCTGGGCCTGGTGTAGCCTTCATTTGGAAGACAGTGCAAGAAAATCATTCCACATAACTCTTTCGTCAATTTATGGATCGCCCTTGATTTCCTGGCCTCCGGATAGGTCCTACAATGTCCGCGAGTCGACGACAACGTTCGGGGGTCAGACATTTGCATCGAAGAGAAGTTTGCATTGAGCGCGCCGATGTATGAAGGCGAAACAGGAGGAGGAGCGTAGAAATTACTGTTTTGCATCATGGGGGAGAAGCTCCTGTTCGAAGCGGAGATGTACGAGGGCGAGGCAGGAGGAGGACCGTAGCTGTTACCAAGAGCGTAGTTACCGTAGCTACTGGGCTGAGTGGGAGACGTATTTCCATAGCCGCTTTCATAAGCAGAAGGAATACAAAAACTGCCACTTTCGAGTTGCTCTGAAGTGAAGAAATGGGTGAAGCTACCCTGTGGAGCAGCTTTGGCGCTGAGACTCAAGCGACGGCCCTTTGCGTGTGATGGGTGTGGCATGTGGACGATGGTGCGTCAGAGGTGACTTACCTACCGGAGAGACTTGAAAGCTGAAAAAAAAAAGGATATTGGAGACGAGACAAGATATAGATGAGAACGAGCGTGATTTTCAGATGAAAGTTATTTGAAGAGGGTTGAGGTATGTAATTTTGAGAGTGTTAAACGTTGAGTTGAGCGTTGAACGTCGGACGTTTGAGTGAATGCTCATTTCCCCAGCCCGCCTTTTATTCGTGCTGTGCTGGGCGGTTTTCCCATTTGGCCACAAGAGCATCGTCAAGCTATACCTACCTTTTGTGGTGGTCGTCAGTGAGGGGAACGTGGGAAACAGATAAAAACAAAGTTTCTGCCGCGGGTTGCAACGCCGACAACGGCATCTCCGCCTCATTGCGCTTTCCTTCACTACTCATACAAAAGCTGTTAAATTTACCATGGTACTACTCTTGTCAGCCTTCTGTATAGCCGGCGGCAGGTCCGCGCTAACGGCGCCTCTCGCGACCTTCATGCGTTGCATTGCAATGTCATGTACTTACCACGAATCGTGAAGAAACACAAGACTATGACGCCGCCTTTTCATCCTCCGCGAGAGCCGTGCATTTGTGGTGGCCACTTGCACATCGCCTAAACGATTGACAAGAGCAATGGGAACAAGGTCAGGACTCAGGACGGGCTCAATCCGCCCTCCCGTTTACATCAACTACTTTTTGTCTTCTTCACATTCCACTCCTGAAGTCAGTAATGGCGATATAGAACTAGAAGCAGCATGGCGCACTTGGAAGCGCGCGGGGCCTATATCGGCAGATGAGATGACAGTATATGATTACCCCGAGGTCACTTGATCGAAACAAGTTGCTGCTAGTTCAGCCCTCCAAAAACCTGGTTTTTCGTTCGTTTTATGCAACGTAGGAAACGCGGCTACTGCAAATTGAATGTGTCGAATAATTTTGCCCGTGTGACAGCTGTGACACTGTGGGATGGCTAGTGACGCGGTGACGTCGTCTTCTCCTCTTCACTTTCACCCCACAATTGCTAGCAGGCATGGGAGGTGCAGAGTCTGTTTCTCCGACGCCAAGAGAGCCGGTCTCTGAAGATCTGTCGTCTTACTTCAATAAAAGCGCCGCGATAGTGAGGACCTACACAGACAGGTGCGTGCTGTAAAATTGGGAACCAATGATGTTGTTACAGCTGAATTGAACGGCGGTGATAGATTCGAACATCAATATGCTCGCCCCGTTATGAACACATCCCAAGCGTTCTTTGACGACCGTCCGATATCCGCAGTACGTGTATTGCGTTTATGAATGATTGACCACCGGAACTGAGTTCTTCTTAGATATTCGTTGCAATCTTCTCTACGCTTAGCTTTTTACCCGCAGTTACCTTTTTGTAAGTTGACCACCTCTACCGCGAAATGGGTGTTGATCGCTCGAGCTGAAACAGAGGGATATCCTTATTCATCATCTTTGCGTCCACCGTCACTGCTCTGGTTTTTGCATTTCTTGCGGCTGCCGCCGTCGTACTCACGCTCTGTAAGCCTCCCACTCCCTCTTGCTCCTCGAAGACGCGGCCTAAACTCCAAGCAGTGACCTGCCTCGTATCTACCCTCATCGCAACGGCCTTTGCCTCTGCATTCCTCACCTTTGCACTTATCAGCTCCTTCCTCTTCCTCCGTATCGTCATCCTCGTTCACCGGGACGGTGTACTCGGCATCTCAGCATGGGTGAGCGAGACCAAACAACGGCTGATCTACGTCTCCACCCCTCGTCCCCCCACCAAGCCTCCCAGTAGCAAGCGAGAAACCGGTCCTCTATTGGAACGGTCAGACTCGCCCAGCAGCTCAGTGATAGTCGTGCAAGAGATGGGTGTCATTTCCCGGCCTTCCGACATCAAACATGAGAGGGAGCTTTACGATGATTATGGAGCTCAGGGGTCGGGTTAATTTTTGTCAAATCTCCGGTTTGTCCTTGTAATATTACTACAGCCACAGTCGTTGTTTTCTTGTGCGTGCTTTTTATAGAACCCCTTTTCCCCACAAATGCCCCTGGATCAAACACGAAACAACAAGCCTTGTGAACTGTTGGCGCGCGACCACGTTAATGAGACGTGTCCCCGTCGCTGCGGAGAATTTGGCGCCTTATATGTATAGCTTGACGATGGATCCTTTCTGCTCTTTAAATTCCCACTTACTTCATCAAAATTTGGTGATGATCGTCATTGAGCTTCAGAAGCGACAAGGAAGCCTCAAAGCAGCCGTTTGTAACGAGTGTTTTGAAGTGTGCGTCAGTTTGAGCCAATCTCTTCGCCGCTTGCTTAAGTATATGGTGCGCGCAGAAATCGGTTGTATATACGGCCTACAATCCAAATTTTAGTGGCCTGCATCGATCCGAATGCTTTTCTTGTTAGACCTTCCTGAAATAAATTGTTCCTCCTACATAATCAATTCTTCTGCTTATCATAGACAGTTACTGCCCTTTCATTTTTTTATGCCCTCTTCCCAATTATTTCCATCGCGTAAGTCTTCCTCCGCATCCCCTGTACCTGGTCAATTCAAATCCCAACAGAATCGTTTCTTTATCTATTTCCTCCGCATGGAAAAGCCTTCATTTGCCTGCATACGGTTTAGCAATGGTGGACGTATCCCTGCGTCAGCTTGATCTTCCTTACACATTTTTTTCGGTACTGACGAATTACCTTTCTGAAAGTCTCCGCCCTTTATGCGTTTCCTGGAGCTAGCCTCTTCTTCTTTACCGCTCTAGGTATTGCCGCGATCGCTATCGAGATTTTGACACCTTACATCAGGCATTTTCTGTTCCGAAGACGATGCCAGGTCGCGTCGGCCAGGGACGCAATTCGACAGGAAGGAATCCGACTTCGGAAAAGGTTGTACCGCGAAGCGACGCAGCTGGCGGTTATGTTGGAAATTAAGGAAGACCAGCGCTCGGAGGTTGAGAGTGTCGACCTACTAGTAAAAGGGTCTTCTGGCAAAGAGTCTGCTGTTAGGAACAAGCTGCCGGACTCGCCAGAGAGCAATGTAGAGCACGCGCAAAATACGAGCCAATTTGACGTTGAAGGCTGGCTTCTCGTGGCCAATGCTGAACGGGTTGCTTCAACAGTAGGCAAGGAGAGCTCGGATGTAGGAAAACTGAAGACGGAGAAAGGTGCGTTTTTCTCTGTGTGATTTTTTTAATCTGACGACTACGGTATATCAGATATTGAAAAAAATCGTCGAGCGTCGTTTTAGATATGTCAAGGATCTCCTGTGTTGGAAGAAATTGTGCCGTCGCCATGTATTAAAAGTTTTGCACAACTTGCTCCTTCCTGAATCGTGAGCATGATGAGTCTGCTGCGTTACAACTAGCCAGATTTGTCTGGAAAAAATTGGTGACTAGCCACACACCCTGAGCGGTGTCGATAGTGTTTACGCGAATATTTATACGTTATTCCGGTATCCCGACCTTTCTTCGGAGGCGAACAATAATAGGTGTCTGACAGAACTTCAATTTGATACTATGTAGCCTGAGCCGACATAGAAGAGAACCGGAGACGGCTGAAATTATGGCAACAGGGAGTGGTCAGCTTCGTTTTTTCGGCAAACACCGTTATTTGTCCACTTGCCGAGTTGCTGCCGCGCATAATTATTACAAAATACTGTTTTCCCACGATAATTACCTTACTTGTGGCTCGTAAATGTGAAGCATCCACTGAAAACAACAGTTCTGAGAGTGCATCAGTGATGATGGGTACACCATTTCCTGCTTATTTGGTTTGGAAATTTGTTTGTCAGCTCTGTATCATGGTACTTAACCTTCTGAATTGTTTTTATTGATGTTCAACTCTAAGAGGTTCAATCCAGGTCAAAGGATTAGTAAAAAATGCATTGGAATTTTTTTCATCTCATGGTTCTATCTGCAGACTTTGAAAATTTTCAAATTGGTGGCAAGGTAGCTGAGAAAATCTTTTGACTACTGCAACTCAAATTTAAGGACTATGGGTATGTATATTTCAATCTCTGACTAGGATGTTCACTCTACATATTTTCTTGTATTCCAGGAATTAATTGATGAGCTACTGTCCTTTCTTGCTAATGCTAATTCTCCATTACAGTCATGTCTTTACCCTCCATATTCACAGAGTAAATAAAAAATACCTCATTCAAAGTATAACACCTGGGAAAAGCAGTGATTTGAAAATGTACTAGAAGATTTATTCCCTTCTGAGTACTTGTAATTATCACAGGACTTACAATAACTTACCCCACAGAATTTCAATGATACTAAAGGCATTTTAGTTGAAAATTAGCTTTTTTTACTGTTTTATTCAGCATGAGGAGTGCTGCAGATTTGTGGTGAAGAGAATCAAATTACTTTCTTTAATCTTAACTGCTGAAGTTTGTTTCACCATTCTTCAACTTTGCACAGTGGCTGAAAAAGAATTTCGAATTTTGACTAATTTTTTGAACAGCATAATGTGACTGGCTGAAAGCTGGACAGTGTTGGTAGAGAACAATTTACATAGCAGAAGTATCATAACATAAAGATAACAAACAAATTTAAAAAGCAAATAGACAGGAGATTGTGTACTTACCATCTCCGACACACTCTCAGAACTGTTAGTGCTCAATATTTTACAAGCTCAAGTAAGGTAATTATTGTGGGAAAATGGTATTTGGTAATAGTTATGTCCGGCATGCAACTCGGCAGGTGGGCAAACAACGGTGTTTGCCGCGAAAACGAAGCTGACCACTCCCTGTTGCCATATGAAATGGTTCCAAGACAACTCGGGTATTTTCTTCAGCTTTTGAGAAACGGAACCCAACTTACGATAAGTACATGGAATACGCGCAGCTTCTCTAGCCGAAAGACTTGAAACCATGGAAATATTGATCCCAAAAATCCTTCTTTTTCTGCTTTTCTTAGTCTCGTTACACGGTGCGCCAGCCGCCAGCTAAGCCTTCCCTCAAGGAAGTGTGTCCGTTTTGATCTTAAGGCTAAGTTGGACTGAATAAGGATAAGTTGTGTGGTAAACATGGCAGCGAAAATACTAAAGGGACTTACTTTTTTGGTTTTTAAGAAGGCGTCAGGTTACATTCTGATCTGGAGCCGAACTTGAAAGCTTGACGCCTGGAATGTTTCTTGAGACTGTGGTATATAAAGTGTGCGAGCCAAGTCGAAGGACAAGTCCCCTCACACCCTTAGCCATGGCCCCAAGAATCCTTTCCCTTGTGCTTTTCTTGGCCTTGTCCATGAAGGCTTTATCCACGCCCTTACACGATGGCGTGCTGAGCAAGCGAGCCTACACCTGCCCAGAAACAATCACCGACCCAAAACTCGGCGAGTTCGTCCTGGACCCAGATCAGCTATCGACTAGTGAGGAGGAGGATTATAAAATTTTGAATTGCTTGTGCGTCCTTTCTATTTCGGCTACGACAAGACGAGCTGAGTTGAGCTGGTTTCTTTATCAGCTACGTGTTGAAAAGCGATCCCAACCAACAGACATACTGCAGCTACAGTCTGGAGGTGAGTTTGAGCTCGCCTCTGATTCTCCGTTCGCGTGTGACATAGATTGCTTTTCAGAATGGCCATGTGTACACAAATCTGGACGGGATCTGTCCTAAAAAATTGAAGTAGCTATAGCCGTAGCTATAGACTGGAGTATTCCAGTAGTTTCGAATTGTAAATAGAAGAGCGACCGGGTTTGTGACCAAGCGATACCTTAACGTGTCGGCCTTCTCCTCCTCACGCTTCAATTGAAGAGCACCAGCTAATCGACGCCTCCGAGCTCCAGAAAACCGATGCGGATGTTCACCACGCCAGAGACGCGGCGTTAAAGTAGGGTTTCGACCGCACATCAAGCGGGAGCCTCGTCCTAAACCTTCGATGGGATTGAAAGTGCACCTCTGCGGACCTTGAACAAAGTAAGCTGGAGGGGCGTTGCGAGACGAATGAGTGCTCCGATATTCAGAACACGAACCTCATCCAGGCCAGCCGAAACTGGCAAGGGCCTTGTCATAATTGTGAGCCCAGAGTCACTTTGAGTAATATGACCGGTGAATCCGTTTTGATCTTATGGCTGAGTTGGATTCAATAAGGATAAGTTACGTGGTAAACAGCGAGAACAGTAAGGGGTCTTACGCACATAGTTTGAAAGCTAGGTTCTGATAGTCGTATTTTGACGCTCTAAAATGAACTACTTCCATAATGGCCATGTTTGCCAGCCGGATATCCATTTCGACTGGACACCTGTTCGTGCTTCGAGAAATGCTAGACGAGAACCGAAGACGCCTCGAATGATTCTTGAGAACTGTGGGTTGTATATAAACGTGTGCAGGCCAAGTCGAAGGACAAGCCTCCTTCATACCCTTAGCCATGGTCCCAAAAATTCTTTCTCTTGTGCTTTACTTGGCCTTGTCCATGAAGGCCTCATCCACGCCGTTACACGATGGCGTGCTGGACAAGCGAGCCCACACCTGCTCGGAATCGATTACTAGCAAAACACTCGGCGAGTACGCCCTGTACGCGGAATTTATTACAGAGACTCCAAGTGATGGGTTGATTTTGAATTGCGGGTGTGTCCTTTCTATTTCAGCTACGACAAGACGAGCTGAGCTGGATTTCTTATAAGCTACGCGTTGAAAGGTGATGAAAACCAGCAGACATACTGCAGTTACAGTCTGAAGGTGGGTTTGAGCTCGATTCTTGTTGGGGCGTAACATGGATTGCTTTTCAGAGTGGCCATATCATCGAAAACCTGGATAAGTTCTGTCCTGTTGAATTGAAATAGACTGGGGTGTGGTACTAGTTTCAAGTTGTAAACCCGTAGAACACCGGGCCGGGGCTGTTACAAATTTTACCTTGTTGTGTCTTTCTCCGAACTTCCTCCTCCTCATGTATCAACTGAAGAACACCGAGAGGAAGAAGAACGTGCTGCGCAGTGCACCGGGTCAACGATAAGGTTAACGAATAAGGCGGGAGAGCATCGGTGGAATCTGATGATTTCGCCGTATTGATTGCCAGGAAGAACATTCACCGCATAGGGGGGCGAACGTGTGCAGGCCTTTGTCCAATCAGCTCGCAAGATTCAAGTCGTGTGCCAAATTCTGATATGCACGTTTCTCTGGCACACGAGCACCTAAATACAGTCAGTGATTATGGAGTGCCGCAGTTTGCAACTGGTCTGCCACGATGCCACCCATCATTGCCTTGTTATAGCGACTTGAAGTCACCACCCGCACATTTGTGCCCCACCCATGCCCGACAACCGAAAACACCTATACGCTGCTTCTTGTAACCCTCCTCGCCGTGCTAAACGTCTCCCGGTCCCTGAATCCCCCTTGGACCTCGCTCAGGAACACCCTGATATGTCGCTTCCCCGACCAATCCTTCCCAAGAACTTACCTCACTCAATGAAACCAACCACAAACCCAGTTCTTTCCGACGAGCATGCTGTGCCAGCTCAGCAGGCCCCTGCGCCGTCGAAGCGGGGTCGCAAACCTGGACCCCTATCTCGTACTGCACGAGAAGCCCAGAGACGGCTTAACCATTCCATTATCGAGAAAGCAAGGCGCACCAAGATAAACGAGGCTTTAGCTACGCTCAAGCAGCTCGTACCGGCAGATTACGGCTACACGAAGCCTCCTACGGACGAGGACGACGAAGACGAAGACAATGAAGATGAGGAGTATCAACACGGTACCAAGAAGCCAATGTCGAAGAAGACCGGGAAGAAGGAGGAGAAAGAAAAGGAGTTCAAACTCGAAATCCTTGTTAGGACCGTTTCCTTCATGCAGGACCTCATCAAGAAGGTCGCTGTTCTGGAGGAAGGAGCTACCTCTCCTCAGCCGTGTCCTTCTTGCACAGGCTCGGGGTCCGGAGACCCAAAGAAGCGGAAACGCTCCCACCTCGACGAAGTCGACGGTAAAACCCAATCAGACCAATCACCACGCGAGAAAAACCGTCCCCGTCGTTTAACCGGGTCTTCGTCTTCCGGGGGATCCTCCTACCCCAATAACACTCAGCGCACTCCCCTAACCCAACCCCAAAGCGACGCTCGCCTCCCCTCCATTTCCTCCTGGCTTCCCATGTCCGTCATCGACCCATCCCTCCTCCCTCCTCCCCAGCGCACCCCACCCACTCCGCGCTCATACCTCCCCTCGCCCCCCTCCTCTACGCATTTTGATCCCGTACGCACGTCCCTCGTGCCCCCCGCGCTGAGTCTGGGCCCGATCGCTTTAGCTGCGCCTTCAGCTACTGCTACTTCCAGCACGCGTCCCAGGGCGTCGTCCATCCAGAGCAGAACACCCGAAGACGAATCTGCTGCATCCCTCCTTCTGCAGATCAGCGCATCGTCCCCGCCGTTCAGGGCTTTATCCTCCTCATCGACGTATGGTCTCCCGGATCCGAGCAAGTTCACGCTTCACCCTTCTGAAAGTGTGAAGCTGGGTGTTTTGAAGGCCCAGACGCCGGGGTCGTTGTTGGGCTTGAATCATCGGACTGGCGGTTTGAGTGGGAGTGGAAGTGAGAGTGGGAAGCAATAGCTTTCGTGGTGGTGTAGGTGTTTGGGTTCTTATTTCTTGATTATTGAAGGACACGCGAAAGATTAAAATCAATCGGATTGATTGTAACACATACAGATATGTAGGTAGCTGATTTATTGCTTGTAACACACTGGGCCGAATCCTCGATAGAGGGAGGTCGTTGTAATGTATGCACCGAATTCGACGGGGATCGATTGGTGACTGCATCTGTCACACTGTCACACTGCCGACTTTCAAATTGTCGGCAGGCATTTGGACGTTCTTGAACCTCGAAGCTTCAACGTTCAACGTCCATTGAAGTTTGAATATTCATGCATCGCTGCCTACAGATTCAAGAAGTACTCTCTATCATCTTTCAATGTCTTACGAGGACATCACTGGCACGGCTCGCGAGGACGTGTACCACTTTTCGAGACCCAGCCTTGGACATCCTTTGGCGCGATCAATGTACCCTCATTCCTTTATTGAAATGTCTTCCAAAGGACTCCTGGGCCATCCAAGACAATAAATTTGTAAGCAACATTCTAGAAACTCAAGAACAATAAGATTTATCGTACTCCAGAAAATTACCAGGAATCTTACGGCGTCTGATTTTGGGAGAATCTACGTTTACTGCCACAGAATTAGATCTCTTTCACTCTGGTATCCGATTTCTAGTCATTTTGAAGCGCAAGTCCTACCAATGATCTGGTCACGAAAACCATCTCGAGGTCCTCTTTTGTGTAATCTGTCAGCTGTCATACTACACAGCGACGACTTCAAGGATCTCGCCATTTTTCCTCGCCTCGTAATCGGCCCGCATATTAGGACAATAAAAATTGACCCGAGGGATTCGTTTTCGTGGGCGAATTTAACGGCCGTGCTAAAGAAGGCTGCACCGACGGATCTTTCAAGTTTTATGCTCAGAAGATTTGACTCCACTTTATCGTGGTCAGTGGCTGAGTCGTTGGAACTTTTGTTGATCCTCCGCGGTGCTAAGACACTGGACACTGGTCGCATGTTCCTCACATCCCATGCCATATCCCTCATTGCTACATTCCCTGCACTCGAAGATCTCAAGTTTTCAGTCACAGAACGGGAGATGGAGGGTTGTACCGCTTCTATGGTTGGGAATAGTTTCCAGACCATCACTTCCCTAGCCATTCGCTCGGATTCCGACAATGCCTGTCAAATGATGCTCATGCAGATACAGTCAAGAACATGCCGGTCATTGGAGCTCAACCGAACCTCACACGATACGAGTTGGGATGTTGGGAAGCTTTCTTTAGCTCTCCATGTGTGCAACATGGCGTCAAGCCTGGAAAGTTTGCATGTGTGCAATGACCTATGGAAGGACTACGGATCTTTCAACATAAATGCTCGTGCGCTCAAACACTTGCATTCATTCGAGCAATTGCGCGACTTGTCTGTAGACCCATCTTCTGTTGATCTGTGTGACAACGACCTTCTGGAACTTGCCAAGTCGCTACCTCAATTGCGATCACTCGTTTTCTCCGAACACTACGTTCTAAACAACCAGCCGAATTGCACATTCATCGGAATGCAGCACGTCATTCAGTTTTGTCCACATCTGCAAAAGTTGGATATTTGCGTTGATGCACGTCAAATCCCCATATTCGCTACCCAGCCTGACGGAGAGTATCCCATTGGCTTTCACCTTACTAGCGTCAATCTCCGGAATTCCCCTGTCTCAAATGCCTGCGACGTTGCATCCTATCTGATCATGCTCCTCCCAGTTCTCAGGAATTTTGATACTGCATATAGTGATGGAACAACGGATTATGAGGAGGGGCAGGTCGACGTCTATCAGGCGATCTGGTTAGAGGCAGAGCAACTACTGTAACACACATTTATCTCACAAACACAATGGTGAGCCATACGGCATCTTTCTCTCTGCTATATAGAAATTCCCTTGTAGACTGATAATCATTCAGACTGTCCTCAAGGTTTATATGAACGCTTATGGTTACCCGTGGGGTTATCCGCAATACAAATTTATTCATGAGCGTAAAGTTGGCCAAATTACGTCTTTCTCAAGGAGTTGAAACAAGGTCGACGTCAACGAACTGGCCATGGTTGAAAGTGGACAGCAACGCAAGCTAGGAAAACTCTCCTCTTGCCTTCGCAAGCTCGCACGAAGTGGACAACCCCCTGGATTACTCGCAAGAAATTGACAAGCCCAATCGCAGCTCAAAGCTCAAAATAGGACGCAGCAACACTGCAACCCCCGAGACAGATGTTCGGGTCCTTCAGACTTAGCTATACTCAAGCAGCTCGCCCCTCGGGTTACAGCTACTCAAAGCCTCAGGACGATGAAGACAATGACAATGAAGATGAGGGGTACGAAGAAGACAAAGCCGAAGAAGGGGGAGAAAGAAAAGGAGTTCAAGCTCGAAATCCTTGTTTGGACTGTTCCGTTCATGCGGAATCTCATGATTCATCAAGCGAGTCGCAGTTCTGAAGGAAGGAGCTATCTGTGTACTACCTGCACAGGTTCGGGGTCTGCAGACCCAAAGAAGCGGAAATTGACGGCGAACCTCAATCCGATCAACCACCCCCGCGAAACAGACCGTCCCCATCGTCTAACTGCATCTTCGGGAGGGCTCCTACCCCGATAACACAGTCCGACCACAGAGCACACCCGTAACCCAACCTCAAAGCGACTCTCGCCTTCCCTCCATCTCCTCCTGGCTTCCCGTCTCTGTCATCGATACATCCCTCCTCCCCCCTCAGCACACCTCACTAACTCCGTGCTCATACCTCACCTTGCGCCTTTCCTCTACGCACTTTGACCCCGTACGCACGTCCCTCGTGCTCCCCGAGGCCCGCGCTGAGTCTGGGCCCAATCGCTTTAGCTGCGACAGGTCCAGCGACTGCTACTTCTAGCACACCTCCCAGGGCGTCGTCCACCCTGTCAAGCGTTTCCACTACCCAAAGCAGAACATCCAACCGCTGCGTCCCTCCTCCTGCAGATCAGCGCTTCGTCCCCGCCGTTCAGGGCGTTTTCCTTCATATAGTCTCCCAGATCCAAGCAAGTGTACACTTCACCCTTCTGAAAATGTATAGCTGGGTATTTTGAAGGCCCAAACGCCGGGGTCGTTGTTGAGCTTGGATATTTGAGGCATCAAAGGTTCAAGATGAGCCTCAAAGTCGCAAACGTCATATCTACTCCTTTCTTGATCGAATTCACACTCCTATTTTTACGATTCAACCCATATAACAGCCTCACATCATGGCACCACCATCACGCAAAAACTCCTCCAGCGCGACCCAACTATAACGCGGGTGGTCCTGGCCAATTTCGCGCGTACGATGGACGAGCTATCGGTTTTCGATTCCCAGGAGCTACTCCTAATATCACCCTCGCCAAGTAAACGAAAGGATATCGCCCGAGAGACAGATTCAGTGACATTTGCTTGCCCGAGCGTACCAGGCAATCCTTTGCAGAAGGTCATGGCGATGATCCAAGATCTACGCAACGAGATCGGTGAACTCAAAGCTGAGCAAAGGAACCTCAATGCCCAGCTAACAACCCTTCAACCGATCGCCCGGAGAATTCTCGTTGATACCTATCTCTTCGTCAAAGGCTATCTGCCTTCCTCCGGTGGTGCTCGGAATACCTGGATCAGTTCAAACATCACCAACCTTACACCTCCCACAGGTACCACCACAGCGGCCTTCGAACAAAAACTCATGTAAGCAACATCATTCTATATCACCATCAACTGACACATCGAAATAGGAGCTATCGTAAAGACGGTGACTCTTGCACCCATTCCACGGAAACCCTTGCCATCGCTCTCGCCCTTGATGCTCTAAATCCCCGAGACGCAGATTTAGAGTACATGTTTCACTTCTGCTTTGGACATCGGGTCGAGGAAGAATTAGACGGCAAGGTGCCATCAACTTTGGTGGATGTGGGAAAGGATGGCGTGGCGCACTTGCAGAAAACCTTGTCCCCTACAAACTAGACCCTGCCCTTTGTACCTCCATCCCTATATACCTCTATTGAACATATCGGGCACTGTTAGATGCAGTTGGACTCATCTACTCAACCCCCACTAGGAAGAAACAGGCCAGAGAGGGCATGTGATGCTTGTCGTCATGCCCAACAGGCACTGCTATGTACGTTTCCATTTTCTCGTCTTCATGTATCTTATTCTCGTTATTTAGGGAAGCCTCAAACCCTAGAGATCCTCCTGAAGCGTACATCTCACTTAATATTCACTGACGGGTTGTTTCAACGTATCATTCAGGTACGTTAAGTGTTGGATTGGAATATAGGAGAGAGGAGCTGGAGGGTTTGCTGAACCAGGTCAGTATTTATAGTTATCGATGAGAGCGCAATACCCTAACTTCACCCTCATACCGATTTCTCAGAGCAGCTTGGGCCACCGGTCATCCGTGGCTCATGGAAGATGCCAGACAATTTTGCTGCCAACGAAAGCCAGCCTCAACCCCCATATTTCCTGCGTCGAATTTGACGCATGGCATCGTTCCCAGAGCTTTCAACATCCATGCCCGCGCATTCACATCCCCCCCCGCCCCCCCCCCCCCACACGGTACAGAAGCAACCTGAATCAATCTCTCTTGAACGTACCACACATCTCATATCCAAATCAAATCCACGCGTCAGGCGTATACGCTCAGAAATTACTCTTTCTGCTGCCGCATCCTCGTCTTGGAGAGGAAAGTATTATACGACTCCTTCAATGAGTTCATCAGAAGATGACGATGCGCCTTTATCATACGACACCGACTCAGAGGAACCAGTTGTCGTCGCGATGGAAGGCAAACGACCTATTTTGCTTGTATTTTGCTTAAGGCTAGCGAAAGACCGGTCCGGATGAGGATAACAGTATTGGGTTCCATGGAAGGAACAATACAGCGGACCTCGTAGAGACTGTCAGGAAATGGACAGGCGGCCGGAGTTTTGGCGGACACCAATGGTGATATCTGAGAAATGCTATCATAGTGGGAACTTGTATTCGAAGGCAACGACGAAGGCACCCCTTCCCTGCTGCCTTCCGCCTTGGAACACTTTCCCCCATCAGTTGTTTCCTCCATACAAACTTGATGTTTCCGCTTTTACATCGACCGACATTTGAGGGGCAGTGGGCAGAGGGATTGTATCATCGGAACGAATGGTTTACGTTGCCGTCGCTAGTCGCTGGTGCGATGACGAGTCCTTCCTGAGGAGGAGCGAGGGAGAGGAGAAGATGGTGATAAAACAAGAAGTTGGGTCAATGCAGGCAGAAAGTATGCTGAATTCGGAGACGGTATGTCCATTTTAGGCATATATCATTGACATCCCAGCAACTCATCTACATGTGCAGAACTAGTACATCGCCTCCGGCGAAGCACTTTGCTCTCTGCCACGTTATTCGAGGTGCAAACATTATCTGTGAGTCCCAATCATCCCCTCTTCATAATCTCTGATAAACGCAGTTGTTAGCTTTGTACCCCAGTGGTACTCAAATGCAATCTGCCGTCTCTGTCGGTTTGCGCAAAGCCCAGGATGTTGGTGTACATAGAAACAACCCTGCGTATCTCTCTCAAGGAATTGACAACGAGCCCAATCGCAGCTCAAAGAACGCAGCAACACAAGTTCGCCTTGCAACCCCCGAGACGGATGTTCCTTCAAAAGGACGAAGCGCCCTCCATTTCTCCTCTCCCCCACCCCTATCCGTATCTGAAGGGACCTGGCTACTATGTCCTTGGTTCTTGGCGCTTTCCAAGGGAAAGAAAACCCGCTTAACAATGACTATCGGTCCCCTTTCTCCAACCCGCCCTCCCCTTATCCTTCCTTCTTTCGAAAATTTCCACTCATCCATAGAAAAGCTTCGAACGAACGCATCCCTCTATTCACACCACGAAGAAAAAACACGAAGAAGCCGAGGAGCCTCCCAGTGCGAACTTGGACTCAAACGCGGAATATCGATTCAACATGGGGCAGGATCAGACGCCAGGGTCGTTGTTGGGCTCAAATCATCGTACTGGCAGTCTGAGCGGGAGTGGGGGTGGGAGTGGTGAGAGTGGGAAGCAACAGTAGGTTTGGTGTTTGCCAGTGGGTTCTTATTTCTTGATTATTGAAGGACACGCGAAAGATAAAATCGATCGGATTGATTGTAACACATCAAGATATATAGGTAGCTGGTTTATATAGTTAGCACACTACCGAAACAATCATTTTGCCCCATGAACGTTGACGTTGTATGAACATTGAAATTCGCAGAGAACTTGGGTGACCTATCACGTGACCCTCCCGCACGTTGTTGAACGTTGCACTCTGAACTAAGCTCTGAATATTCATGCATCGCTGCCTAAGGATTCAAGACGTACTCTCTATCGTCTTTCAATGTCTTTCGAAGGCATCACTGGCACGGCTCGCGAGGACGTGTACCACTTTTCAAAACCTGGCCTTGGACATCCTTTGGCGCGATCAATACACCCTCCTTCCTTTATTGAAATGTCTCCCACAGGATTCCTGGGCCATTCAAAACAAAAAATTTGTGAGCAACATCATTGAAACTCAAGAGCAGTGTAATTTATTGTACTTTAGAAAATCACCAGAAATCTTACGGCGTCTGATTTTGAAAGAATCTATGCATACTGCCACAGAGTCAGATCTCTTCCACTCTGGCCTCCGGTTTCTACTTATTTTGAAGGGCAAGTTTTACCCATGATCTTGTCACGAAAACCATCTCCAGGTCCTCTTTTGTGTAATCTGTCAGGTGTCATACTGGACAGCAACGACTTCAATGGTCTCGCCATTTTTCCTCGCCTCGTAATCGGCCCGCATATCAGGACAATAGAAATTGACTACTTGAAGGACTCGTTTTCATGGTCGAATCTAACGGCCGTGCTAAAGAAGGCTGCACCGACAAATCTTTCAAGTTTTATGCTCAAAAGAGTTGCCTCCACTTTATCGTGGTCGGAGGCTGAGTCGTTGGAGCTTTTGTTGATCCTCCGCGGTGCTAAGATACTGGACACTGCTCGCATGTTCCTCACATCCCGTATCATATCCCTCATTGCTACATTCCCTGCGCTCGAAGATCTCAAGTTTTCAGTCACAGAACGGGAGATGGAGGGTTGCACCCCTTCTATAATTACGAATAGTTTCCAGACCATCACTTCCCTGGCCATTCGCTCGGATTCTGACAATGCCTGTCAAATGATGCTCATGAGGATACAGTCAAGAACATGCCGGTCATTGGAGCTCACCCGAACCTCACACAATGACTGGAATGTTGAGAAGCTTTTTTCAGCTCTTTATGCATGCAACGTGGCGTCAAGCCTGGAAAGCTTACATGTGGACTATGGGCTATGGACGGACTACAAATCTTTCAACATAAATGCTCATGCGCTCAAACACTTGCATTCATTCAAGCATTTGCGCGACTTAACTATAGACCCATCTTCTATTGATCTGTGTGACAACGACCTTTTGGAATTTGCCAAGTCATTACCTCAATTGCGATCACTCGTTTTCTTTGAAGACTACGTCCTAAACAACCAGCCGAATTGCACATTCATCGGAATGCAGCACATCATTCAGTTCTGTCCAAATCTGCAAGACTTGGCTCTTTGTGTTGACGCACGTCAAATCCCGATATTTGCTACCCAGCCTGACGGAGAGTATCCCGTTGGATTTCACCTTACTAGCCTCAATCTCCGGAATTCCCCTGTCTCGAATGCCTGCGATGTTGCATCCTATCTGATCATGCTGCTTCCAGCTCTCAAGAAATTTCAGACTGCATATCTGAGTGATGCAACAATGGATCTTGAGGAGGGGCAGGTCGACATCTATCAGGCAATCTGGTTAGAAGCAGGGGGACTACTGCAACACACATTTACCTCACAAACACAATGGTGAGCCATACGGCATCTTTCTCATTTCTATACAGAAATTCACTTGTAGATCGTCAGAACCATGATCATTCAGGCAGTCCTCAAGGTCGATATGAACGCCTTTGATTACCCGTGGGGTTATCCGCAATATGAATTTATTCCTCAGTGTAAAGTTGGCCAAATCACGTCTTTCTCAAGGAGTTGAAACAACCTCGACGTCAACGAACTGGCCGTTCAAGTCGTGGCTGGAAGTGGACAGCAACGCAAGCTAGGAAAACTTTCCTCTTGCCTTCGCACGAAGTGTACAACCCTCCGGATTCCTATCAAGAGATTGGGCAACGAGCCCAATCGCAGCTCAAAGCCCAAAATAGAACGCAGCAACACATGTTAGGAGAAGTTCGCCTTGCAACCCCCCGAGACAGATGTTCCTTCAAAAGGACGAAACGCCCTCCATTTCCCCCTCTCCCCCTCTCCCCCACCCTTTCCCCCACCCGTATCTGAGGGGGCTTGGCAACTATGTCCTTAACCCTCGGTGCCCTCCAAAGGAAAGAAAACCAGCACTCAGCAATGACTATCGGTCCCCTCTCTCCAACCCACCCTCCCCCTATCCTTCCTTCTCCTAAATCTTTCCACTCATCCATAGAAAAGCTTCGAACAAACGCATCCCTCTACCCGCACCACGAAGAAGAAGCAGAGGAGCCTCCTGCGAACTCGGGTTCAAACACAGACTCGGAATACCCATTCAACATGGAGGCAACGTGGATGACTGCAGGCGAAACTGACAGTTTCTTACCACGATCAACGAGTAAAGGAGAGAACTTGAGTTTAGAGTGGGGCGGTTGTCAAAGGCCAGCTGTCCGCGGCCGCGTCCTTTCCACTAGGTGGACACATTCACCCGAATTTTACGATTGCGAAAGTCATCTGGGGTATTACAACCGCAAGCTCTTTCATCGCAGGTTGCTGGCGGGGGCTTATTTCGGCATCGTTTTCCTTACTATCGTAGGGATCTGTCTCGTGTTCCAGCGGTTGAAGCAGTAACCCTTCTACAAAGTTCGTGGAAGAAAGAAAAAATCCCTCTTTATCTTGTTGTTGTCATCATATGTATGGATGTCCAGAGATCATGTATTTTCTATATAGATGGGGTGAGGTGATGGTAGATACAAAGATGACAAGTGTACAGACAACATGAAACGACAGCGCCAGGCGACCAGATAGCGAGTTTAACAGCGTAACGAAATAAATAATCCGAAAAAAAAAAACGAAAATGTGAGATAGTCAGCTGAAGAACAGCCTTTTTATGCATAGCCGTTCCAGAAGGGCTGGCCAGTCGCCGCCTGCGATGAAGCAGGTGGCCCAGGCCAAGTCTGAGTGGGTTGCTCTCCCTCTACAGAAGTCATACGATGATGGGGGTGACCATGAGGATCGGAATATGCAGGTGGTGGTAGTTGTAATGCGTCACCGGGGCCGCGATGAAACTGTTCTTGTTGATGAATCTGATGCGAATGAAGCGACTCATACGCATGAGGTGGCAAAAGCGCATCCATGGGCGGTTTCGCGTCATACATGGAATTGGCCTGTCGTTCGTATGCGGCAGGCGTGCTAGGAACAGACGACGAGATGGCAGTAGCTTGCTCAATCGTAGCCTGCAGTCCAGCCATGGACAGTCCCGACCCAGACGACCCTTCATCAAAGTGGATATAACCCGCAGGACTCGAAGCGCTAGTCGAACTCGTCGTCGTTGCAGATGGGTGAGCAAACGCAGAAGGGTTCCGATGATGTGACCCAGCCGTTGTTGTGCCATACGTCAACGTTGGCGTTGGTGGCTGACCACCAACACTACCACTTGACGACGTATACGGTGAGCTGGCAGAGGAGTGACTTGGATTCGCGCACGGACTAGACGCCCCGGTAGACGCGTAAGAAGCCGCAGAATCTACAGAAGCTTGAACACGATCGAAGGAACGTTGATCATAGCCATGTGGCGGGGGTGGTCCGAGATCAAACAATGATGTCTGCACTTGCTGTTGATGGGGTTGTTGTGGGTGTGGATGACTGAACATCTGGGGCGAACTATTATACGAAACGGGCGATGACATTTGCTGTTGTTCACGCATCCTATATTCGCCGAACGGCAAGTAATCTAGAGAATGGGATTGTTGCGACGAGGGTTCAACACCTGCATGAACATGGCTAAGCGACGAAGAGCGCGATCGGTACGCGTCAGTGGTGCTCATGGTGAGCATGGACGACTTTGAATGCACGGGTGATTGCTGGGGTGGTGGATACATATTAGCAGCAGAGCATTCCCTCGACATCATCCTCGGAATGGACGTCATCAACGGAGGCGGAGCTTGCATCTTGCCCCTCTCTCTACCACCGTCCATCGTCGTTTCAGACGCCGTCTTGTGTTTTGGGACAAGAGGCCCACTCTCCTTAAGCCTCGCACGAATCCCCACAACCGGATAGGAGGAATGAGTCTTCTTTGCATGCTTCTTATCCTTCCCCCCAGTGCTGGTCTTGCTTTGTGCCGAACCGGAAGCACGCGACGTAGGTGGAGACGGCAACGACTCTCTACCCCTCTGGGTACTAGGCGGTGACTGGTGTGGCGAAGGGAACGTAGCTGAGGGATGTAGTTCAAAGCCTTGATACAGTGGTGCGTCAAACCCACTAGGTGGTGGAATGCTATCTCCGCCCTGCCCAGAGCCCATCGAACGAGGCCCATGCTCATGCTGACTACGCTTCCTCTTCAAAGAAGACGCAGCAATGCCCCTCCCTTGATTCCCCGCAGCCAACCGCTTATTCAACGCACCAAGAACCGTCTTCCGCCACTCAGACTTTCCGTTCAACTTCGAAGCACACTCCAACCCCTCTGCAAATTGTGCCTCCAGATCCTTGTCATTGACCTTCGTCGTCAAGCTGGCGTGTGCGCAGACAACGGTAGCGTCAAACACAACCTTATTCAAAGGGTAAAAGTCGAAGATGGTAGGGATGACGCTGTAATTCGTGTTCAGCAAGACTTTGGCAGCACTTAAGATCTCCTGCGCGGCCGACACACATGCTTGAGAAGCAGAGCTCCAAGCGCCTAAAGACTTTGGTTGCGATGATGAAGAGGATGGCGATGAGGACGAAGTTGGGCGAAGGAAAGGTACGTAGATCTTCCAAACCAACACATTGGCCATTATCGCTAGTTCCGCGCTTTGCACCAGCAGCGTCGTTTTCTCTTTGTCGATCTTCTCTGGCTGGAGAGGAGGAGGGGAGTCCAGAATCATTGGGGAATCCTCCGATCCCTTAGCAGCAAGACCAGATGTTGACAACCGCAAAGCGGCGGGTAGCCTATCGATGAACCGTCTGATCTCTGAGTCCAAGTTGGCTGCTTGGTCCAGTGTATACCCGCAACAACAATCGGGGGTAGCCGTACGCTGCTTGATCATCTGCGCCAGTTGTGTGAGCCTGGCAAGGGGTTAGAGTGGGCTATTTTAATTGCAATAATGAAATAACATACCGGCATCGAACACCAAAATACATTTCACTACTCGAAGCAGAACCCGACTCAGCGTCGTCATCATCATCATGACTGTCATGTTCGCTCTCCTCGTCTTCCTCAGCCGAAGCACATTCTGGCAGTTTTGTGGTATACGTGAACGAAGGCGCCAAGGGAGGCTGACCCAAGATGTCCGACGTGAACCTATGGACCAGTTGACAGGCTGCCAGGAGGAAAGCAAGAAAGAGACCTACAAGTCATAAAACAGAACATCCCACCAAATCATCCGCCTCATCTCCTCCCGTTCCCTTTCTCTTCCTCGGCCCTTACTTTTGGCTGATTTCCGCCTCCCAACGTCTCTTCCAAGACCCATATACCTCGCAACATTATACATCTTCCCCACAAGAGGGGAAACAACAGCCCCCGTGTCTCCTCCATCCTCCTCTCCACTTGAAGAAGAGGAGGATAAAGTAGAACGGGAGTAAAGCACATAAACTGTGCTCACCAACGACGCCAAAAGGAAATCCATCCTTTCCGGCTCCTCGACCCCAGCACCAGCACCAGCCGCATGAGTCTCCCACACCCCCAACGCTTGTTGGGAGAGTGCGTACAAAAACGCAGGTGTGTTTGTCGAGTTTTCCCCACTTCTACTGGGTGCTGCATGAGCGCCAACAGCTAAAACAGCACACATGCAACCAAAGAAAGAAAGAGACGTTTCGCCCCCTCCGTCTTTGTTCCACACACCACCAATTCCATCCATGTCATCCCCAGGCTGAGCCTGACCGCCATGGTAATAAATCGCTTTTGCTTTCCGCGATTCCCTCTGCTGCCTGGCTGCATCACGCTCGTGCTGGGATGCAAGTGGTCCAGACAAGACAGCCAGACATTTTCTTTTGAACGCCTTCCAGCCCCCTTTTGTGGTATTGAAAGGGATGGGACGCATGCTGAACACTTCTTCAGCGTTCCGGAGAAGTTTTGTGCAGTGGGAGAATGAAGGTAATTGAGAGAGGAGGGCGGACGTTATCTGTGGGTGGCTGTACTGAGATGATTGGGGGAAAGTATACGCGGGGGTCGATGGTTGTGGGTACGAGGAAGATGACATGACGGATGGACTTGAAGGAACGATGGCAGGAGCGGAATGGTATATACTTAGGGGCGGGAGGAAGAATTGTTGTTGCTGCTGAGCGTCTGGTTTGAATGGGGATGATGAGCGAGAGGGTTGCACAGATCTCTGTGCGCTGCTCGTGTCAAGGGTAATCATACCATAGTGGGGCTGGATTAATTCCATCTCGGTCGGAGATGGCTCCAACTTGATAAAGCCCGAATTCTGCATGTCCGACTGGGGCACTTGCAAAGAGGCAGTGGATTGCGAGACGCCTAGATCAAGATCTTCTAGCCAGATGGCCAAATCCTCCGCAGACAACGCGAGAGAGTCGTTTTCTGAGGAGTAGGGCGCCGCATTGTGGTGATGATGGTGGTGGTGCGACCCCCCTGTGGAAGAGGCGGGGAGTGGTTGGGCGCAGGACGAGCTCGATGACGGGTGTGAGAAGTGGTAAGAAGACTGGAACGCAGGTATCGTCTGCCCAGCTGTCATGATTGCAAGGGCCGACTCGACTTGGATGAGGCGATTGTTCAGTGAGTGAAGGTCGCTGTTGACCAAGTCAGCGGTGATAGAGACAAGGACGGACTTGTGCATACACTTTCTCTGCGGCTGCTGGGGAGTATATACACCTTGCGACAGTGTCGCGTTTTGTACAGCTCCCACAGGGAGTTCTTCTGTCGCATTTCAGTTTAAGGCGTTTGCACTGGTTGTTAGGAAGCTAAGCAATAAAGTACGTGAATGTGGGGCAGCGCGCGTACCTCTGCGCATACGACGGTGATACGTGACCGTATTTGTCTAAAGTGTGAAGATCAGTTGAAGAGAAATGATGAGCACATGGAGATGAACGCACGGGCCCGTTGAGGAGGACGGTAAAGGGAGTTGGCTAGGGTTGATATCCATTATGGTGGTAGTTGGGAGGGACGGTGAGCATAGGATGTGAATAATAAGTAGGAGAGAGTGTCGACTATCATCCGAGTCGGATGCAGCCAACGAATCTCATTGGGTTAGCACAGATTCACCAGAATGAAAATTCCCTCAGAATCTTGTACTAAAATCCCGTCCCTGATCCTCACAACTGACATAAACAACCCGATTCAGTCCCGATTCAGTTTCTGCCGCGGCCCATTTGCTTCCGTCAATTCCTCCATTCAAAAAACAACGTCCAAGCTGGAAACGTTTATCGACCTTTTACCGCAACAGGCACATCCGCTCATTCCAGCCAAATCACAGTCACTCGTTTGCGTCATATATCGAATTGAATCGATTGCCCAGGCAGGCCTGCGAAAAAACAATACAACCCCGTTTCTCATCGTCTCCTCCGTCCACATATCGCGGTTCATTAGGGTTGTCACAGGTCCCAGGCACTTCGCAATCGCTTCCTCCCCCTAGAACAGGGTAAGCCCGGGTAAGCACAGACACGGAAAGAACTTCGAAGCACACCGAAAATCATGATGCGGCCCTGCGATTCTTTTCTCGACATGACACCCTTCTTTGCCCATACAGACAACACCTTATCGGCACTTTGCGCAATTAAATAAAGCCCCACAGCGCCCTTCGATCCGGACCGCCGACCCCCAGAACGTGAGTAGCCTGTATGTATCCTAATCATGCAGATGAGGTTAAACATTGTTTTCAGTTGCCTCGAGCAGACACGCGAACTTGTCAAGAAAAACGCGGTTGCTTCGATCTTGTTACAAGTTACAAGTGTCGATCACGGAATTCAGTAAACCATCACCCAAAACATGGTGCGCTCGCTCCGAATTACCCATATTCATACGGTCCGTTGCCCTCCCCAGTCATTTCTTACATTCTCTACTACTGAATCGATTCCATGCCTTACAAGTCAATTTCGAATTTTTTGGGGGTGACGTTGTATACTGCACTCTCACTCAGTACATACCACAAATCACAAAATGAAGGTACGCGAATGTCATTGTATCAGTGGAACGCTGTTACCACCAAGGACGATGACCGCGGAGCCTGGTGTCCCCAGAACGCCCGGGTGTGACCGCACCCACTGGCCGCCCCTCCATCACCTCTACGAAAAGGACACCGCATTCCCCGAGCGCGCAATTACACCTTCTATTTCGACTTCTGCAAGTGCGACGGTTTAATAGGCGTACAACACACCCAACGCCCAGTCACCGCGTGGCTACCAGCACCCCACATTCTCGCTTAAACAGGTCTCGATCACATACTGCGGGCGCTCCTTCGTCCCGTTCATTTCAAGCACAATTAACGGTGACCTCTACCGTTACGACATTAATCTATACCAACCCGAAAACGCGTCTGATCGCAGCCGCGGGACGGTCAAGACTAGTCATCGCCTAGCCGTGTATAATCCCTCGCAATTTGTACATTTGAGGTGGTTAAACCTGAATGTCATTTCAGAAAGTGAGCGATTGGCGATATCTTCCCGCGTACCTGATATTTTTGTGATGATCGTAGGCTTCACCTCCGAGTCGGCGTCTAGCGAACTAAAAGGAGGACAAGGGCCCTTGAACCAATCAAATCTCACGTCGCCATCGTACAAGCTTAACGACTTGGAGAACTGGGGAGGGAAAAAACAGAAAACGACACGTAGCAACGTGTGTGAGGCATACTTTCCTCAAACGAAATAAATTTCGACTCGGAGACATGGCTGACGCCTGTCAAATCATAAGTGCGCAAAACGTCAAGGTCGTTGCACCGCACTAGAAAGAAACGGACACTGTCCCGCCACAGGGGGACACACTTCTGAATCTAAGTTTTCCTTTCGATAGATAAAGTAAGGGGTGGTGAATAAATACTACCATGAATAAAACTTGACATTTTGGAACAATGCCAGTGGAATTTTTTTCAATATAATGACGGACCCTGAGCACGACTCGGAGTGAGATGGATCAGAGGCGTTTTATGGCATCAGTATCTGACTGTTCACGAATCACGATCGTAATAATGTGGCGTTGCTTCAGAAATAGACATAACGAAACTAGATGCAAGTAAATGCAAGTTCACGCTTCAATATGCTTGGTATCAATGCGAAGGCTACATATACGTTGCATGTTGAATGGAATATAAAAGCTAACTGTGCCGGTACCGCTAGCCTAGTATTCGATATTAACGGGATGATTTGATCGTTTATTAATTATTACTGACGGTCACTCAATTCCAATTGTGAAGAAGAAACAAAAGGCTCAAGTTCACAAAAGAAAGAACAATCATGGATGCGTTTTCGGTTTTTCGGAAGTCTGGCAGCCCGAGCTCGGCCGTTACGGCAGAAGAACCTCGACTTTCACAATCCCACCTAGGCCTGACCCTTGCGATATATCCTCTACCGCCCAATTCACTCTCTTGTCTTCTCCAGAGCGAGGACAATGGCGTGGATTACAAGCGAGACGCTCCGAGTCGTGGCGAGTTCACGCTGTACGTGCAGTCCGTTAAGCTGGTACACACAAAAGATAGATAAAAATTCAAACGCATCATGGCCGCCGGGTTACGATCCTGCTTGATGATCCATTCATTGTAGCTATTGCAGTGCAGACTCGGAATCTCCGAGTCGACACAAGCGGATCTCGAAAATGGTTATCATGTTCTCGTCGGACCACGAGGTGTCTTGATGATGCTGGAGGGATTAAGACGGTGTTGAGATGTTTCTAGAATGCCGAAGTATGCCGCCTTTCCACAGTGAATGTGAGCCGCACTTGGAAGTCCAAGAGGGGGAGAAAATACTTTTATCTAGCACATATTTGAAGAGCGAAAAAAGTCGGTCGACCTTCAATTTTTCTGACTGCTGGGGAAATAAAAACCGCCCGGTCAGAAATCGAAATCATTCCAATGTGATGTAGACGCATGGTAGGTGATAGCGTTTGTATCTTTCAAATCGGTGTCGTCGACAGCGCTATTAAACCATATATCAATCGCCTATTCGGGTGCCCACTGGTTCTAAAAAAAAGACTTGACAGGGTTTTTTTGTCTTCGAATCGTCGCTTATGGACGCCCCAGATAAGGTGGCATGTGATCCTGCCACGGAGTTCAAGTGTGAGGTTGTGGAGCCTACATGCTAAAATTGGACGGACACTTTCCAGACGGTGACACCAATCCAATGATGGCTTGACTGCCATTCGTACACGGCTTGGAGCTTGAGAATTTGAGGGCTTGTTGAGGGCTGAAATATGGAGATCACTTTCAATGGTCTTCTCAACCTGGCTTTCGCGACGCCATGTCCACAAGATATTTCTTGAAGCGAGGCGGCCCTTGTACACCTGTTGAATTTTTTCAGTCTTGAGCAGGGCCGGTTTGAGAGCGTTTGCAAAACATGGACGAGATCGCGGGATGGAGATCAGAGAACAAAGTTGGAACAAAGCGCGTTGACCCGCTCCGGAAAACGCCGAAATCATTTCTGTCACTGGTCAGTCCACGAAGAGCAACTTTCGAATCTAATCTAGAAACATCTTCGAGCGATTCTGAGCTGGTTACCTCACACGTCGTCAGGAACTGCAAGGCGATGGTGGAATCTTGAAGTCGACATGCGAGTTGTGCGCGAAGACGACAACCAGAACTGGACGCCATCGCCCCTGGCATACCTATGCTGGAATCGGAAAAAGGGATTGCCGTGAGATATGGGAAGTGACGTCGTGGATACTGATATCTGACAGATTTTATCAGACCGATTCCGGGGATGACAATGGACAGTTTCGAGGCAATGATTGTAGGCGGTATCTCTACGGTCAAGATAGACGAGATTGGCGCTATGGAACACTGGTCCACGGACGGGCTGCGTCGCCATCTTTGTCTCTTAGGGGGTCTCGTTCCATGAACAGTGACGTTTTACTGCCTGCGGGTTGGCCATCCCTCCCACCATCTTCCGTGATTAGAGACTCCCTCTGCCATGAAAGCCCGTGCGTCCGAGCGTTCCCGTTCTCTAAATGCTCTTGGTCAACTTTATGGAGAGTACCTCATGCAGCGGACTTGGCAAGAATTGAACAATCTATATTTCCCGCTCACAGATTCTCGGGCCTTTTTTTGCTCATCAAACTAGGATTCGTACCAGTTTGACGAACGCACGCGACTCCTCATCACGATGGTAAAGAAGGTGGCGAATTGGCGGCGAACCCTTCCAGCCAAATTGAATATCCACTGTAGAGGATTCTGGGGAGTTGTGCGATCATTTTGGGATCCGTGTATCACACCTGCATCAAAAGTTTACTGACTCTTCTTCGGCCTGAGAATAAATGCAGGATAGTCACAAGGATTCCAAGGTCCATGAGATAGGGGCGGATTGGCGCATTAGCCAGAAGAATGCACGGTCGGTTTGTTGCTGCCAAATCAGATTATGTAATGCATTCCCTTTTTCCTTTCCGTGTTGTCATCTGATCAGTTCGGTCCGGTCCTCGAGATTGCCGTTTTGCGCACACATTTCAGAGGATATTAATGAATTTGGCCGCCAACTTGTCGTCGACGTCGTAGAACAAATGCTGAAGACACATCTGTACGACAATTGAATCGAGAAGGTGCTGTTCTCGTGGTTAAATCTTGCCACGGAATGCGATTTAAATTTCAAGTCCTGTTTTTGTTCATCGGACTTTGTTAAGCATTCAAAATTATAGATGCCGCTCATCTGCTCCGCACTATCAGCAAGGTCGAAACCAGTTAGATACTCGATCAAGGAGCCGGGCCCCATTGGCGCGCTCAAAATCGTGGTGGAAACGGCAAAGACTATCCAGGTGTTGTTGGTCACAAGACAAGGCGTGCCGAAGATCCTAAAATAATTGCACGTTTTCGCCGCCTTCGATAGAAATCGTTGACTACTACTGCTGCGGTCAATCTCTAAATGATGTTAACAGCATGCCAGGAGAAATGATATCAGTATTCTCGTTTCTTTGATGGTGCGTATTAACCTGAGGGACGATTGACCTCATCACCTTATGATATGTACCCCCAGTCGTTCTCCCGGCGGCAGGAGGCGCCAAGATCCACGACTCAATGGGGGTACCTGTCAAATGCCCTGATGAGACGATTAACTTCAACTGGGAAGAACAATTCGACAGGACGTCATACGTCCATCATATTGCCAGATTATCCAGACAATTCTCGGGCAGGATAATGAACTGAGCCAGAAACGCAGCGCTCCCGCTTGTGCGAATGATTAGTTGACCCTGCGGGCTATTAACCAGATGCCGCGTGAAATCCACATGGGATGCCTTTTGGATGAATCTAGAAGGAGGTACCAATCTGGCGTTGCGGCAAGCTGAACACAGTTCGTTGAAAGTCATGTAAAGGCATGCACCCAAATTCCGTACTTTAGCGGGTGGCAGTGAGGGCAGACTGCGTGTAGTACCTTTTTGTATACATTAATCTGCTGCTATCCAACGCACCGTCAAATCGCCGATGTTGACAACATAAGCTGGCGCGTTAGTCAACGATATCACCTCAGGGAGCTGTGACCTCTAAACGTTTAACGGACTTACGGGGTAATTATCTTCTTCAGGACAGAACCCTTGCTTGAATTACGTCTGTGCATCATCCCGGTAGGGGTATCTATTTAAGCATTCCGAAGGACAAGGAGTGATGAAGCTTGAAAGTTATACCGGTCAACTCGCCATCCATGCGCGCTGGCCTCCTCGCACTTTGAGTGGAGTTAAAGAAGGGCTAGTCGAGGATGGAAGAGGCGAGCGAACCTTTGAATTTGCCATCCACTTTTAAGGAAATATCAGATCCTGGAAAAACTTGGACCTACAGAATTATTTTGTCCACAAAGACCGTAAGTCCGTGGAGGGCGTCTAGCCAACGCTTTGACATCGCTGCACGCATGTTTGATTCGAAGGCTGTGGCACACTTTGAAGGTCGGTCCGAACGGACTGACGTCGATCGACAATGCACATTCTACAAGAACAAGGCTTGCAGTCTAACTGGATCAAGTGGACACCTCAAGGTCGCCGCATGGTCTCTAGACAGTTCTTAAAGCCAACGCAAAGATCTGGAGACGCCAATGAACGTTGTGTGAGACTTTCGCCAGACCGCAAACACTTATGACATGAGACTGGAGTAATAGATTTAGATCGATTACAAGGTGGTGTGGCAATCAACGATGGTGTGATTGGATATGTACTCCGTTATCGACGGTTGATTGCATGTCCAGTCGTGGATTATAAGGTGGCGAACATGAGTTCGGCAGCTAAGTAGGGAATTAGCCATGAAACAACTTCTCCAGCTGATGCAATTGAGGACCAGGTACCTCTATGACGTTTGTTTCTCCAACTGTGTTCTCGCTTCTTCCACATACTCCTGCATCAGGGTCACCACCTTGTTTAGATTTTGGCTAAACTTGGCCGAAGTCGGAATGACCGACAGTTTGCGACCGTCTGGAAGGACCATCTCTGCCTCGACGAACTCTTCCAAGCGCTTCAATTTATCCTTCGCTTCCTCGACCGCAGCGGGATCTTCATCTCCAGCCAAAAGATCAGCTTTATTGGCGACCACCATCCGTGCCTTCGAGCTCATCCCAGGTTGGTACTTCTCAAGCTCTTCAAACAGAACGCGGAGTTCATCCCAGGGATTTGGTGCAGACAAATCCACAACATAAACGAGAGCCAGAGAGCGTTCCATCGACCGAAGGAAAGCGTGGCCTAGACCCACGTTTTCCGACGCACGCGAGATGAGACCTGGATTATCGGCAATGGTGAAGCGGAAGGACTCAAAAAGATCAAAGTGGTGGCCATGACGAATCCTGGTCTGAGAAATGTCATCTTGAGAGCCCAGAGTTTGGTTACGTGTAAGAGCATTGGCGTACGCGCCGCTTTCTAGGCGTTCCCGCTCGATTTGCTCTTCTTTCCAAGTTTCATCGTGTATAGATTGACCTGTAACGCTGCCTTCAAAGGTTCCATCTTCTGCGACGCGAACGATACCCACGATAGGGTTCAACGTCGTGAAAGCGTACCCAGCAATTTCGCTCTTCGCTCTCCCGCCGGTAAGAGCGCGGAGTAGTGTGCTTTTACCCGCGTTGGGCATCCCCACCAGACCAACATCAGCCAGAAGTTTGAGCTCCAGCGACAATGTGATGCGCTCCCCCTCCTGCCCGCGTGTTGCGAATTTGGGAGAACGATTGTCGGTCGTTGTAAAATGTGGGTTTCCCAGTCCGCCAAGGCCTCCACCTGCTACGAGATGGCCGAGTGGTTCCCGTTGTTTGATGCCCAATGGGGCGTCCACAGGCCGTTGAAGCGACTCCTCTTGGTCCAGGTCCAGGTAGATAGGTTGTTCCAACACCCGCTTTCGCCTGGCAAGCCGTCGTTCTCTCTCCGATTTCAGCAAAACAGCCTCGGCGTCCTTGAAAGAGTCCCGTTCAATGTTTGCTTCAGTAGCCTGGGGGTAATGGACCCATCTCTTTTCGCGCATCTTTCCTCGCCGCTCTGAAGGTGACAATCCTTCCAGCGATTCCTCCTCTGCCTCCCACTCATCCTTGGCTCGTCTGGGGTCTTCTCTGAGGAGTTCTCGAACAATGGTCCCTAGAGGCACTTTTATGACCAGTGGTGTGCCAGCCTTCCCGTTTTGCCACGTTCCTTGTCCGTTCCCGCCATTTTCACCACGTATTTTCTTTGGTATCGAGGATAGTGTTGTGAGATGAGGTGTAGGAAATATATACACGTCTCCTCCGCGTCCACCATCCCCGCCTGACGGAGGTCCAAATGGCTTGAATTTCTCTCGATGAAATGCAGCGCACCCAGCCCCTCCGTTTCCTATAAATCCAGGGTGAGGCCAGTTTGAGTTGAAAGGCAAACCACATACCAGCACGAACGGTGACTATGACATTGTCAAGAAAAGTCTGACCCTGAAAAATCGATTAGAATAAGAATTGAGCATAGGGATGCATGGTACTGACTCCTTGCCGTCGTTTCCACTCTGTTTTCCGCTGCCGTCGAAAAGCCTCAACTTCCTCTTTACTACGTCCGGCCCGTCCCTCTGGCGACTCTGTTCCAAAGGTAGATGGCTTGGAGGCCGCCGAGACCGATGATGTAAACGGCCTCCTTGACTGAGCTAAAGACGCGGAAAAGTGTTGCAGGGAGCGTCTACAAAGCATTTGTAAGGGTCCCTATGAAATTTGTGAACGCGTCAACAGCCGAACACAAACGCGCGCTACGTTCGTCTCCAGTCTTGTCTCCTGAACATGGATCTGTCGAACCCTTGAGCTCAGCGGAACTTGTTCCCCCACAATTTGGAGGCGGGGTTTTCCGTCTTCCAGTCCCGTGGCTCCGCGCCCTGGTTGACCAAGACAATTTATATATTTAAGGCCCGTTGCCCCCAATGTTCCAACCGGCTCCCCTCAAGCTCCGCTTCCAACATAAGTGAGTTGCCTCTCTGTCTTCATCTTGCATCTAACGAGACTTTCATATAGCTCACGCCATGTCCCATTCCGACTCCTTGCTACCCTTTCTCGTCGCCCAATTTGAGCTCAAGGGACACCCGAGAAGGACGGAGCACTGGAGACTCGTTGCCCTTGCCTCCCCATCCACAATTCACATCTTTGAAGTTCGAGGGAATACAGATTCATATACCTACGTACCAGAATTCAACTTTCGGACCCCACTGGACAAGATTTCCTCTTATCGTGGTGGATGCCACGTCGGAAATCTGCCAGAGGGATCGCTTCAGGCAGTCAAGGAAAAACTCAGAGAGGTTCATATTGTGAAGTATGATTTATCTTGGGACTGCCAAGTGTGGGTTATGGAAGCTATAAAGCTTTTGAAGGAGGATGGTTATATTTTTCCCCACGTAACTGAAGGCAACGTGCGTTTGGAACTGGCTGAGGACATGAATTTATGGGAGGAGGCAGAGGACACGGTGGATGAAAGGCTACTGGCGGACGCAAGGGTGCAATAACATTATCTGATACCAGCTACGGGCTGCTACGGGGTAGTGCACGGCAAATATATACATCGGAAATCCAGGAGTGAAAGGGCGCCAATCAAGGAAGGTACTCAAAGGCCGAGAGGAACTGGCCATTCTCATCTTTGGGCATCCACAAGTCGACGGCATTCTTAAAGTGTTCAAAAAGTTCGAGAGCTTCCGCGGGATTATTCAATCGTTCAGACACATCCTGGTTGCGATGAGAGGTGCGCTTTCGAGGGTGAGGAAGTTGAGGTTTGACCCAGAGCAGAGCTTCGCTATCCCTGCATGACATGATGTAAGAAACTAGTACACACGAAGCGACATCACAGGGGGTGATCAATTTGAAAAAAAAACTCACTGTTGACACCATCCATACATCCGGCAAAGGCTTAGAATATTCCTGTCCCCCAAACGTAGACCCGGATCAACTTGGCAGAGCTTCAGAGAAATCAACATCAGAAGACGCCAGTCGGAAGAAATGACAAATGGATGCAAACCAAAGATACGACTTCGACTATACTTTGAGGACAAAGGCTGATTCGCATTTCTCGCACAATTTCATCCATCTGGAGGACCTCGTTAAGGAATGTTTCCTTCAAGCCAGTAAGGTTTTTTTCGCCGATGACCAGAGTGACGATCGTCAGGCCCAAGGACCAATAATCCACGCTTTCGTCGAAGAGGTAACCTGTAGAACCTCCCAAGAGTTCAGGAGCCGTGTAGAGATTAGTGGAGAACTGAGTTTCTCCCTCAATCGTTAATTTCGCGCCTCGCAAGTGTTTTGAGGTAGGAAGGACGATGCTCTCCCCAAATTCCCCAATAACGCAGTGTCCATTGGCGTCGACAAAAACACTATCCAGACTGACATTTGTGTGGATTATGCCCATGTTGTGCAGCTCTTGCAGACCGGTTCCCTAGCAAAACAGTTCGCTTGAATACGATTCCAATGAGGCGTGAAACGTCGCTCACAATGCTGAATATGATAGACCCAAGAAGCATCTCGTCCACTGGCATGCTATTCTCGAACTGGCGAAGCCGATAGGGATACCGTTCCTGAAAAAGGTATCTCAACACAGATACAAGAGAGTATTATGCCACTTACGAGGAGAAAATAAAGGTAAGCGTCATTAGAGCACCAAATGTCGGGATAAAAGGGAAACATGGAAAGTTGCTGGAGGCCCGACTTGCCGAAGCGTTGAATCCTTCGCAGAGCTTGAATCTCTGCATGAACCGGCCATATGCCACTGTTGTGATCGACGAAGCTCCTAAGGTCAACAACCTTGACAACGAAATTCTGTCGTAGAACGCAATGGCGGGCAGTGTAGGTCTCTGAGAGGGCACCAGGAACAAGATCTTTCAGCGGGCGAAATCGAGAGGGCGCTGAGGACAGCTGTATTGGTGTCCATTCCTTCACGGATGGCACTTGGTAAACGGGACTCTTAGAACGCGTCTTCACGTTGGCAAATAAATCCCTTTCGTCTGTTCGGCCGCGGGTATGCGATTGGAAAGATGTCGCCTGGGCAGAGTATCCCGCGGATGATTGTAATTGAGGCGAAATGTCTGCTTCGAAGTGAGGGGTAGGAGGCGTTGCATGACGTTTCCTGAACATCGAATCTGGATCTTCACCTTCAGAGCAGTCGGCCATGATTTTCCTGTGAAGGGATTCCGCAAGGTCTCGAAGATCCGGAGGTTTCGAATCGCCCGAGGAGCCCAGTTTCGTTGGGTTTCTGTTTCGTATACCTGAGCGGTTTCCGCGTTGGGTCATGGTTATGCGAGCGGTGGTTGCAATTCTCACTGGGAATTGCGAGCTCCAGATGAAGAGAGGCTTTGCGCAACCTCGTACTTATGCCACATCATTTGGGACGACTCTTTATGCAAATGTCTTACGTGGCGCTGGGTGGCCTCTGGTGGCCTTTATTGTTCGGTGGCCACGCAACGTGTTGCCGTTGGCGTGGAACAGTGACCTGGACCTTCAGATCCTTAGACTCCTTCAAACTGTCGAATTTTTCTGTTACCAACCTCGTCAGATTATCCTGGTTCCACCGTTACACAGCGCAATTCAAATTTTGAGGGACTTGCCTGGTAAAAATCTCATCTTTCTCGGCGTGCAAGCATGTGAGGGCAAGAAATTGTTTGTAAGACTTGAGTAAGGGTACCCCTTATAAGCAGCTACAATTCCCAGACAAAGGGCGAAGCTTAGAGCGTGGTGGTGCAGGCTGCATAGATGGAAAGCGCAATTGATGCGAGCTGACAGAACGGGTGTTGTTGTCGGCGAATGCTTACACGCCGGGGACATATTTTGAAATTCGGTTCCAACATTGGAGGTCAATTTGACACACCACCCTACTCAGCCTTCACCTTTTCATCGACGTCACCAACACGCACAGGTCATTCCGGTCTTGGCAAATGGGCGCTGTTCTGCCTTTGGATATTATAAAAGGATGGCCCTCCACCAAGCTCAGGATTCACAAAGAACATGTCTTCCTCCGACGTTGAAAACCCATATCCTCTTATCTCGCTTCCAACCGTTCCTTACCTCGCCTTCGTCAATGAAGACCTAGCAGCGTACACGTCCTGCGAAATGGCTCTCATTCACAACGTGTTCATCCGTTCCATGAACTCAATCTGGAGAAATGCACCCCTCGTGAAGCCTGAGGACGAAATTGCATTTGCTGGATACTCTCTCTGTTGCTTGACGCTCATCCATGACCACCACCATGGCGAAGAAACGATTCTTTTCCCGTTCTTCGAAACCAAGCTGGATATGAGTCACAACGTGGAGCAGCACGAGTCTTTCCACGCTGGCATGGATGCTTTCGAGCAGTACATGAACCAGGTCTTCAATAAAAAGGACAAATATGATGGGGAAAAAACTCGAGCGTTGCTCAAAGCTTTCGCCGATCCGCTTGTGCAACATTTGCACGAAGAGGTGAGTTTTCATATTTCTCCATTCCTATTGAGTTGGGCAAGGTTAACGCGCGTTATAGATTCCGACCATATCTGAAGAGCGTTTAAAATTACTGGATCAGGAGGGTCTGCAGAAGGTGTCGGATGGTGCGTGAAATGTTCAACTTAGATTCTTTTTGCATCCCACCGACGTTTTTTCTCGCAGAGTTTGAAGAACATATCAAAAATCTTCCAGGGAAGTTGACGGTGTTTCCCTTCGTTATGACACATCACAACTTCGAGGAGGCACCAAACTGGGTATGTTGAGCTGTGTCTTCGCACAAACTGAATGGACATGCTGATTCGGAGGCGTATCAGCCTGGTATTCCCGCTCCTATCAAATGGTTTGCTCGTAACATTGCACCCTTCAGACACTACAGGTTGGCTACTGTTCGCCCTTATATCTTCTTTCCGCCCGCTCACGTTTTCAACGCAGTTACTGGAAATTTTCGCCTTATACTCGCGCTGGCGTCCCTCAAAAATACAGCCCTTAATACAAGAATATCGACTTTATTTTGCTTTTGACTCAATATATAATATATTCCCGCCGGATGCTTGTGACTCAGTCAACGTTTCCAGTGAGCGCCCAATGTCGTGGAGCACGATGTGCAGTGTCCTACAATTTGTTTCGATGGTGTCGTACATACAGATGCAGATAGTTGTGCGGCAAAGTTCTTCGAAGTGCATGGAGAAATTACATGGCGTTACATACGCAGAGACAAAGGACAGAAAGACAGCGCAACGAAAGTGACTCGAACGTCGCTTCCTCAAACTTTCAAGCTGATGACGATGATCGATGAGTGTGGTGAGCGTTTACGCAAGAAAATCATGGGTTTGCTGAATATTGATGACCCATAATTCGTGCCGTTTTGACGAGCACACAATTTCCCTTGGAGGCTTGAAATTGAGGCGGCATGTCTGCTTCAACTGAGTATCGAATCTCAATCGCCATCTTCGGAGTGGCAGTTGGCCAAAACCTGGAGGGATTCCGCAAGGTGAAGTGTCGGATTGTCTGAGGAACCCAGTTTCGTGAACGCACGTCGCGTACAGTCCCTAGTCCGTAAATCTGAGCGGTTTCCGCGCTGGGCATTATGCGAGCGGTGGTTGCGAATTCCCACTGAGTATTGCGAGAGCTCAGAGTTGGCTCAGAGAGACTTTGTGCCACGCTCCAGTGGCAAGCTCGTAGCTCGCAACATTATTTAACGCGTCGCGGCGTCGATAGAATCTGTCGCCAACCGGTGTACTGATTTATTCCAGGACTTGCATGATAAACCTAGTCTCTCGTAGACAGACTTCGATATATGTGAAGTCGTACCTTGGTTCATATGATAAACCACACCTTGTTCGGTGCGAGCATACACGCTAACCCAGAGGTTGTTTGTGAGTTTGAGCAAAGGCATCTCTTCTATCTGCAACTCTAAGGCAACTTGAAGCTTGAAGAGCTTCGAGTATGTTAGTGCGGAGGAGATACATACATAGACGAATTTAGAGTTGAATATTTTGGGCGGAGTTGTCGGGAGATTGTCGGGCTTTGGTAGACGTCTAAAAATAATACCGCTGCAAACTGATATGCACAAGTCGAGTAATTTTTAACCGCCATGGCCTCCACCTTTCCATCAACATCATTAGGACGCTGGTTATTCTGGTCGCAACAAATGGGCGCTGATTCCTACCGCCCAGGGATATCATAAAAAGCCGACAGAGCTCCCCTTGAGTTTCTCCAACTTCCTCACAACACAGATATGTCTGTCTCTGATGTTGAAAACCCATACCCTCTTATTTCCCTTCCAACCGTTCCTTTTCTTGCCCTCTCCGATGACGTAGCGGCGTACTTGCCCATCGACATGGCTCTCGTTCACAACGTGTTCATTCGTGCCATGAACTCAATCTGGAGGAATGCACCCCTTGTGAAGCCTGCGGACGAAGTTGCATTCGCCGGATACTCCCTCTGTTGCGTGTCCGCCCTCCATGCTCATCACCATGGCGAAGAAACGTTTCTTTTCCCGTTCTTTCAGACAAAGCTCGATATGAGTGAAAACCTGGAGCAGCACGAGTCTTTCCATGCTGGCATGGATACCTTTGAGCAGTACATGAACCACGTCTTCAATAAGAAGGACAACTATGATGGGGAGAAAACTCGAGTGTTGCTCAAAGCTTTCGCTGATCCACTTGTGCAACATCTGCACGAAGAGGTGAGGTCTCATCTTCGTCCATTCTTATTGAGTTTTGGAAAGGTTAACGCGTGTTCTAGATTCCGACCATATCTGAAGAGCGTTTAAAATTACTGGATAAGGATGGTCTGCAGAAGGTGATGGATGGTGCGTGAAATCTTCAACTTAAACTCTTTTGTACATCGCACCGAAGTTTTTCTCGCAGAATTTGAAGAACATATCAAAAATCTTCCAGGGAAGTTGACGGTGTTTCCCTTCGTTATGACACATCACAACTTCGAGGAGGCACCAAATTGGGTATGTTGAGCTGTTTCTTTGCTTAAACTGATTGGACTTGCTAATCCCGACGCGGAATAGCCTGCTATTCCTGCCCCCATCAAATGGTTTGCTCGTAATATTGCTCCCTTCAGACATTACAGGTTCGCCACTGTCCGCTTTTTATCTTCTTTCCGTCCCTTCATGTTTTCAATGCAGTTACTGGAGATTTTCTCCCTATACCCGTGCTGGCCTTCCTCAAAAGTATGGTGCTTGATGCAATAGACATCAACTTCTGTTCAGTACTTTTCCGGCCGATGCTCATGACTCAAGCCAACACCTTCAGTAAGCGACTGTTCACATAGAAGATGATGTAGAGTGCGCTACGTTTCGTATTGATAATGTGGTGCAGATGCTTGTGCGGCAATGATGAATACATGAAGAACTAGATGTCCATTGGAAAGCGGGAAGATGCTGGTGAGCACCTGGATGCCCATGAAAAATTAGCATCATAAACAGGCTGAATTGAGCATGCGCGAAAGCTCAGAATGATATTGGAGTGCGGCCCGAATGTAACTTCCAATATTGGAATTTATGAAGCCTCCACACGCTGTCTTTCTGTCCTTTGCCTGTCCCATCGATTATCTCTGCCTACTTCGTCCGACCGTTTTGCGCACCGAATTATATGGCTCTCAGGCCAAAAATCGCGTCAGAATAGTTCGGATCGCGTCATTCGTGTGGCGTTGCGCTAGTGAGTTGCGAAGACTTGTTTTGCGGTGAGGAAGTACCTGGTCGGTGTAATGAATTTGATCTGGTTGCAAGTATGAGACGAATCATGGAAGTGTAGAGTATGTATGTAGTAACGATGACCTAGAGGACGCCTTGGATTTGGTCGGTTCAAACTTGGTTGCGCATTCGTAGTTTGTTTACCAAAAGTTTCTTTCTTCTGAGTCGCGACTTCGATCAACCTCACAACGAGCTCCATCCTCCCTTCCGACCCTATATCTACATATTCGGGATTTTTCCCGCCACCCCCTTGCATCTGACGCAGATTTGACATTTCGTTCCGACAATCTACAAGCACCAGGCCTTTCTCCTCCACATCACCAAGATGCGCGTCATTCCAGCTTGGCAAATGGGACCGCATATCATAAAAGGAGCTACTACGACTCCAGTTCCACAGCATAGGCATGTCTGTCACTGATGCTGAAAACCCATACCCTCTTATTTCTCTTCCTACTGTCCCTTTTCTCGCCACCGTTTCAAATAACCCGGCGGCGTACTTGTCCTGCGACATGGCTCTCATTCACAACGTCTTCATCCGCGCCATTAACTCGATCTGGAGAAACTCAATCCTTGTAATGCCTGGAGACGAGGTCGCATTTGCTGGATATACTCGCTGTTGCTTGGCCGCGATCCATTCTCACCACCATAGTGAAGAAATGTTTCTATTCCCGTTTCTCCAGACTAAGCTTGATATGAGCCACAATCTGGAGCAACATGAGGCTTTCCAAGTTGGCATGCATCCATTTGAGCAATACATGACCCAGGTCTTCAATGGGGAGGAGAAATACGGTGGCGAAAAGACTCGTGGGCTACTTCAAGCTTTTGCTGATCCGCTTGTGGAGCACTTGCACGAAGAGGTGGGTTCGCATCCTTGTACTTTTTACAATGAATTTCGGAGAAATTAAAACATGCCCATAGATTCCGACTATTTCAGAAGAGCGTTTGAGATCACTCGATAAAAAAGGTTTTCAGAGGACATTGAAAGGTGTGCGATACGTGCTGTATTTCTCTTGTGTTCCTCAAGCTTCCCTTTTGCCAGACTTGGAAGAGCATCTCAAAAATCTCCCAGGGAAGTTTACGGTTGTCCCGTTCATCATGACGCATCACAATTTCGAAGAAGCACCCAACTGGGTAAACTTATTTCTTCGCCTGAATGTGTAGACCCCGCTAATTCAGATGTAAATTAGCCTCCAGTTCCCACCCCCGTCAAATGGCTTGCTCGTAACATCACTCCTTTCTGGCATTACAGGTAGGCCACTGTATCGTCCGTCATCCCCTTTCTAGCCCTCACGTCTTCAATGTAGTTATTGGAAATTTTCTCCCTACACCCGCACTGGCGATCCTCAGAAATATGGAGCATAATAATATAGACACTGTCAACTTGGCTTATTTCAACCTCATATATTCTCGTTCGACGCTATAATTCTATATTTCTGCGACTTAGGCTACCGTTGCAAAGGGTGCATTCTTGGCGGAGGATCAGATCTCTGGCCCGAAGTGAGGAGGCAAGAAGGAGGACCATCGACATGTTCATATAATGGATTTGGCAGCTGCCATTCGAAATGTTCAGATTGCTTTTGTTTGTGCTGCCCCGCACTTTTCGCAAGCTATGGGACAAACACAGAAGACGGTAAGTATCCCTCGTTCAGTTTATACGAAAGTACTAATAATACAGCAGACCCTATCCGACAAGCTCGCCCTTCTGTTAGAGGAACGGCAGGTTTATCGACGTGTTGACCAAGTGTTGACAGCTTTCTCCACGTCTCAATGGGTCCCGTTCATCTTACTCATCCCACTTCCATCTTCGTAAAACGGGAGCTGATCGTTTTGCAGCTATGTTATAAAAGGATGACCAGGCTCGACCTCAGGTCCAATCCCCAATTGACAACTCAGACATGTCTGTCTCTGATGGTGAAAACCCATACCCTCTCATTTCCCTTCCTAATGCTCCATTCCTCGCCGTCGTCTCTGACGATTTGGCGGCGTATATGGCCTATGACATGATTCTTATTCACAATGTCTTCATCCGTGCCATGAATTCGATCTGGAGAAACGCACCCCTTGTGAAACCCGAAGACGAGCATGCATTCGCTGGATACTCTCTGTGTTTCTTGGCCGCGGTCCATGACCACCACCATGACGAAGAATCGATTATTTTTCCGTTTTTCCAGACCAAATTGGATATGGCTCACAACAGGGAACAGCATGAGGCTCTCCACGCTGGAATGGACGTATTGGAGGAGTATATGAACCAAGTTTTCATCGGGACTGAGAAATATGATGGTGAGAAAACTCGAGAGCTGCTCAAAGCGTTCGCCGATCCACTCGTGCAGCATTTGCATGACGAGGTTGGTTTTCTTCGCTCTTCTACTGTGATATGCTGGGAAAGTTGACACATGTGTAGATCCCGACTATTTCTGAGGAACAGCTCAGATTGTTGGACGAAGATGGCCTTCAGAAGGTGTCGAAACGTACGGGATATTGTCCACTGCCGTCTACGCAAACCCCACCTGAGCTCTTTTCCCTTTCGCAGAGCAGGAAGAACATATCAAAAACCTCCCAGGAAAGTTGACCACTTTCCCGTTCGTCATGACACACCACAATATTGAGGAGGCACCCTACTGGGTATGTTGAATGTTTTCTGTAAACTGGGAGGGCTTGCTAATTGAGGTATACTATAGCCTACAGCCTTACCCGCTCACATTAGATGGTTCGCCCGTAACATTGCTTCTTGGTGGTATTACAGGTTCGCTACTATCTCGCCCGTTTCTTCTTCTCGACCCTCACACATTCAACGTAGTTATTGGAAAATTTCTCGCTATTCCTGGTCTGGCGCGCCCCAGACGTACGAATCCTGATGTAGCAGTCTTCGACTCGAATCATTCTCGACTCATGCACTCGCGTTCAATACTTTAAGTGAGTAATCGATGCTAGCCCAGCCATGGGTAGAGAACGAGAAATAGCGCCCATTACCATTCAAATCTATTGTGCGGTACATATGCATGTGCTAATACAGGCTAATACAGCATCTGATCCAAGAAGTACAAGTATACATGATTACAACAAAACCTACAATCCAAAGGAGGAAGTATCTCCCGAATGCATGAACTTTGAACCCTCAACATGACTCCGCCGGAGCGACAAGAGCGCTGGGTTGCGCCGACAACCTCTTAACAATTTCGAACCTCGCGCGCATCTCAGCCCCTCCCCTCCTTCGTTCCCTCGTGCATTTGATAGCGATCGCCAACATCACCGCCTCCTCAAGCACAGCGAACACCAGCGCTGCAATCAACGTCCCTATACCCGGTCCATTACTATCAGGAACCACTATCGCAATGATGATAGCCATCAGAATTATTGCTGCAAGCCAGGTGAAAAACAGGAGCCATGCGCAGATGATGGTGCCGAGTTTTGCTGTGACGTCCAGATCAGCAGCGATCGTCGTGGGAGTGGTTGGAGATGGAGTGGAGGAGGTGGTTGCATTGACTGCATTGCGCTTTCTCTGCTTTTGTGCCAGTGCTAATACGGTGACATGATGTGCGATCGTCAACACTCCAGCACCGGGACTGACGAAGAGGGATCCCGTGAATATCGTCACACCGTCGATGGCCATTATCACGACGGAGAGGAAGATTGATAGGAACATGAGCCTTTGGATCTGGCGGCTACGAGTGGATTCCATTGTTGTGTGGAGATGAGTTAGTTCAGCTGGAGGGAGGCCTCATGGGGTGTGAAGCGTATCTTGCCGCCGTAATGAACGCCGTTATGAGGTTCTAGCGGTGTGGGACCGGTTTCCGCGACCAAAGTGGTGCACACACAGCATTGAAGCTTACAGCAACAGGGGGTCATACTGATAGGAATCTAAAACGGTCTTGGCGAGTTGCATCATGACAGAATGCAGTGTCACTGTTGGCTGTTGTGGTTGTCTATGCTGAAATCGTCTATAACAAGAATCAAGATGGATGCGGGCGCCAAAGTGCTCTGAGACCAGCAGCTACAGTAATCCCATAAGTTTCACTAAAGCAGACGACCCTGTGCCGTCAGTCGACTCAAGTTTCCACCCCGCCCCCTTCCTTTCCATTTTAGATTGGTGGCACCACTTTTCAAGATATCGGATAATCCAATGCCATGACATTGGCCTTGCCTGAATAGAACAGACATCGGGATCATGAGCCCGTAAATTTGAGAGCCGAGTGCAAGTTGCATTCTCCAGTCTTCCAGAGGAAGAAAGTAAGGGGAAAGTGGCTAAAATCAGCCGCCTTCCAGGTCTTCTAAACCTTGGGGGACGCATTTGAAAAAAGGAAAACAGGTGGTATGGCCAGAGACTTACTTGTCCGACCACTACGGCACGCATATGAAGTCGAGCAGTTCACAGTACATCTAAGGTTCGGTGGGAGTAGCAATATTGTCAGCAACATGCTCTTATTCAGATTCACCAAAGAATTGTTGATCGGTATCGAGCGTTGAGAACGGAAAGATGAGTACAATGACAATAGAGCCGACTGCGAGAGAAGGTACGAAGTCGTAAGAGGTTGCCAACAAACACCGCATTGAAAGTGATCATGAACTTCGTTGAACCAGGCTCAACATGACTCCGGAGCGACAAGAGCCTTGGGTTGCGCCGACATCCTCTTGATAATTTCGAACCTCGCGCGTATCTCAGCCCCTCCCCTCCTCCGTTCCCTCGTGCATTTGATAGCGATCGCCAACATCACCCCCTCCTCAAGCACAGCGAACACCAGCGCCGGAATCAGTGTCCCTATGCCCGGTCCATCATGACTACGGACCACTATCGCAATGACGATACCCATCATAATTACTGCTGCAAGCCAGGTCAAAAACAGGAGCCATGCGCAGACGATGGTGCCGAGTTTTGCTGTGACGTCCAGATCAGCAGCGATCGTCGCTGGAGTGGCTGGAGTGGGAGTGGTGGTGGTGGTGGTGGTGGCAATGGCTGCATTGCGCTTTCTCTGCTTTTGTGTCAGTGCTAAAACGGTGACATGATGTGCGACCGTAAACACTCCAGCACCAGGAATGATGAAGAAGGATTCCACGAATATCGTCACACCGTCGATGGCCATTGTCACGACGGAGAGGAAGATCGATAGGAGCATGAGCCTTTGGATCTGGCGGCTACGAGCGGATTCCATTGTTGTGTGGAGAAGAGTTAGTTCAGCTGGAGAGAGGCGTGTTCATGGGGTGTGAAATATCTTGCCGCCGTAATGAACGCCGTTATGAGGACCAGTTTGGGCGACCAATATGGCGCACATTGAGGCTTGCAGGGGTCATGTCGATCGAAGTCGGCGTTGATAGGAATCAAAAACGGCCTTGGCAAGTTGCATCACGACAGAATGCAGTGTCACGATTGTGTTCTATATTGAGATGGATGCGAGCGCCAACTTTATCATGAGACCAGTAGCTAGCAAGATGTCGCACAGACTACTGTCCTGTTACAAAGCACCTAGATACTGTGAGCCCAAACATTCGATCAATAAATCGCGAGTCACCGTACCTGGCAAGATTTCTTCTACAGCGGCGTATTTCATTTTGTTAAAGTTGTATTCCTCCCTTATCTTGGATTCAACGCGAGAATAAGATGGATCGAAGTTTGGACAGTGAGCTATGTCTGCCCATACGCATCTTGGGCTTGCCACATGATTCTGAACAGAGATCGAGGTCATGAGCCCGCAGATTTGACAGCCTGCACATTCTCCAGCCTTACAGAAGAAGAAAGTAAAGGGAAAGTGGCCAAAATAAGCCGTCTTTCAGGTCCTGTAAGCCTTGGGGGCGCACCTGAAAAAAGGAAAACAGGTGGTAATTCTGCCCATACGCCATCTTGGGCTTGCCACATGATTCTGAACAGAGGGATCACAAGCCCGCAGCATCGACAGCCGCGTGCAAGGTGCAGTGGCTAAAATCAGCTGTCTTTCAGGTCTGCTAAACCTTGGGGGACGCATTTGAAAAAAAGGGAACAGGTGGTAATGGCCAGAAACTTACTTGTCCGACCAGTACGGCACGCATATGAAGTCGAGCAGTTCGCAGTACATCTAAGAGGTGGGTTGGTGGCGGTAGCGATATTGTCAGCAACGTGTTCTCGTTGTTTGAGATTCACCAAAGAATTGCTGATCGCTATCGAGCGTTGAGAACGGAACGACGAGTATAATGCCAATAGAGCCACGGAGTCCGCATGCACCAGACCCTGGAGAACAAAAGAACATACATGACAAGGAGTTTCGATGTGGGGAAGAGTTCAGAGCCTAGAGTTGGAGGTAGGCTCCTTTTGAAATTGAGATGAGAAGCGTAGTGATGAAGTCCGCCGTGAGACTCAAGTGGTGATGGATGTCAGAGCTGTACCGCAACATTGAGGCTGCTCTTTGGTGAATATCTGGAAAGGTAGGTCAGACGTGGAAGAAAGTGGAAGAGTGTAACTCTAGCTGTTCCTGGGACCGCAGGTTTATGCACAAATCCCTGCTAATGACACCGACTTGGTGAGAAGTTTCATGTCGCAATTGGTTAACATGTCAACGTAGATCCTGGGCTTGCGTTACTTGTGAATCTGGTAGGTCGTTTTTCATTGCTCAACGCTGGCTGACAGGTCAAAACACGCGCCTCGATGTTGATTATACTCGGCAGAATCCAAAACGTCCTTGGAAATTGGTTTATCCTACGCCTTGGCGAGTTGCAACGACACCATGTAGTCATCGGCGTGATTTTGAATATTCATGCAAGAACCTGGGAAGCAGATATGAGACCAAGCTTGATAGAACACAAGTCAACTTACATAGCAAATATCCTATATGCAAAGTCGTTTCTTAATCATCTTCACCCTGAAAGGCATACAAGACGAATTTGTCCAAGCCTAAAATGGTGTGTGATAACAGACAGAGGGAGAATAAAGTTCACCACGAATTCGTAAGCTTGTCAATTGCTGAAAGATGCGTTCTCCTAGATAAAGGATGCCTTCTCTGGGGAACGATCAGCTAAAATCTCCGTCTTTCAAACTCCCTGAATTACGAGATGAAGTCGAGCATTCAGCAACAAAGCCGAGAGCGATGCGGATCTTGTGGACATGATGTCGTGGCTTTACAGTTGGCTTCAATGAAAAAAGGCTGAGAACAAATCAAGAAAACAACGTCAATTCGCCTTGCTGAGTCAGATTTAGTTCTTTATTCGCGTCCCGCTAAATAGGTTACTTCAGTTAACCAAACGCCTGAAAAAAGATCTAAAATCCAAAGTTTATAACCTGACAATGGGTTTTTCTGTTACACAAAGAATGGGAGTCATCGTTCCCTCTGCAACAAAGCGAGGAGACCCAGGACACCAAGTAATGCGTATTTCAACTGTGGAAAGTCGTTCTAGAGGAGAGAATTGAGAAGTGCAGAAGCAGAAACGCCTCGGGTACTCACCATCGCAATAGACGTATCCCATATACGGCAAGAACCTAGAGCGACGGAGTAATTTAGTCTTCACGCCCAAAAAAAACACAATTAACAACACTCACCCTCAAACTTGACCCGCTGTATGCTTCCTCTCAAGCCACTCTAGCCCTTGATAAAGTTCCAAGTCGTCCACATAATTGTTATCACCCTTCGTTGACACCAAATGGCTCCCCAGCCTCCTTCGCTTTCCTATCTTTACGTGGAACGTCGTGCGTCTCCAGCACCCGATGGACGATGGGAATGTCCGCGCCGGGGATCTTGTATACCGTTAGATCACCTCTCTTGTATTGTTCTGAGACGGAGTTCGTGAGGAAGAGGAGGTCGCCGCAGTACAATGCCGGTTCCATTGAACCGCTGAAGGTTTGGAGGGAGAGACTTTGAGATGGAAAGGAAATATCTGGGAAGAAGGAGGAGGACGGACCTGAGAACGACTATGGGCGATTTAAAGTTGGTAATGCACAACCCCTTCCAGATCATCAATCCAGAAGCGATGACAGTTGCAAAGTTAAGGCTTGGAGTAGTACCTAAACCAGAGTTTGTCAGTCGTTGTTTTGGAAAGAGCAGGGAACGTACATGGCGAAAGCCAAGCCTTCGCATACACACCCAAAACCCAATTTTAATTCCATTTCCCTCCACCCAGAGTCAGGAGAGCATCCAATCCAGCTTGGATTCAACAATGTAGTGTTCCATAGAAATTGATGTTGACAGGAGGTGGGGATGATGTGGGCATCATGTGACGATGGAACAGGAGATGAGCGAGGGGAGCTGGCGGAGAGACCTTCGGATGATGCGACGACACGGGGAGGTAATTCAATTGCGCTCTCAAAGCGCTGCCTTCGTAAGGTGTTAAGGCAGATGATGTGTCGTATAACATAGGTGAAAAGAATAAGGCGAACATTTCGCCAGTCTTAGGCGAAGTGGCAGGTCATGTCGGAAATTTCCCAGCTGCCTGATAAGGCACCGGCCTTATAATGTAGATTACCGGTATCATCAGGCCTGATCAGAGGGCATTTTCCTCTCACGATCAAGGGGGTAGCGGGACGTGGATCCCGAACCAAGGGTTGGGGGGGGGTGCTTGGCCGAAGGCCGGGAAAAAAAAGTGACACCCATCAATTTGGTGGCAGAAGTGGTCAGTGACCTGCCTGTTGTGACGTTGGATCGTTCTAGTAGATGTCCTAGCTGCCGTAGATACTTACTTGGCCATAGTAGACAGCGAGAAGCAACCCAACATCTGGCGAAGAAATCACGGTAATGAATTTAACAAAAACATAGACCATGGGTACTATTGCTAATTGAGGTTGAAATACAGCCGTTTGCATAAGTCATTGAACACTTCGATTTTTTTTGCGTCGTCACGTGCCAACTTTCCCGTAGCCAAACAAATGATTGATCGAGTAGATAACGTTGAGATAATGCGCGCTCTACTGCACTCCTCTCCCTTTGCCCGCTCACTTTCGTCCATAATCGAGTCCCAGACTCCTACCTGAGCTACACTCACCTCGAACAAGGTATTTTCTATCTGTATCACGATCCTCTACCAGCTTATCCTGAATCTCGTCCAGATAGATAGTGGGATCCCGGTTCAGCAGTGTATCGATGTATGCGCAGTCATCGTGATCCAGCAATCGTGGCCGTCCGGTACGCTTTCTGTATGGGTTTGTTGAGGTTCCATAAACGCGGTGGTACATCAAAATATTGGCGATTGTGCCGATTGAGCAGCCAGCCATGTCAGCCAGCTTTCGGTATGACCAGTTGTTCTGAATGCGCCATTGCACCACCCTATCGCGTAGATCCTTTGAAAGCGAAGGAGCCATGATGAGTGCGATGGTAGAGCGCGCGTTATCTACTCGATCAATCATTTGTTTGGCTACGGGAAAGTTGGCACGTGACGACGCAAAAAAAATCGAAGTGTTCAATGACTTATGCAAACGGCTGTAAGAGTCAAATTATGGCCAACAGCTTTATTGTGCAGAGTGTAATATAGATGTGCATGTTGGTGCCGGTGGGATGAGTAACTTGAACATGCATCGAGACTCGAAAACATGCAGAGAGAACAAGGCCACCAACACGCAACCCCCACAAAAGAAAGAGAAGTCCTCAGCTTTTTTAACCAGAAAACCATATAACAAAATACCCCTCGAGTCTCATGGCAGGGGAAAAGGAAGAGAGAACTGTGGTTGGGTGATGTGCAAAGCACGAGGTTGCAAAACAGGCTGCCAGGTGCGTGCGCCGTGAGATTTGTCAAATGTTTTCGCGTTTTATGTAGAAAAAAAATTCTGAAAACATAAGCATGGGAAAAACATACTTGATTAGGAAGATAGGGGTAGGGGGGTGTCAAGCAGGACTCTGAAAAAAAAATAACGAGTGTTGGTCTCTTTTCCACATTCCGCCACCCCCTTGCTCACGATGTTGCGCCAAGCATGATAAGGTTTGGCCCTATTTTAGAACGGGGTCCAGGGTTATCACGACTGATAAGATCGCGAGTGAGGAATGCAAGCGTTTGCTTTCCCTTCGACAGCTTGCAGATTATGGCTCCCAAAGGCAAAGGAAGTACCAGAATGGATGCTGGAAAAGTTTCTTGTCAGTACTGTGGCAACAATTTCGCTTCGAGGGGCATCGCAAGTCACGAACGGTCATGTAAATCCAAACCTCGAGAGACTGATGCATCAGAGAAGGCATTTGAAGATCGTGTCCGCCGTGAAGGCTTATTGTGTAGGAGAAACAGTGCTCCTTTTGGGCATTCAGTTTACTTGTTTGTCAAATAGCTTCATTCACCCCAGGATTACAAAAATCTGCTAGCAATGCTTCGAGCAGTCAAAATTCTGCACAACTTCGTGAGTAATTACAAAAAAAAAGAACAACAGTTCACAGTTAACCTGCATACACAAGCCTTACTGGAGCAACAAGATGGCCCAATTGTTGACAGTGATATCCCTAGTAAGCTCACATGCTGTCTTGAACCCATTTCTAAAATCTCTATTTTGCAGATCTTGATGATAACATGTCACCAACCACCAATCCTGTTACAATTGACCCCATCCTTGATGATATCAAGGTTGAATACCATCCACAGAGTGGGAAACCTACTCATGTCTATCACTTTGAGGATTATACCACATCTTCTGAAGGCACAGCTAATATGCCAGTTGATCCAGAACCGTGGAGACCATTTCGATCACGCCTTGATTTCGAGATTGCAGAATTGATTCTGAATACCCATATGAATAAATCTCAAACCAACCAGCTGCTCTCACTCATACACCAATGCATTCAAAGGCCATCTGAATTTACATTGGAAAACAGCACTGACTTGGAATGTGTATGGGAAAATGCTCGTATGGCACGCACATCTGGTGTAAGCAATTCCTTCACTTGATGCACATAATCTGAATATTTTCAGTTCTCAAAAATCACTGTCCCTGTCCCTTATAAAGAGAAAGAGGTTCCACATGATGTTTGGACTTACTCATTGTTTGACTGGACTCGTGAACTTCTTGAAGACCCAGGTCTCATTTCCCAATTTCATTGGCATGCTGAACGTCACTACAAGTTTAATGGTTCAAAATTTGAACGATTTATTGATGAACCATGGACTGCTGATACCTGGTGGCAAATTCAGGTACAATCTTGTGTGTGTGGAAGTCAACTTTGACAGTGACTATGTATTTTTTTAGTCATCCCTTCCACAAGGTGCATTGCCTTTCTGCATGGTCATTTATGCAGATAAGACACGCCTTTCATCATTTGGCTCTGTCAAAGGCTACCCAGTAATTGGTCACCCTGCCAACTTCAATGTCAGGATCAGAAATGGAACAGGCATTGCAGGTGGGAGAGTGCTTGGATTACTTCCAGTGGTAAGGCCATATTTCTAAAGTCGTGCAGATCAGATGCTGACTATTCATGAATACAGGTGGATGAAGATGCTGGAGAAACAGGAAAAAAAGGATATGTCAATTTCAAGAGAGTTGTCTGGCATAAGGCATTCTTCCACATTCTGGATTCTATTCGAAAGTACCTCAAAACAGGTTACACATTTACCAATTGTGCTGATAGCATTGCACGGCATATATTCTGGTTTATTTTGATTGCATCTGCTGATTATGAAGAGCAGTATGTTTCTTTAAAGCAATCTCATTACCTATTTGCTAATATATCTCTAAGGTGTATGATTTCCTTAATTCGTGGGGCAGGAGGCAACTTTCCATGTCCAATCTGTCTTGTTCCTGCTGATCAGCAGACCAATTTGTCAACAATATTTCCTGAGCGGACTATGAAAAATATGCAAGAAATCTATCTCACTGCACAGAAGCTGGCATCTGGCCCCAAGGAGGAACTTCTCAAAAGTCATGGTTTGCGTGATGCTGAGGTGTGTCAGGCCAGATTCATCAGTTGACTCATATATAAATTTTGTTCTATGTTTTAGAATGTCTTCTGGATGTGCCATGGTTCAGATATACACAAAGCACTTTCATTTGATCGCCTTCATGCATACCATGGTGGTCTTTTCTCAGACCATTTGTTATCTGAATTCAAAATGATCATCAATGAGCTTGGTAAAGCATCTGCTAAGTTGCTTGATATGCAGTATGTTCCTAAATCCTGCTATTCAATCTGATTTGACCTGGTACCATCAAACATAGATTTGATGAAATGCCCCCTTGGAGTGGCCTCAACCATTTTAGTGCTGTGATGAAGACAGAGTTTGCAGATGGCTCAAAATATGAGGATATATCCAAGGTCACTCAACTACATTCTTTAATGACACTGATAATGATGCTCCATCAGATTATAGTATTTGCAGCCCATAACATTCTGTCCAAAGATGTAACAAAACAAGGCTTCCATCTTCTCAAGCTTATTCGAAGTTATCTGGAGCTGGACATGTATGTTTCTTTAATGACACATACTGAATCAACTATTGCGGCTGGTCGGGCTGAGCTACTTGTCTTTGAAAAATTACTACATGTGAGTGCAAATATTTAGAGCATATCACCACCTCCCTATCAATACATCAGGAATATATACCCATGAATACCGAAAAATCATGGAATTTTCCCAAAGCTCACAGCCATCAGCATGTTTTTGATGACATCCAGAACAAGGGTGCTACTCGAAACTACAATACGAAGCCAAGTGAAAAGTCACATGGTTCATTGAAATCAGCCTACAAGTTTCACACCAATTTTAAGAATGTTGAATCACAGGTATGATCATCATGTTCAGAATATTGTTTCCAGCAATTTAAAATATTACCTTTGAGATTCTTGAAGTCAATCAATCCCATCTGGTTGCAACAATCATACGCACGAAACTGGAGACTCTTGATGAGGCACAAGACTCCAATGAGGAGGTGGTTGAGAAGGATATAATTGGCAGCAAACATGTCTCTCTTGGCTCTCCAACTTCCAAGATTACACTCAAAGACATGGAGCAGCGAGGGGCTCAAGATTTTGCATTTCAAGATTTTCGAAAGAAGCTATCCAAATTCTTCTCAAAATACTTTGGGCATCAAATACAACTTCATGAAGATGAAAATGTAAGTTTTGTTTACACTCAACCACACAGATTCACTCAATTTTTCAGATCTTCCCATACCAATATCTTCGGGTCAACTATGAGTCAACAGTTGATTGGTCTCTGACAACAGATTTGCTCAGAGTGAATCCAAAATTCCACAACAAAGAGCGCTATGACTATGTTGTTGTCAAAATTGACAGCAAGAAATTCATCTTTGCTCAGCTATTGTGTATTTTCAGTTGTGAAGTCAAGTCAACCAAGTACTTTTTGGCTCTCATTCTTCCCCTTGATCTTCCACCCTCTCTAACCAATCGTGGACGTGATCGGGAACTACGCTTTACAAGACTTCGGTTGTGTCCAAGGCTTTCAAGCTGCTTTATCTCTGTGGAATCAATTGTTCGCGGGGCTCTTATTTCAAAGGATTATGGTGCAGAGTATGGTGATGAGTACCTTGTTGTTGATGTTGTTGATTTTGATCTGTGGTTGCGGCTGAAGACTTTGCCACTCATACACAGAGCAGAATTCTAGAGTAGCAGAACAAGTTACATGTTCAATTATGGATGAGGGAGGGTGAAACAAAGACAAGGAAAGAACTATCAAAAGAGGGTGGTAGTATTTGTGCATCTTTATTAAGGATAGTGATAGTGGGATGACAATACTCTTGTTTATGATTTGTATGGCAGCCTTATGCCTTTCAGAAGTGCTTCACACAATTTTTGGAAGGATAAGAATGAGTGCAAGAGCTTGATTTCTGTTTAGAGTTGTGGGAACATGGGATGATGGGACATTAACAGAATGCATCTCACTCATCTGAAGTTTCTCCTACAATCCTCTGGTTTATAATTTGTATGGCAGTCTTATGCCTTTTAGAAGTGCTTCACACATTTTTTGGAAGGATAAGAGCAAGTGCAAGAGCTTAATTTCTGTTTGAAGTTGTGGGAACATTGGATGATGAGACATTGAGGAACTACTATATTCATGCAAATGACCACCACACTAATAGTCCATTGCTCTGAAAACAATTTGAATATGTAGGTATGAAGAAAGGCTTCCTATATATCACAATTTCATTGTGAAATAATAACAGGAATATCTTCTAATAACTGTAACAAAACAGATACTACTTGTGGAACTCAGCAAGCCATGGTTTTGTTGGATCTTGATCATCAAGATCATCATTGAAAACATTGTTTGAATTGTCTGAATTGGTATGATTGCTCTAAAAGGCTATCTAAGAGATATGTGAGTATGGAAATCTATCAGAGAATGGGTTTACATAAAAAGATGTAGCATTTTCAAGGACATTGCTTGATGACCATGAGACAGGTGGTGGAAATATGACAAGTGAAGGGGAAAGACTCAAGAAGTACTCCATGGGGGAGCACCTTTTATACATGACAGAACTTACAAGCAAAAAGAATGAAATGAAAGTCTGAGTGTACAAAAACAAAAACTCAAGCGGTTCCTAAAACCAATTGAATGAGTTGCCGATGATGATGTCATCCATCAAGTTGTCTACAGTAAGTTGCCGGAATGCACAAAGTTGCTCGATCGCGCATTTGATGCGCATTCAATGCGCATTCACAAAGACACTTCTGAATGTTCTTCATAACCTAGAAAAATGAACCTGAGACTGGAATAGAAGTAAGAAGAGTTTGTAAAATGTAAAAAGAAGCGAAAAATGAATGAAAAGAAGAAGTGCCGTGAGTGAACCAATCTGCAATTCCACACCATCCATCATTTTCATTCGAGTCTGTTGCGGAATATGTAAATATAGCAATTGTGGTAAGGCTTGCACAAATCTGAGCAGTCGTGTAGCACGGTGATTAAAAACACATTGTGTTAACCATTATTTACGTCAAATTTCACCTGTAGTCAGAGAGCAACAGGCCGATCAAGCTCGTTCTTTTCATTTGTTACCCAGTGGGCTGTGCAAAGACTGCCGAACTTCTAAATAAAATGCGATGGTCCTCCAGACTTTTTTTTGCTGGTCATCCGCTCCCATTACACACTCGAACACATGTCTTTTTCAATTGCAACAAGCTCCATCTCTTCTGGCACCGCTACCACATCACGACTTCAGCGTGACTGTACTGCGTTGATGTATGACAGCATGACTACGGATGAATTGAAAGAGGTACGTGCTACTTGCTTATCAATGCACATTTTATTTAAACTTCAATTATAATGACAGGCTCTTCGAGATGCGCACAGAGAAATCAATGATGCACAGCGCATTATCTCTGAGCTCAAGCTGGAGCTAGCCACTGCCAAAGTGAAGAAAGGCGGCCAAAAGGTAGGAGCATCGGAAGAGTTGTTGAGTGCGGATCAAGAGATTGCCAAGCTCGCCCGGATATACATGCTTTTCCATCAACCCTGGGTCCGCGCCGACGATTTCCGCAATCCAAAACCATCATTTGAATCAAATAGCGCTGAAAGATTTTCAAGCGACGATAACCTGAAGCTTGGTGCGACCATGGAACTGTATGATTGCGTTCCCGAGCGCCTACATGATTATATGCAAAGTCACAGCGACTTTGCGACAAAGGTTCGTATTTAATTCCTTTCAAATCTTTGGGATGGGCTGAACATCGTACAGTTCATGAAAGAATTGTCTTCTAGCCGTTCAAGCATCATCGATCGCCTGCGCAAAAATGCTGCCACAATTTTCGGCCTTACTCCTGACATTTTCTTGCGTAAATTCAATCGCTCAACCAACTCAACCATCAATACCTTGCTTGGGTACAATGCGAGCCGCAAGACAGTGAGCACACGTTACCCACGCTTGCCACCTTTTTTCTTCGAAAACTCAGACACTTCGGATACAACACTCCTCTTCCGCAGTGAATACTTGCTCAAGGTATATTTTCTCATATTACTTTCATCAAATTCTGATTTACTATCTTTATGGTCAGGTGGCGCTTTTAATTATCTACAGGCCGAGTGCGATATTTGGTGATGCACTGCCGATCCTGCGGTCAAACAGCCCTTACGCTTCTCGTTCAGAGTCTGGAACTACAGCTGGCCTAATTTGTTGTGTCGCAACCCTGGTATGATTTCGTTTTCAAACACCTATCACTTTTTTATTGATATTTCATTCACAGGCTTGCTTCATTATGTCAATGGATACTGAACTCACAGGAACGGGGGTTGGCAATGTGACTGGGATCGGTTATTTTGCCGACTTTGACGCATACAAAAAGATCTTGACACTTTCACGGGAATCTTCATCAGCAATCATTCAACTTTACAGGATTTGGGATGCAAGACTTTTCCCCAACGTGCATCCAGCTTCGGAGTCTGGGGAGGAATTTGAAGACGACACAAACGGAAACGGAAACGACGACGAGGAGATTTCACAATTTCTTCGTCAACTTCATGTCCAAGAATCTCCCTCCCACCAGCATTCAGCCTCCAGCGCGCCAAACACAATTGGGTCGCAACCATCGGGGAATCGGATTCATCCCGCTCCTGTGGCTCCACCCCCCGTTTCCAGTCCCTCCATCATGTCCATTTTAAACACTGGGGCGACAGCGTTTGATTCCCAAGGGACGGACTCGGAAAATCTCGAAGCTGTGCAAGGTCCAGGGGATAATTTGACAGAGCCCGTCAAACCGCTGCCACGCCGCGCCGCAAACAGGCGACAGGTTGCTGCAGCTGCACCTAGCTCCATCAATTCCACTGAACCTGTCATTCCGATCGCCGCTGAACAGCCTCAGAAGCGCACCACCCGTGGAAAGAAAGGAACGACGAAGCGCCGTTGATTTCCCTCGTCGGATGCAGTTTGCAAGTTAGTTAGCTGTGGTCGTTACTTAGGAGTATATCTTCCATTGTAGAATACTCCGATTATCAATTAAATGTGTTGTTTTTTCGTTTTAACACGAGCGGCGACATTTGTTCCTACTACTTGCAGCTAGTGTGTCCTAATGGCTTATAGTAGACCGACATTGCTTGCTATTTAACGGTCGAATGGCTTAGTGGTAACTATGAAGAAGTCCAGTAACAGGTACAAATATAACAAATAATGGTAAGGTCCAGAGTTCGAATCCCGAGTGCAGCACCAGTTAAACATACAAGTAACTAATAGTAATATGATATACAACCTACTAGCATAATGTGGTCGAAGTAAGTAGGTACTTCGACTAATATAATTTTCCATTCCTATTAGAAAGTCAGGACCAACTTGTGAAGGCACCTCAGCCTTATCAGGCCTGATAATCTGATCTAATCAGGTTGACCTCAAACTTAATAAATTAACTGCAAAATTGTAAGCCATTATTAGACGTCAGGTGCCTTGGGTGCCTAATAACCCTTATTAGGCGCCAGGGAAATTTCCGACAGATTCACACTGATCACATGGTGTTACAAATTATGCCCCAAGTTTGAATCCCAAGATGGCTGACACAACTTGGACACAACCTCACCTGTGATGATTCACCAACAACCTGTTCTTGCCTCTCCCCAATGTTCAGTTACAGTCCTTGTTGCAAGTGATGCTAAGCACCACCTTCAATTGAATATGCATGCCCTGGAGAGGATTCTCCTTGACTTTGGAGTGCGAAGGGACCTCCTGATGTTTCAGGTTGGATTTGATGAAGAGCTGCTCTGTCGTGGTGGTGGCTATTGTCAAGAAGTAATTATCACTATTCTGAAAGACCTCAAGATTGAAGGTGACTGCTCAATGATACAAAAGATTGGCAAGATCTTGTCACCTTTCCCTGGGGTTGTCCGAATGCCACAGGGTCTTTTTCGAACACCAGTCTTTGGACAAGATGGCAAAGTTTGGGAAACTTACAATGATTTTGTTCAAGATCATGTCAACAGGGGCAATGATTCATTTGAGTACAACAGCACAAGATGTCTTCATATGGCAAATTCCCAGGAGGTCAAAGAGCTCCCAGTCAATCAGGAGAAAGAGTTGTCAAAAACCAAGACCAATATGGCCATCACTTGCAACAGCAGTTCTGCTCATATGACTGGTGGTGGAAAGTGTAGCAAAAAGGCAAAGGATAAAACACAGGAGTGTACAGAGCAGGAAGAATCCAGCAATGGTCTGGACCCACAGCCAGGGACCAGTCCAAGTCCCAAAAAATCTCGGATCTGGAAATTTCGGCAATTCGGCAGTTCGCCGTTTCGCACAACACGTTGATTTTAAATTTCTAAGGCGAATGTACATCGAAATGCACATTCAATGAGAAGATGAATATTAACATACCCGCCATGTAACAAAGTTCAAAGTGATTGGAAGCACACAAAATTTATAATGTCTACGAAGGTGAGAGTGGGCGGCGGATATGGCGAGCCTGTATATGCATCCGTCTATCCTCCTCCTTCTACCAATTTCAGTGTCCCCCAGATTCAAGGTTCTCTAGCAGCGGTTGGCGGCGGTGGCACACGACGAAGGCGATGGCGGGAAGCAGCTGCAGCTGAACGATGCAGTGCTGGAATTAGATGGAGGAAATTGCAAGGGGGTGCCGGGATTTAAAATAAGGACCGGACGTCGAAATTATTTTTAGCGAGACTTGGGCTGAACCAACCACCCAACGTAATCAGGCACACGTCCATTTTAGGAAATATGATGTCATCCACGTGCCGGCTTTTTCTCTTTTCCATCACTCAATGCCCAGCAGGCCGTGAAAACCCATTTTTTGAGCTCCCCGTTGAGCAATTCATTGTTGAAATCAAACTACTGAGCTGCCTGCTACTGAATCAAAGTAAGTCACTGTAAGGGCCTGCTGTTTTTGGGCAGCAAGCTTCAAGTTTGTTGTACAGAAAGGTATTTCACAACATGTGATCTCAATTCCAAGTCCTATCTTATCTTAGACCTAGTTTTTTGCTTCTTTATATGCAGATAGACCCAATATATTCAAGCTCATGCATTCTGGCAGTTATCTGAGCACTGTCTCATCATTTTGCACTGAAATTTTGGTATGTCAAAAAAAAAATTAGCGGCCTGGCGGCCGAACCAACCAACCGGCCCCTGGTCCGGGATTTAAATCCCAGCACCCCCTTGGGAAATTGCAAAAGCAGCACCATAGAAAGAGAGAGACGGCGGAATGAGAGGGGGAGGCAGTGAGCATCTTCTCTCATCGCACTCCTCGTAAACGGGATAAAAGGCGGGAGAATTCCGCCAGGCAAAACACACAGGCAGGATCCTTCGAGTTTTGCTCTGGTGTAATTTGTGGGATATAGTCAGTGAGAATGTTGAGGATAGAGTCTGGACGTCGATCTTTGCGCAGGAGTGCGTGAGCTTGACCAACAGGAGCCTGTTTGTACGCTTGACAGTACATTTGTAACGCGGTCTATAACCAAGAATGATGAAGGAAGTCGGGTTGCTAGAGCTTTCATGCTCACCTCGCTACCTTCATTTGTCTCGCAAATGTCGTAAATGTCGTGTTTACTGTGGTCGTGCTCCTTGCAGGACACGATGGTGCTCATGCAGCCTGACTCACCCATCGTAGTAGCGTATAACAGCGCCCCCAGGTTCGCTGCGCAGACAACATTTCTGTAGGATTCCGTGCCAGGTGAGCCGCATCATTGTCAGGTATCGTTAAAATACTCACAGTTGTCGCTGCTTTGATCCTTTCTGTTATCCATTTCCGTCATCTACACCCTCCATGAGAGATCGTGTCGCCGAGCACTGCTGATGACTTGAAGAGCCATAGGGAGAACGTCAGAGTTCATAGAGAGGTTGACGCTGGCGTTGTGTTGATTTGGCAAGAAGGGAAGTCCGATCATTTGGCGATTCGGCGATTCGGCGAATTGCCGAAATTTCCAGATCCCAGATGTCCTCCCAAGTCCTAGGCCTCAGATTCAATTCGAAATTATCACCGAGGTCATGGGCCAATCTCTACATGAAACTTCAAAAATTGCGGGTGCTTTCACATTTAAGGTGTGTTCTTTCTTTTTCTCAATAATTTACATGTCACCAATATCAATGTCCTTCTTTGGCATCATAGGTCCAGCCAAAATCAAAGAAAGGCCCTCATTCCACAAATGTTGAGTTCTTGAATGTTGATCTTCAAGGGCCAGATGCTGGCACCAAGCCACACTATCACCTCCAATATACAAACATATGTGTTGACAGCCACGATCCCTCCTCCTTTTCAACTGTTCAGCAACCCTTCGACACATTTGGATTTATTGGTCACAGCAACAGCACCAAGGTGGGAATGACTTCTGGATATACAAGATACCAGCACGAGATAAACAGTTGGAATCAAGACAACATCGCCAAATGGACATACTTCAGAAGTGACAGGGGATTCCTCAGTGGCTTGAACCTCCCTACTGATAGTTTTGAATTGCCCATTGTTGAATTCCATCATCCAGGTCAAAAAAACAAAGGAATAGCTTCAAAGGAAATGTCTGTCAAGCTTTCTTCGCTGTGGAAGGTGAAGAACAAGGGAGTGGAGGTTCGTGATTGGAAAACATCCATATTTTCTTTCTTTTCGAGAAAGAAGATGAAGGCGGCGGAGCCAGTTCCAATTTACACGAACTTTGTTCCGTGTGTGGTGATTGATTTCCAACCCGAGGCTCTGAAGTTGGGGTGGACTTTTGAACGGAGGACACTCTTGCTTCCGGTTGATGCTGACACCACGCAAAAAGAACAGTCTGGAGCCTAGTATGGGGTTGGAGAGGAATGCATTTGTGTTAGAACATCGACGGAGCGGAGGGATTTGGAATTGTTCGAGGCATAACTGACCTTGTTTCCTCCATGTGACTTGTTTGCGATCTTCGCATGGGTGCAGTCCTTTCGCTTCGCGGTTTGGCTTTCCCATTGTATAACACTGTATTTTGTGCCCTCGAGTACAGGCCTTGTGATATGTAGATCCCACCCCTGTTTGGTTTATACTTATCGTCACTCTTGACGAAATAAGCGTCACTCGACGATCTAATGAATATCATCATGCCGCCAATGACCATGGTCACAACAGGGAGGAAGATTGACAAGGAGTGGGCTCAGCGCTTGAATGGAGTTGGGGAGAGGCTCCTTTTGAACTTGAGACAAGAAGCAGAGCGGCGAAGTCCATCTTGAGGTTCAAATGGTGAATATCTGGAAAGGCAGGTGAGACGTGGAAGAAGGTGAAAAAGTATAACTCCTACGTTCAAATCCCTGATAACCATGCCATCTTCATGAGGGGTTTCAAGCATGTTGGATTGCTCAACATATCAACGTAGATCCTGGACTTGCGTTATAGAGAACCTGGTAAATCGATTGTCGTTGCTCAAAGCTGGTTGACAGGTCAAAATACGCGCCTCGATGTGGTTTGTATTCTGCGAAATTCAAACCGTCTTTGGGAGATCATTGGTCCTATGCCTTGGCGAGTTTCAACGACGCCATGTAGTCATCGGAGTATTCTGCAAGCATCTAGGAGGTAGATATATGAGATCGAGCTTAATGGAGCACAAGCCAACTTACGTAGCAAATATCCTTCCCCATCCCTGTGAGAACGAGGGAAAGGAATACAAAGCCTAAAATGGCGTGTAACAACGGACAAAGGGAAAATAAAGTTCACCATGAACGCGTGAGCTTTTCAGTTGCTTGAAAATGCGTTCTTTTAGATAAAGGAAGCCCTCTCTAGGAAAACTAGCAGCGAAAATCTACGTCTTCAAGCTGGAGGCGTATACATAATGAAGCAAGCCAGCAATGGGGCCGGAGACTCGCTTATAACGCATAACCACCACGAGATGAAGTGAAGCATTCAGCAGCAAAGCCCAGTCCGAGAGATGTATTGGTAGCGATGGGGATCTTGTGGACATGGTGTTGTAGCTTGACAATTGATCAAGAAAACAACGTTAATTCGCCTTGCTGGGTCAATTCGCATCCGAAGCATATGTCTTCTGAGCTGCTGAATAGATTACTTCGGTTAAACCAAACGCCTGGCAAAAGGTCTAAAATTCAACGTTTATAACCTGACGATGGGTTTTTCTGTTACACAAAGAATGGGAGTCATCATTCCCTCTGCAACAAAGCGAGGAGACCCAGGACACCAAGTAACGCGTATTTCAACTGTGGAAAGTCGTTCTAGAGGAAAAAATATAAAGTGTAGAAGCAGGAACGTCTCGGGCACTCACCATCGCAATAGTGACGTATCCCACATACGGCAAGAACCTGGAGCGACGGGGCGATTTAGTCTTCACGCCCAACCCCAAAACAACAACACTCACCCTCTAACTTTACCCACTATATGCTTCCTCTCAAGCCACTGTAGCCCTTGATAAAGTTCCAGGTCGTCCACATAATTGTTGTCACCCTTCGTCAACATCAACTGGCTCGCCGGCTCCCCAGCCTCCTTCGCTTTCCTACCTTTGGGTGGAACGTCGTGTGTCTCCAGCACCCTATGGACGATGGGAATATCCGCGCCGGGGATCTTGTATACCGTTATATCACCTGTCTTGTATTGTTCTGAGACGGGGTTTGTGAGGAAGAGGAGGTCGCCGCGGTAGAATGCTGGTTCCATTGACCCACTGAACGTTTAGAAAGACAGAGGTTCTGAGATGGAGGGGAAACAGTTGGTGAGAAGGAGGACGGACCTGAGAACGACGACGATGGGCGATTCAGAGTTGGTTATTATGCCCAAACCCTTCCAGATCATCAAGCCTGAAGCGATGACAGTTGCAAAGTTCAAGGCTTGGAGTAGTACCTAGACCAGAGTTTGCCAGAATGTCAGTAATTGCTTTGGAAAGAGCGGTGAATGTACATGGCGAAAGCCAAGCCTTCGGAAGGCCTTTATCTCTTCCGTGAACATGAAAACAAGCAAACGGGTGTGATAAAGCAGGTGGGAGGAGGTACAAGAGGGTTGCTGTCAATATGTATGAAAGACGGATCCAAATCGGACACGTTGGACGCGTTAGAGCACGTGTTCCAAAAATTCAATATTACTGCTTCACAAGTTGCTATCCAAGCAGGGAGTCTCGTCGACCAATTATCCACTTTTCTTGAAAGAGTAGTTGCAGGATAGTCGTTCTCTACATTTCATTTACATGGCACGCGAAATACATCGCAGAATTTTATTTTACTTCTTCTACTTCCCATTTTCCTGAGCTCAACCCCACAAAGCATCAGCCATCCTAACCACATCCGCCATTTCCCTCGTATCATGCACCCTCACAACCAACGCCCCCTGCTGAACGGCACACGCCACCCCCGCAGCCGTAGCCCACACCCTCTCAGTCGGTACAGTCTCCCGTCCCCCCGGTCCTTGTGCCAACACACCGCCAATATACGACTTCCTCGACGTCCCAATGAGGAATGGGTACCCAGCAAGCGGGTTCCGATATTTTTTATCACCTGAACACTAAGAGATCAGACACTGCAAGGTCACCAAAGAGAACAACAAACCTTGCCCAACCAACACATCCTCAACCACCCCCTTCGCATCCCTCAAAACCTCCAAATTTCCTTCAACAGTCTTACTAAACCCAACCCCAGGGTCCGCAACAACCAACCACCTCCTCACCCCTCCCCGCCCTCTCACAACCGCATTCACCTTCTGCCCCAACTCAACCCTCACACCCTCAACAACCGCCCCTCTCAGCCCAGCGTACCCATACATGGCTTTATACCCTTTATTCTGCCCCGCCTCCCCTCGAGAATGCATAAGCACACATGGGGTCGCATATTCCCTCGCAACACGCTTCATCCCCTCCAAATACTCCTCCGCCCGCCCAACAGCCTCTTCACCCTCCACTTCCAAGAAATACTCCGGCCCAGTGAACGCATAAACGTCGTTAATGCAGTTCGCCCCTGCTCTAACAGCCGCCTCTGCCACCTCCCACCTGAACGTATCCACACTGATCAGTACATGCCTCAGCTTCTCCGACTCTTCGGCCGCAGCAAGCCGTATAGCTTGTACAACCGGCACAACACGATCAATCTCCTCTTGCACACCCACAAACGCCGCCCCAGGGCGCGTGGAATACCCACCTATATCAATGATAGCCGCTCCGGCTGAAACGGACTCGCGCGCGTAGGACAGGGCGGTTGGTAATGTGTTGTGCGTCAATCCGTCAGAGAAAGAGTCTGGGGTTGCGTTTAGTGTGCTCATCAGGTACGTTGACTTGTGTTTTGGGTGGTGGTGGACATTCAGTTTGCCGTGGGAGTTACCGGTATGGGTGGGTGCAGAAGAATGGGAGGTGTTTGGGTAAGTCCAGTATGTGAGTGTTTCTGGGACGGGCGGGATGCATTTGTAGAGTGACGTGGTGCCAGTGGAGAGCGGGAGGCGAGGGAACGGGATGACTTTGTGCATCTGTGGTTCGTTGGGTGGGATTTTCAAACTCTTCAAAAGGCTGCGCAGGGACTTGTGGTGTATAGGATGAATGTAATCCGGAATCATGCTATACACAAGATGTTTTGAGCAAAGAAATCGAGACACGAATAATACACTTTCTTACTCATTCAAAGGCCGCAAGACGAATTCTCTCTCCACCAGTCTTGGATGCGGAATAACGAGCTCGCCTTCTAGATTGTCAAGCGTCGCACGATGCTCAGGGGGACGGGTGTCAAGCACTTGTTGGTCATACAACACCAGATCGAGGTCCACAGCTCTTGGTCCAAATCGGATAGATGGGACACGCCCAACGATCATTTCAATCTTTTTCAAAAGACGGAGCATTGTCGTTGGTGGGAGATTCGTTTCTACCTTGAATGAACATCGTTAGTCGCGTTTTTTCTGGAAGAGACGAAGGAAAGGCGTTCACCAGACAAGCACAATTGATGAAGGATGGTTGGTCCGTGACGTACATCGGTGCTGTCTCATACAAAAAAGATGTGTTCACGACGGACACCGTCGCTGTCAACTCTAAAGGCGAATCTTCCTCGGCCTTCACCTCCCCTCGTTCGTCAGACTCTTCTTGCCCATCAGATGATAGAAGCTGTTGTGGGATCTCCAGCAAGCGTAAGGCGAGCTCTATATTTCGGAATCGGTCTCCGAGATTAGAGCCTAGGGCAATAGCGACCGTATGCATTCCATTGGTTGCTGTGGTTTCTGTGACGTCAGCACCGGGTGGTTTTTGAATTGTGGATGTTGTCAAGTCTGGATAGTCTTTCATAGTCCGCGAGATCTCTACTTCAGGGTACTTGGCAAAAACTAGAGCAGAAGGTTTGGCGGCTTTCACAGTGACCTTGTGTATAGGTAAGACGGGTTTGATGGTCAACAGAGTTTTGTGAGCGACTAAGGAGGCGAGTGCCTCTATAGTGAAGAAGCTCGACGTGCTAATTTCCTGGTAAACTTGGTTAATTACAACACGATGTAAGGGGAAAACAAAGCACCTCATACAACGTCCTCGCGATAGTCCGAAAGTCAATCCACTGCTCCTTCTGTAGACCATCTTTCCCGCTATCGATAGAGATGGTCGATACCACGTCCTGCTTCTCCAACCTCTCCCCAGGATTGACTCCAATGATCGCATGACAAGTCAGCCCGTCCACGAAATGCCTGACACGTGTAACAGTCCACGTATCCTCGTCGAACGTCGCAGCCGACTCAACACCAACGCGGGCACAATGCAGAGGGGGCCGAAGCTGAACGACACATATCCCCAATTCAAACACCTTGCCACGGTGGTTACCAAGCAAAGAGGTCTTTTGCAAGAGCGCGTCGTACGTGTGCAAGGAGAATTCCTCAAGCGACGCGAACACAGGTTCATTCCTGATGGACGCCCTTAACTCCTTGGCAAGATCAGAGTAATTGATCGAGTGGACGAGGTCGTCCGTCTCTGCTGCCTCCTTCACATCGTGCACCAGGGATAAAGTGACATGAACAGGCTGCAGGGTACCCTCATGCGGTTGCTTTGCAGGCCAGCATGAACCCGAGCCTAGCCGGATAGTAAGCGCGATGTCCTGGATCCTGATGGTGTCCATAGACCCTATATCTGTATGACTGAATTTACTTTGAATATGTACGCCTGAGTATGAGCGAGAGTTACCTTGTGTCGGACAACATGAGTGAGTCTCAAAGAGAGAGAGATAACGGGATTACGTAAATCGGCAACTTCTCCATCCCCAATGTCACCGACACTTGCCTCTGCTCTGGAGAAGCTTGCGTCGTACAGGACAAATAACACAAGAGCGTCTCAAGAGATATTTGAATCCGGGTGTATAATCTTGAAATCTGGCTCGTCGACGAATCTAGGAGAGGAAGGTGCGTAAATTCCACCCTGCTGTTGGACCACGTCACTAACCATTGAAACGAAAACCAGGATGGGCTTTCCTGGAACAGCTTGCGCTGGCTGCATTGGATGTAGGCCGGATAGACGTCGCTGACGTACGTCCATCTCCTATTTCGTGCCCGCACTTTTTTCAATGACGTTAACGACAAGGTCTCTCTCTGTGCTATGTAGCAATGCCTCCGTCAACTCTCCGACAAGTTCCCCGAGTCCCCGCGGGTGGATGTGTTGTCGGGTATAAGGATGGAAGCCACCGAGCCACCGAGTACGGTGCTTCAGTTCTATGACGAGCTGTTGAAAGCTGATCCTGCAAATGCGGTGAGTCCATCGTTCGATGACGGGTAGTTCAAATTACTCACTCGTAGTCAGGCAATCTGGAAACGCCGGATATCAGTTCTGAGACGTACAGGAAAGATACAAGATGCCGTAGAAGAGCTAACACAGTTCCTCGATACGTTCTACACAGACCTTGAAGGCTGGCTGGAGCTCGCAGACATATACACGTCATGTAATCAGTATGTCCCTTGCTGCCCACCTCCTGTCTTCCTCAAGCTAATAGATTTGAAACCCTATAGGTTCACCTTGGCCCTTCAATCCCTCTCACACGCCCTCCTCCTAAACGCACAAAACCCTTTCACCTACCTCCAATTCGCCGAGACAGCCTACACAGCAGGGGACATTCCCTTGGCTCTGAAGATGTTCCTCATTGTGATCGACATGACCGAGAGCGACGTCCCTGATTCAAGTGACAGACCACCTTCAGGGATATCGATCCGAGCTTGGTGGGGCACGAAATTGGTGTGTTCCAACATGATGCCTCTGCTCTTTACTTACGTGCTCGATTAGTGCACCAGACACTTGGTGTCAAACCCTAGCAGCAGCTCCGCCTCGGACACACTGGTACCGAAGAAGATCAAGCTCATTGATGAACTGGCGACGGAGAGGGTGTTGGCTGCGTACCAGGGCGAACAGGGTGCAGATGCTCGTCAACTTGTGTCGTGTTGGATGTCGTCTCGAAAGTAATTTATACACGTGATGACCCTATCCTTGTGCCTGTTTAGTGTTCTTGCAAAAATGATGCCTGTCAAATCTTTGCCTCATTCCTTTCCATCGCCTTCTTCAAAGGCCCTTTGTATTTCAGTGCACACGAGCGCAAAGAATCCGCCCCATGTCTGCAGTTCGCCCTCTTCGCCGGCTCTCTGTAGCACTTGGCCTCGCAAAGGCCTATGTCCCAGAAGACTGCCCGCCAAATGACTTGAGAACGCACAGTGCAATTACAGCTGACCTATCCGACTTTCTCGTTGCTTCCAAAGCCAGCTACCTCAAAGACCCAAGTGCTGGTGATTGGACTGTGGTCATGGGGAACGAGGCCGGTGGTACGTCTTTCTCCTCTTCCTTGTCATTACTTAATTGGAAACCAACGGGCGCGTGTAGATCTAGACTCAATAGCCAGCGCCATCGCCTTTGCATGGATCCAATCCGAAGTCCACAAAGTACCCACCATCCCCCTCGTTCAAATCACGCGCGAAGACTTCGCCCTCCGCGCAGAGAACCTCTACGCGCTCAGCCTAGCAGGCATCTCCGACCCCCCTTCCCAACTCCTCTCCCTATCCGACATCGCCTCCTTCCCTACCCCATTCCCCTCTAAAAAGTTCGCGCTGGTGGACCACAACCGCATCGCCGACCGATTCATGCAAGACAACCCCAGCGCGGAGATCACAGCCGTCGTAGACCACCACACGGACGAAGGCCTATACCCAACTGCAAAACCACGCATCGTCGCGCCGGCAGGCAGCTGTTCCTCCCACATCGCTGCGCTATGCCCACAAAATATCCCAGCGGAACTCGCAACCCTCTTGTTCTGCGCCATCCTCATCGACACGGACGGCTTGAAACCAGGCGGTAAAGCCCTCGACCTCGATCGTCACTCTGCCATCTTCCTAGCCGCCAAATCGACGTATGCAGAGAAGATTCCGAGTATTTCGAGTATGGGGGGTAAACCGCCCCCGGATTTCTTGTACTACCAAGAAGCGGTGAAAACGCTCACTTCGAACCTGGTTACGAAAAAGGCGGACGTCAGTCAATTGAGTGCGCATGACTTGATTAGGCGGGATTATAAGGAATACACGTTCACCCTCTCCTGGGCCAAGGAAACACCTTCACCAAGCATCAAAGCCGGCTTGTCCACCGTCCCCGTGCAACTGAAAATCTGGGGCTCAGATGGTAAACTAGAAGACGCAGCAGTGACTTGGATGCAAAGCAGGGGTCTAAGCGTGCTGGGCATCCTGACGTCATACAACAAGAAACCCAAACGGCTCGGTAAAGCAAAGGGAAAACACGAACGCGAAACGGCGTGGATTATCCTTGACCACCAGGGAGTTGATACTGCCGAGCTCGCGACGAGGTTGTGGACGGGCCTTGAAGGGAATAAGGAGATTAGCGTCAAGAAGCGTAAGAAATTCGATTTGGAGAAAGGGGGGAGGTTGCCTGGGGGCGCTAAGGCCAAGGTGTATAAGCAGGGAAATCCAAAGGCGACGAGGAAGACGATCGCTCCGCTGTTGAAGGATATCTTGGAACCTCCAGTGGTTGCTACTACGACTGCTCCCGCTGCTGCTTAAAGGGTTCATGTGCGTTTCAACGATCATTGGACTTGTGCGGCCGTGTACCATACCTACTATACGACTAGCCCCACAGATTTCACCTTCCTCTCACGCTCTCGGCTCAGCTAGATACCCAACGGACTGAAGATTCACATCTGTACATACACGCTGCAGAGTATTACCATTCCGGTCCACCTTCCAATGCAGATAACATTTCCCTGGGCACCACGTTCCCTTCCTTCAGTTCTTGATAGGACTTAAGGATGCGAAAAGGGAACGGCGAAGTGCAAATCTGGGCTGGCTGGACCCAGAAGAAAGTGATCTTCGTCCTACTACGAATAAGGATAGATAGTTTCCTTCCATCCTCTTCTATGTAATCTCTATTCCAATTCGCTGGATGCTATAGGTGTGTGGGTATGCAAATGGGAACATAGGTAATGAATACAACAAGGTACAACGAACTTTCTTCTCCAATCGCAAGCAGATAAGATGGATAAACCAAGGCTAAATGTCATCGAAATCGCTGAGCGCAGTATAATAAGATGCCCATGTGTCTGGTCTTCCCGCCAACGCCAACAAATCAACATCAACGTCAACGTCTAACCGCGCATGATCTCCTTTCTCTTCTGCGTCCGGGGTCATTAATAAAGTCGTAGGATCATCCACGCCAACGACAACCGTCACCGGGGGCTTTTCGCTGGAGGGTGTTGTTGGAGACTTGGCGGAAGCGGAGGAGGAGGAGGCGGAGGCGGAGGAGGAGCTCCTTGAAAGCGGGGTCAACGGCGACTCCTCACCACTACTACAGTTGGAGTCCACGGAATGAGAAGTGGGGTAGTGCGGATCAGAGGAAGAAGAAGTCGACAACGAAAGTGAGATATGCGAAGCAAAGAGCTGACGAGCAGATACGGCGAAATCGCGCTCAATGCTCGGGGTACGCAGCAGTCTCCTCCGCTTCCTTCGAAGCGAGTTCACTCTGGGTAGTGGAGGCGGCGACGAATTACAAGCGGGAGAAGCTCGGGTGATTGCCGGGGAGAGTGTTTCCGAAGAGACTTTGGCTTCAGCAATGTCAGCCAATTTCTCCATATGTTTTGTTGGAGAAGATGCTGCGGATGAGGAACATGATGGGAAAAGTGGGGCAGTGGGGACGACGACGGCACTGTCGGATAGAGAGGAAGGTGGTGGTGCGCAGCATAGTGAAGGTATAGAGATATGCGATGGTTCTTTTACGCTGTTCGCGCGAGAGCGGTAATACCTGATGTATCCGCCCACGCTGACTGAGGGGAACGGGTCCTCAAAGTCGCTCCAGCGTTGAAGGTCGGGCGGTAGTGTGCGTTTTGGCCTTTGTATCTCGGGCTGGGGCGGTGGGCTACACGGCACAGCTACAGCGGAGCCTCGACGCTTGCCTCGAAACACTTTCGAGATCATGGTGGTATCGGAACGAGCAGGAGGGGGAATGAAATTCAAAAGCATAATCGTTATCTCCAGGGTTGAAACGTACGGCGTATGCTGAGGAAGGCCAGTCCTAGTCGTATGAGAATAGCTGGGAAGGGGTAGATCTTGTTGTTGTTATGCACTGCACCTATATACTGCGGGATACGGTTTCAATACGCGCGCGAAGGTGACATCGGAAGCCAGGACCCGAAGGGAGGGCGAAGAAGCTATACCCGGGAACGGATGAGAACTTGGACTCGTGGTACTTCAAGTGGCGCCAGCTGATCACATCTTGGATTCAACCTTACTTGAGATGTTAGATAGACAAGTCCATCATGGGATCAGCTGATGACCCGTTTAGCATCATGTGATGCATCCGCAAGAGACTCACCGCTCAAAAACCAGGCAAGTAGTGCACATGTACCAGATCATTGTTGGACAAGATGGGTAACAAGATCCAGTGCTGGCGCTTGAAGTTTTGCGAGTGTTGATCCAAAAGCTGTACGATTCATTTCAAAGAGTTGTGAACGCAGACAGTAAAATGGGCGGCTACTAGTAAGGGTACGACGCGTCTAAACGAGCGCCAATCAGAGTATTTTCCTCTTGCATTTGCCGCCCTCCATGTCGTAGTGGAATGAATCAAACTGGGACATATTCAGAGAAAACATAGCAAAGACAAACCCCCCCGAGCACTCACCACACAAAGCTCAAACGGCACGCTGGTGTTGATAATAGCAGTAAAAACCGCCTTCGCGATCGTCTGAGGCAAATGAAAGGCTGTAGCATTGGCCATAGCATTGTCGATAACCTGCTGATCCCTCGACGGCACATCCACCGTGTCATGTGTACTCTTAAAACGCGTAGCTTCGCGTAGCTTCGCGTACAAAAGCAGCTCTAGTTAATTCCATGCGGTAAGGAAGACGCGCAGGCGCAGAAAGTGAGTGAAAACACACCTCTGGGCTAACAAACTCAGCAACTGCGCGTCGACAACGTCTATACCTGTGCGTACTTCGTCCAACGATGAACAACACGTCGTGCTGCCGTTCACAATCCTTGGACTCCCCCAAGGTATCGTCCTGTTTTCTGGTGGTGCGGGTAGGTTGGGCAATACCTCGCCATAGCAAGCTGTTGCGAAATCGGGTTTCGAGTTGGCGAGGCTGGAGTGGAGGAACGGAGCGAGGCCAACGAGAAAATATTGTAGCTTCATCGAACGGACAAGACAATTTCCGTCGACGTTACAACATATGGTGGAGCCGATATTCAACCGCTATTCGGCACATGGTCGGAAAAGGCTGAATTCAAGACAGTCCGGGCCAACATGAGAAAATTTCTGACGGTGGTCGAAGTCCCGAAGTAAGTGCATACTTGAGCCGAAATGATCCCTTGTGCACCTGGGCGATGATTAAGTTTTGCGTAGTCCATGTTAGGCAAGCCTGTGCAACTCAAAAAACAGCAGAAAATTTACATCCACCGTATCAGATAAATTCCAGAGTAAACCATAAAATACAACGGGGTAACAGGCCGCTAAGTATATACAATGCGAAGGGGACTATATACAATAAGAAATAAGTATGAGAACTGATATCGAGATAATGGGCATGGCATATAAGAGCAGAACGAAGAGCAAGGCAGATAAATAAGGAGGGGTTGCGCATACGTAGCTATGCTTGTGTCGTAAGCATAGGAGGGTAACCGTGGGGACGGAGGTAGGAAGATAGACTTGTTCGAAGTGGCGCAGATCCAAACCATTCGTGGCTTGGGTGGGCATAGGTTGTGGGGCGGAGAATTCCTTATGGCAGTGAGGTTGGTCACGAGCACAACAATGCGTATATGAGGAATGGTCCCGTGCTATGTATGGCGTCAACGGTAGAGATGTGGGGCATCGCGTCGGTCTTGGTGTCCATCTGGGAGTGGGGATGGCAGGGGTGAGCCTTTTGTTATATAAGCTGAGAGGTTGTGAGGTTCTCCCGAAGGACGCCGTCGCGGACAGACTCTAGGGTAGTGATAGTGCCCTCTGTATCAGTCACTGTTGTCGGATAGATGTAGGTGGTACGGGGCTCCGGAGAGCATTGTTTTTGAATCTCCTTGAATTTATCCCGAAAATCTGTGATTGAGTCAGGAAGGGGGAGTCGGGGAGGCTAACATAACTTACATCTTATAACAGGATTTACTTCGTTCGGTCGATCACCATAGCTAGGGAGGTATTGGTTGACACGGACACCTCGTTTCAGTTTCTTTCGCAGCAAATCGCATTTGTTCAGGAAAAGGATGAGTTGGGTTTTTGCGAGAAGTTTGGATGAGCAAATGGATGTCCAAAGATTAATTGAGTCTTCAAGGCGGTTGACTCTTGAGTCTTCTTCTAGTCGTTGGTCGAAGACAGAGATAGGGGAAACTACAATTCATGTTAAAAAGAATTCCAAGTAGTGATCTAAGGACGCACGAAAGATGATGACGTTGACATTATCGAAATAGGGTAGCCATGCCGCACGCTAAAAGCAATACACGTCAATGCGTGTTATCAAGCCGAGAAATGCTCTGTTAATTACCAGCGTTCTGCAGCCGCCTACGTCAAATATACGCCATTCCCATCCATATGTATTACCCGCTACAAAACGACGTCAGTGACTGCATTGCATATTAGATAAAGCTTGACCAACATCTGGCTTGGCCCCATGGCCCACGCTCAAAAAACAAGCGGTGTTCTTGTATACCAACAGTTCGCAGACGAGCGCGAACGATGTCCTGATCAGTAACCACGTAATTCCGAGTCGCAATACGATCCAAATCTTTCAAGAAACTATAGTCGGTTCAGTGAAACGAATCGATGATTATCATGACGCCGAAGATACGTACAAATTGACAGAATCGGGAAGTTGTAGCTTGCGACGTTTCAGGGCCAACCGCACCGTTTTGTCATCCCACAGCGCCTTCATGTCGTCCCTGCATGATGCAATTGTATCCGTTGGAACGTCCAGCTTAGACGACGAGGAGCTCGCGGTAGATTGAGAATGTCTTTCTTCGGGAGCGAGCATGTCCTTCCATGAACGAACCGAGAACTCTGGGAGCTTCCGCTTCCTTGTTATTTCGGGCTCGTCAAATGGGGTAGCGGACATAGGGCTGGCTGCTGCTACACGTGCGTGCTCTGGGCCAGTGCCGAGACGACGCTTCAATTCCCCCTCTACACCCAGCAATGGCGCAAGGCGGATCATGAGGAGTTGATGCCGATCGGTGAACTTAAGACTCTCCTCGTCGCTAGAGTCTTGACCCGCTGAAGTTCGGTCGTCTTCTGAATCAACCGGTGAATCACCATTCATCTCCTCTGTGAGGACTCGAAGGATGGTAGTGATGCAGCGCACGACGTTAAGCTGAACGACGGCACGCCAACCACAGCGCTCCGCGCTCCATTCACCCTTGGCGTATTGCATGCGAAAGTCTACAACGACTGATGAGATACGAGCTGTCAAGGTGAACGACAACAGCTTACTTTTGAGCGTCGTTGATTTTCCTAAAACATGGAGCGTTGGATGGACGGCGAATGCTGGTGAAACAGTAGGTAAACTCACCACTCTCTGACTGACCCAAAAGCAAAACTTTGATTACCCCACGTTGCTTCTTGGCCTCCGCTCTCTCCTGTTTTATATCCTCGTCGATCTCGTCGCTGTGTCGTTGAGCATCGAGCTCCCTTTTTTGACGCGCAGTGTGCTGGGCTGGCGTCTCATCAGGAGGAGGCTGCATAAGCTCATAGAAAGGATCTGAAGGACCAGGAATGAAGACCATGGGTGTCTGAGGAGAGTCATGAGTGCGATGATGGATATTTGAATAAATGTGCTTAGTCACTGCGCAAGGGTCAGGAACAACAGTGCTAGTGAAACAAACCTGAGTGAAACACTCGCCACTTTTTTCTCACCATTTTCTTCGGATTCCCAACAAGCCTGCACTGACCTTTTCTAGACTCTATACTACTGATGTTACGGGGCGTACTCCATCGACACCCGTTCAATTGGCAGCGCCTCCCATTCATTGACCACGCTCACTAATTCAAATACGACTCTTCCCAGCTCGGATCTCGCCATGAAATTCCCGTCAATGTCCATCTTATCGCCTCGCGGGTGGGTCGGCCGTGGAATGTGATATTCTTCAGGTACTTTGATGCACTCACTGATCAATTTTTAATCGCCAAAGCGTCCTAACCCTCCCCAACACCATTTATTCAGGTTTTTGACTGCCTAACTCGCTAATAATAGACGCATGTGCGCGTCCAATTCGCTGATATGACAGACTAGGACCGACTCTGACAGACTCGCATTAAAAATCTGTTCAAACAAACTATGAACGTTTGAACCCTTCCAGGGTTTCCAAACTTCTGCAAAGACATATTTCAATGCAACCGGCAAGTGCCGACGCACCTGGAAAAATTCTACCGATGGTTTCTTACCTGCAACCAGAACCCACGGCTCATTCGACGATTCATGTACGGTTTGACAGGCTGATCGCCATCTTACGTATATGTACATATCTGTGAAGAGCGGCCGTATGGTTTGCCACGACCTCACAATTTCAACTCGCACTTGAATGCGCACGTTTTGTCAATGCCCTGCAATGTATCTGGTGACTTTTACAGTCACCGGAGACCCTTGACTCCCTCTAAATCAAGACGTCAAATTTTGCTTCCTTCATATAGTCAGGTCAGCAGTCATACGATGACCCCACAAAATGCCACGCGTCATGATCATCATGAATAAAAAATGGACCTGTGGGGCTTGGACAACTTCGCATACGAGCCTGTAGGGCAGCCATGGTCAATGCGGTCACACCCCTACGTCAAGCGTTGTATCGTAAACGAGTAGCCTTGATGTGTGTTCGAATCATACAAGTGCACAACAACTACTTGTGAGATACAGGGGATAGACGTTTTCAAAACGCCCAGCAACTCCGAGTCGGAGGGTATGTTCTACAACAACGAACAACCATTCAAAGGACCGCAGCAACTCGCAGCAACCGTAAGAACTTGAAAAAGTAACGATCTTGGACAAGAGAACCAGTTGTCGGAGGGGCGCCTGTATTCGTTGCGTTTGAACCGGAAGCACGGTTACGCGGAAGTGCATCGGCATCAAGAGAGCTATGGGCTCGATCCAGTGTAACTCGTCGACGTCACAACCGCTTCATTGGCCTGTTATCTCCGTCGTATAAAAAAGTAGTAAAAAAGGTGCCCGAATTTAACATTGACTCACGAACAAGCATGAAAGTAGACCTGGAGAAGCTGTGATATCGGCACGTACGGAGTGGAGATGCCAGAAGTTGTCGAAACGACCCGACGTACCCGCGGTAAGTAATGGAAGATAGCGGGCATTGTCAAGGAATAGAGGAACAAGCGCAGTTCGTTCATAGTCCGCTCGGAGCTGAGGGTGCACGATGTGGCTCCATTGAATCCTAACCATACGCATCAAGGAAAGTGGTGTACCTGTCTGGGCGACACCGCGATTCTGACGACCGTAACAAGTAGCGCGATTAGTAAAAGCCCATCCGTCGGAGCGCTGTTACATGTTACCCCCGCGATGAGAGCTAGAAACATGATGCAAAGGGGGGCAGTGGCCGTATCCGCTTAAAAAGAACACGATATTCGTGTCTTGCACCGCAATAAAAATTCCGCCGAAGCAAAACGGTCGTCAAAAAAGTTGTCGTAATTACGCGAGAAAAAAAACGTACAGCAAGCGTAGCAAACAGGGAAGCGATGACCTGGGTGCGGTTGTAGTGATACCACCCTCGACACCGACAGATGCACACAACGATGATAAATTCCGAATGATGTCAGAGAGTGGGGAGACACGGCCTTGGACTTAAGTACCAAACACCTAACTCCAAGAAACCCCGCAAAGAATCGCCCTTGCGATAATAATCAACCACTCTCCCGAGACGAGACCAACGTAGCAAGCGCGTCGGAAGAATTCACTTACCGCAGGTTTTATTTGTCCAACTGAGATGCCGCCGCTCATCATCGCAATGCGATATATCCTGTCAAACATACGTCAGGCGTCGGGACGGATGCAAAAGTTGACGTGGCTGTGGCATATTTACCCGAAATGGATTGAGAGAAATCATCTGTTGTGAAACCAGGATCTTGTGGTGAATTGGAGCGCTTAGTACTCGTGCCTCGCGTGTACGACGCGACACCTAGATTTGTCGAGAGAACTACCGGTAGCATGAGTAGAGCTTGGGCGGACGTGCCACGCCAAAGAATCCAGCCTGGGCCCATAGGTTGCTTGCGACCCGTCGCAGGGAATAATATAAAAAGTCGGGAAAAAACCCCAAGGTTTTCACCCGATTATCTGCAATCGATTTAGAGAAGGTGGGAGAGTAGCCTTGCAACATTTCTCAGATCCTACATCGCAGGTGTGGGGGGTCATTGTTGGTCGGCAGAGCGTTGAGTCTCTAGAGAACGGATTAGGAGACGATTGCTCAGTGGTGACTCGGTCCACACTGCAAGCGAGGGCCAAGCAAAAAAGCAGAGTGGAGAATGCTTGCTGGGGTACAAAGCTTTTGCATCTTCCTTGCCGTGGGCTAGTCAGCCGTTCCGGAGGCCCATAACCAATCATTTGACACCAATTAGAGAGATGGAAGTAAATCCTATGTGTTGTTGATAGCATTCAACTGCGGGGTGGAAAGCAGAAAGGATGAGCACACTTGATCCAGATTTCAATGTGAAAATTTTGGTCTCAAGAGTTTCTGATGTGAATATTTGGGAACGGAGGAAAGTGAACTTGATTTGAACACGACCCAAAGTTGACCACCAGGTATCAAGGCATTTGAGAAGCTGAATCTATCAAGCGCTCGCGGGTCGTAAATGTTGACTCTCCCAACATATGGGAGAGTAAGCATCAAACAATTAAATATTTTCGCAAGGCCTCCTCGATTTTGGATCTCAAAAGGAACGGATAACGGGAATTTCCTGGTCCAAGAGTCACCGCTAGCAACTCGATGTATTCGACGTCGGGAGTTTGTTGGTTGTGTATGGGTTTTCGAGTGGCGCATGACGTCCGGATGCTATTCGAAACAAACATATCGTGAAGGTAGTCCTTCATGTGTTGCTTGTGAGATAGCCGGAATGGTAATTGGGCGGAGGCTCTGAAGCAAAGGCTCTGAGGAAGCCTGGAGAGAGGGAAAGAGGTATGAAAAGAAGAGTTTGAAAATGCGTGTCCTTTCTCGTTTGACCCTTAGCTCAGATCTAAATGGGCTGGATGGTAACCCACGGCCGGTATACATAGCTTTGGTCCAGTTCTTGACTTCCAGAGGAGGCCTCAGAGGAATTTCGTGACTTTTCAGACCGAGGTTATACACATAGGAAACGGCGGTTGGGATTTCGAAGAATCATTTCACTGAGCTAGGAGATAAAATTTGAGAATCTCGTGAGCATGAAATTGTAGAAGGCGCTTGTAAATTAGATGCACTGTCGAAGATTGCGGAAATGTTGAGCTTTCAAAAGGACGGTCCGTGTGCTTGACGCGGCACCCTGGTGGCACTTCCGACAGTTCATCACCACACAATACGAATGTGCTTAAACGCGACAAAGACTTCAAAGACGACAAAGTATATCAAGAAATAAAAGTTATTGGCGGGTTGGTAGGCGCAATTTCATGTTTCAAATCTGGCGAATGCTCAACAAGTTTCAGGCAGATTAATGCACAACTCTCGCCACAAGGGGCAACTTCATCGCTCGGAGCTCTAGTTGCATCAGAACATTGTTCTTCATGGGAGTCATCAAAATGAAACGGTGCCAGACAAGTGGTTGAGGTGATACGTGTTGGGTCGGCTGACGAAGAGAATGGGGCGTGCAAAGTCGTCAGAAATTCACGTCGAGAGAAGGGGCTCTTTATGTCGCCCATCCTGCATTGCGTGGACGATGGTATGTGATTGTTTCCCCCCTTCGTACGGTGTTTCACGAGTTCTCCAGATTTCATGGAGTCCACCCAGAGTCCACCGGGCGAGGATCACCAACTACAATTTCTGGCATACCAATTGAATCAGGATTTCAAGTCATCTTTTCACTGCAAAACGTCGACTAAAGTCTGACGATTTTCCCCAGGAGCTTAGTGGTTATCTGACACAGCGCTTACAATTTCGGGGAGAAAACAAAGCCAGCACAGTCCTGGTTTCTTGACTTTCGACTTCGATTACTAGCTAAATCTTGGTTTCCCCGGCGTGTCCCATCTTCATTGGATATTATTTCAACTTCGACTCTCCACAACGGGGGAGAATTTGCGGTTTTGTCGCCATTCACCCCTCCCTATGTCATCACGTGACGGTCTTGGAATTTAATGGTGGAGAGGAGATGATATCTGTCAAGGTCCCATTCACTTCCAACGGTCACTGGCTGCGACACAATGGGAAGAGTGTCCATTTTTATGGTTGCTGCGATAATCCGAGGAGCGGCGGCGAAACGTTCATGATCATCCGGTGACGCTTGTCGTTCTGAAAACCAGACGACGACCGCACGCACATGGAAAAGCAAGGCCCATACAATTCATGCATGCTGTTCTATGGGGCTTCAAGAATAGTTACGTCCCTTATCGTGATCTACGCGGGTTTTATTCAAAAATACACCCTGCGATGTGTCATAGATGGGTTCGCTCACCTGGAGCGCATCTTTCTACACCAGACCTCCAAAATTGGGCTGGTCGAAATGGATTTGAAAATCAGACGCCGCCGCCTGCAGCAAAGATAGAGACTTCGTCGTAATTTATTCCAGCAGAGTGTTCTGAGGAATGCCGCTTCTTTGAGGAAGCTGTGGGCATCACCCCTCATAACTGCCCCCCTGGAACTCCAGTGTTTTTGAAGAGGTCGCTTGGCGTCTGCAGCACCACCAGACTTATGGATTTGACAAGGGGCATGAGCCGTCTGGAACAAGACTCGATTTTCATCGTCCTTCCGAACGAAGTCTTGAATCCTTGAATATACGTGGGAGGTCAGCACAGACGCCGCCCCCTCCTCCTGCAGACTTCGAAATGCTGACGTGCCTGATGGTGTGCTCAGCTACATGTTTGACTGCGGGGACATGCTCTCCTCCTTCTTCGTCAAAGAAGCTCGTTGGTTGTCATTGAGAACGTGACGACGTATCATTTCTATGGCCGTGATCCACTCCTCTCTGGATCTTGTGCGCCCTTGTAACCTTTTACTTTGACGTGGAACGGGTCAAGAGTGAAAGTCTGTTGCCCACCGACGTTTTAGAGTTAGCAAGGCCTGCTGCAGTCCCTGAGCAGCAGAAAACTGCGAGTTGACTACTGGAGAGAAGGTGCCGCCGATTTACCTTGACGTAGGGGGCCTTGCGTTGGGGCGGCAGCTGTTGGGTGTAGAGGGGGTTGTGTTCATCACAATTTTCGGCAGTGCCTTCACTGCATCTCCTTCTGGGCGCTTGGACAGAGGACATCTGTCACCATTCATCCCCCTAGCCTTTTCCCGGAAAGCCAGCCCTCCTACTTCTACCTGAAGATTAACGGCAAATAACAGTTGTTCTACGCGAGATCCAACCATTTCCAGGCTAGAAATTCAGGAACCAAAAATTCAAACTTCAAGCAAGGAATTCTGAGATTCCCGCTGTTTTGACGGTTATTTGGACCCCAAATTCCAATATAAATCACCCTGTTTCGCTGGGTCACTTCCTCTATCACGCCCACAACCACCTCCCGCCCCCGCCCCAACATTCCTTGTCTTTCCTTCCGCAAACTAAAACATACATCATTCTATTCTACATCCACTATGCCTCTTTCGCAGCTCGTCTTGCCATCTTTTACGCTCGTCCTGAGTGATTCTGGTACCCTCGGCGACTTCCAGCGCGCCCAGAGTCGCGAAATCCATATTCCCCTTTCTGCTCTGTCGAACGACGAGGACTTCATGGTACGGCGCGTTCACCACACACCCTCGCAGTCACTGAGGCTTCTCCCTGCCCACAGCATACGATTGACTTCCGCACGGCCCCAGCCCCAGCCTTCACCGTTCACAAAAGCACATACTGTCTGGTAGGTCGCTCTCCCACGCACTCTACTTTGTCTTCTCGTTGCTCACTTGACTTTTGTTCAGGACGCAGATGCCGCCTCCTTATTCAAGGATGTGAAGGAGGGCCTTATTTCAGATGGGTATTTCTGGGTTCGTACGTTCGAAAATTGGATTAAGCGTCGTGCTCATCATATCGCAGCAACGTCTGAAAATAGCTGTATCGAAGGTCAAGGACTTTGGAGGAAGGATCTTCACCGCTTGAGTTTGCCACCGTTTGGCTCTTTCTTGCACCTCATCCGTCACACAGTCAATGCTTCGCCGCCTCTTCTGTAATCTCGTCCTGCACATTCTGCAATCATATATATTTCACCCCGAGCTGTTGAATGCCAGCTCATACTCCCTCAAAATATGTCTGTCGTACATTGAATCCTCTTCATAATTTCGGCACGTAAATCATCATTCGCAGGTTGACTTTCTTCCCGGTGAACCTGATGTTCTTGGGATGGTGGAAGTTGCTACGCATGATTTGGTACATTTTGCGTTTCTTCGAAGACATCCCTAAATCTGGATATACTCACTCTATTACCGGGAGACGATCCGATGTTGAAGTTTGCACTATCATGATCACACCCAGTTATTCTGTTGGCTTTCTCTGGACAGGAGAGGTGGCGTTGAGCACCCACTCACAAAAAAATGTCGTCGTCTTCAACGTCTTGAGGCACACGGTTAACCATCTTGCAATCTCATGATTTATCTTGCGACTTCATGATAGATTCGACACACTGAGACTGGTTCAGTCGTCTTGCGTTCAAAAGGTCGCACAGTATATAGAGGACGAGAAATATTATGATCATTTTTGGTGAAGTCTGTAGTATGAGTAGAGTAGAGTAGAGTAGAGTAGATGTATTCCGGAGCGGTCCAGTTGCGCTGAGACTCCTAAATGACGGAGAAGCCCGCGAAGACAAGCAAACGCCAACTCCAAGTTGAGGGTGATCGAACGGCAAAGGGGAAAGAGGAGAAGGGCAGTGACAGGAAAGGAACGAGCTGGGAAAGGCGTAGGCGGTAAAAAGTTAAAACGTTGGCCTATATAGCATCGGCGCTGTGGCTGTGCATATGGCATTGATCAGTGTGACTCCGACGGTGGTGGGGAAGTTCTCAGGCATAGCGACGCTTCGATCACACATATGGGGTAGTCTCTCCTAGACAGACTTCGATATTATATTATGTGAAGTCGTACCTTTGTTCGCGATAATATGAGAAACGGAGTTGAGTTAAGAGGAAAGGCGGAGGGCTTGAAACTTACACCCTGTTTTGTTTGGGAATTCCTCGTCATTGTTCAAACGTACAGTAATAAGGTACAAAAGAACATACATTTTCAAAACGATACCAATGGGTGGAAAACAACGAAGAACCAGAAGGAACAGAGCAACAAACAGAGAATCCAAGTTGAATACAAAAAAAAAGAGATGCCTCCCTCAAACAACCTCTGCCAGCTGGTGTTCTTGCGAAGAAGCACGGCTAAGAAAAAATCGTATCAGCAAACACACAGATGGTTGGGCGCATTTGACGAAACTCACCGCCATTTGATGGGGCTGTCATCTCCATCGTATAAAAAGGTATCGTAGAGCAAGCCTCCAGCCTGAGCGCCAAGGACCGGAGCAATAATGGGTGCCCAAAGCCAATATTGACTATGAGGTAGCCGTAAGTGTTCAAAGAGGTACAGATCAAGGAAAAAATAGGGGAGCGTGTGCCGAAATTTCAAGACCAACATATGTGGATGACGCTCATTGCACAAGTGGAAATGGTCAAAAGGATGCGACATACCTGCGATAGTTGAAGAGAGCTTTTCCGTAACCTGCCATAGCGAGGAACAAGCGTGGTCCAAAGTCTCGCGCAGGATTGAGGGCGTACGCTGTTAATCAAATTCAACGCTGTTCATACGTCGAGGAGAACATACGCAGCTCACCTGTTTCCATGCCGAGCGACGCCCCAAGGCCAATGAACAAAACAAATAGTGCAAATGGTGAAAGCCCATTTGTCGGAGCGCCATTACGGTTATCGGTGAGGGCCAAAACCATCATAGCCAGAACGGCGGTGGCCAGGAATTCCGAAAAGAAACAAGATACTTGCGTCATGTACGGCAGCTTGATTTATGGTGCTTGTCAGACAAATTGCAACCCTTCGAATGACAAACTTACAGCGTACGTTGCGAAGAGGGAAGCGGTAGCTTGGGTGCGGATGTGACGTCCGCCTTCGAAGACATCGATTGCGTGGATATAATTCGCGTATACCAGTGCGGCACCGACGACCCCACCTAACACCTGGGCGAGGATGTAGCCTAAATAACGTTGATGAGATCATCACAACATGACACGGGGCCTTGGACGTACTGGGCACTTCACGCCAAGGAAAGCCGCGGTAAGTCGCCATTGCGATGGTTATCTACAGTCGTCTACATGAGACGGGACCAATGCGCCATCACATGAAGAGGAAGATCTTACCGCAGGGTTAATGTGTCCTCCAGAGATGCTGCCGCTGATCCAGGCACCCATCGCAATACCGATGGCCCATCCGAAATTTATAGAGAGAAACGACTGCGAAACTCTCGTAAACCAAGACTTGAACAAGTCGGGCGGAGGACTACACCTCGAGCAGATGATGCGACGTTTGGATTTGTCGAGAGTACAACCTGGCAGGCAGCCCCTGCACCAAAAATGACCAAGAGCGCCACACCGAAAAATTCAGCCATGGGCTTGCGGATTGCATGCCTGTGGTGAGCCAAAGTGAACATGACGGGCGAGAACATTATAAAGGACAAAACCGCTAGCCTGGTATCTTGCAAGAAAAGAAGACTGTCGAGGGGCCTCGAGATGCTTTTGAACCTCAGCGTAAGACGATGTGGGGGTCAGCGGTTTCTCGTGAATGAGTGTAGAAGCCCTGGAGAGTGGGTTTCCGGACGATTGCTCAGTGATATGCTGTTGGCCAGACATGTTAGGAACGGAGGGCAGCCACAAACGTAGAAGGAAAGATGCAGCTGTGCGTAACTTGCTGGATTGCAAGGACGCGTTCGTGCCTTCTTATATCCAACTCATGTGAACCACGCCTGCGGAGGAGCTGTCCCGGAGGCATGTAATATGTTTATCGGTGCCGATTAGGATGAAAAACAGATAAAGCCAGCCTGGCCAACTTGCGTCAGTTTTGTGTCAGAGAGGCACTTTTCGGTTGCTTTGATAATGAAAGCCTTGCACCACCACAACTTCGGAATTCGGCATGTGGGGATGGATAGGATGAAAAGAAGAAGGGTTGAGCGCAAATTGAAGAACATGCCCTTGAGCCAAGTGTCACCGTCCGTCGGTAGAAAAGTCCGAATTCGTCTTTTTCGCACAGCAGGTAACACCCCGTGAAGTTTAACGTGAAACTGACAGAACTTGGTGTACGGGCGCTCTCCTGTGGCGACAAACGGTCGATAAACACTTTCCCTTCGCCACTGGCCACCTCCCCGTGGGGCCCTCTTCTAGTGAGACTTCATTCGTCGGGACCTTGCCCAGTGAAGCTCTCGCCATTGATAACCACGTTGGATACCCGAAGTATGGCGAATGAGATCTTCAAGCGGTCTAAAGCCACGCAAACTTGTTCAATTCGGGACCAACTGCCAGGTCGCACCAAATGAATGGATAGAAGGACACGTGTGCGGAATCTGGAGAAGTCCGTAGACAGACGCCATCCAGCCACCAGGCAAGTTCCCTGGTCTTCAGCAGTAAAAGATGGCGGGGACACCGTTTTTTCTTTGCTCGCCGTTCAAAATCCCTTGAATTCATTTCGATCAGATGATCCTCTTGCAAAAGTCAATTGCGGACACGAGGAGATACAGCTTGGTGACAGCAGGCAACGTGGCCGAGATGCGACGTTTTCGGTTCATGGGATTGAGAGATATTGTCATGAGATAACGGAGGGACCGACAGAATACTTTGAGTCTACTTTGAGTGAACACAACGTAGATATCAGAAACCTTCGAAAACAACAAAAGCAAATAGCACCAGAATAGCTGGATCGTTTGGTTGGTCGCAATTGATCGCCCACCAGCGCATCGTTGGCCACCCGCCTCGCACATTGAACGAGGTATTCGCCGTTTTGTGCGCGACCAACACTGCAAGAATGGCAGCGCCTACGCCAAGCCGTCAGGCGATCGGCCTTTGTCGCAACACGCTGCGCGCGTCCCAGTCACAGAGTACTTTATTAAATATGGCAACCGGGCGTTACTCACAATGGAGTCAACTCATGGAGTGGTAGAAATTTCGGAGATGGGGTAAGGAGGAGTGTAAAATATTGTCAAGAAAGTGGCTCAGCTTGATGACATGAATGCCTTTTTTTTCCTCACAAAAATCTAACATCCATGGATGATGTATTTTCTTCTGAGTACTTGTAATTTGTAATATAGGATTTATAATAACTTTCCCCCCAAATTATGCTCCAGGCATTTTAGGCTTTTTTAAGCATCAGGAGTTCTGTAGATATATGATGAGTTAAGGCAGAGAGGGCTTGAAGCTTGCAGTATTGTCTGGGAACTCCTTGTCATTGTTCAAATGTACAATACATAACAAGGTACAGAAGAATATACATTTCCAAAACGATACCAAGGGCTGAAATGTTCTACAACAACGAAGATCTGGGAGGAACGCAGCAACCAAAAAGAGAATCCTTGAATACAAGAAAAAAGAAATGCCTCTCTCAAACAACCTCAGCGAGCTGGTGCTCTTGCGAAGAAGCACAGCTAGGAAAAATCATATCAGCAAACATGTATAGATGGTTGGCCGCATTTGACGAAACTTACCGCCATTTGATGGGGCTGTTATCTCCATCGTTTAAAAAGGTATCATAGAGTAAGCCTCCAGCCTGAGCGCCAAGGACCGGAGCAATAATAGGTGCCCAAAGCCAATATTGACTATGGGGTAGCAGTCAGTGTTCAGAGAGATACAGATGAAGGAAAAAGTAGGTAGGGGGAGCGTATGCTGAAAATTTGAGACGCCAACATTTGCGAATGACGTTCATTGCACAAACGGAAATGGTCAAAAGGATGCACATACCTGCGATAGTTGAAGAGAGCTTTTCCGTAACCTGCCATAGCAAGGAACAAGCGTGGTCCAAAGTCTCGCGCGGGGTTGAGGGCGTACGCTGTTAATCAAGTTCAACGCTGTTCATACATCGAGAAGAACAATATAGCATACCTGTTTCCATGCCGAGCGACGCCCCAAGGCCGACGAACAAAATAAAGAGCGCAAATGGCAAAAGCCCATTTGTCGGAGAGTGATTACGTTTGTCAGTGAGGGCGAAAACCATCATAGAAAGAACGGCGGTGGCCAAGAATTCCGAAAAGAAACATGATGCTTGCGTCATGTATGGCAGCTGGATTTATGGTGCTTGTCAGACAAAATCGCGACCCTTCGAATGGAAAACTTACAGCATACGTCGCGAAGAGGGAAGCGGTAGCTTGGGTGCGGATGTGATGCCCGCCTTCGAAGATGTCGATTGCATGGATATAATTCGCGTATACCAGCCCGGCACCGACGACCCCGCCCAACACTTGGGCAAGAATGTAGCCTAAAAAAATGTTGATGAGATCAACAAACCACGACGCGCGGCCTTGGACGTACTGGGCACTTTACGCCAAGGAAAGCCGCGGTAGGTCGCCATTGCGATGGTAATCTACAGTCGTCTACATGAGACGGGACCAATGCGCCATCAAAGGAAGGAAAAATCTTACTGCAGGGTTAATGTGTCCTCCGGAGATGCCGCCGCTGACCCAAACACCCATCGCAATACCTGCCAAAAAAAGGGGGGGTATGTATCAGATGTCGGAACGGATGGAAATCCGAGGTGGCCGTGACATACCGATGGCCCATCCGAAATTTATGGAGAGAAACGACTGCGAAACCTTTGTAAACCAAAATTTGAACAAGTCGGGTGGAGTACTTACACCTCGAGCAGATGACGCAACGTCCGGATTTGTCGAGAGTACAACCTGGCAGGCAGACCCTGCACCAAAAATGATCAAGAGCGCCACACCGAAAAATTCGGCCATGGGCTTGCGGATCGCATTCCTGTGGTGGGCGAACGTCAGCATGACAAGCAAGATCATTGAAAAAGGACAAAACTGCTCGCCTAATATTTTGCAGTTGGATAAGAAAAGAAGACTGTCGAGGGGCCTCTGGATGTTTTTGTGTCCCAGCGTAGGTCGATGTGGGGCTCAGCGGTTTCTCGGGGAGGAGTGTAGAAACCCTGGAGAGTGGGTTTCGAGACGATTGCTCGGTGATCTGATGTTGGCCAGACATGTTAGGAGCGGAGGGCAGCCACAATGGTAGAATAAACGAAGGAAAGATGAAGCTGCGGGGAACCTGCTGTGGTGCGAGGACGCGATCGTGCCTTCTTATATTGAACCATGCTTTCATCCGTATCGTAAGCCTGCAGGCGAGCTGTCCCGGAGGCAGGTAACCTGTTTGTTCGTGCCGATTTGGAATGAACAACAGTTAAAGCCAACCTAGGCCAACTTGTGTCAGAATTGTGTCAGAGAAGCAATATTCGTTTTCTTTAATAATGGAAGCCCTGCAGGTACCTGCACAACTTCGGAATTCGGCATCAAAGAATTGTGAGGATGGAGGGGATGAAAAGAAGAAGGGTTGAGCGCAAATTGAAGAACATGCCCTTGAGACATATGTCACCGTCTGGCATTATAAAATTGCGAATTCGTTTTTTTCACAACAAATCATGAAGTTTAACATGAAACTGACAGAAAAAATGGTACAAGGGGGGGCAGCACTTGATCTGGTCAGCGCTCTTCTGGGGTCGAGTCTATCCAGCGCTCACATAGTGGCAAACGACAGATAGACACTTTGCCTTCGCCATGTAGTACCAATTCGTCCACGGGAAACGGAGGGCTTGGAACCAGATTTGTCTCGACAGAAGCATATGCCCTCTCCACAAAATCATCACGAAGCAGATGAGTCCAGAAGAACACGTCAAGAATCTCATCGATAGAAAGGCCACCTCCCCGCCGCAGAGCCCTCTTCTAGTGAGACTCAATTCATCGGGACCTCGCCCGGTGAAGTTCTCGTTATCGATAACGATGTTGGATAACCGAGGTGTGGCAAAACAAGTCCCTTCAAGCGGTCTAAAGCCATGCAAACTTGTCAATTTGATACCAAAACTCGATACCGAATGTCGGGTCGCCCGCACCGAACGAATAGATAGAAGAACGCGTGGACAAAATCTGGAGAAGTTCGTACGTACACAGACGCCAGCCAACCACCAAGTCCTCACCAGTAAAAGATGGCGGCGGGGCCACCGTTTTTTTCTTCGCTTGCCGTTCAAGGTCCCTTGAATTCATTTCCATCAGATGACCCAGGCCTTGCAGAAATTAATTTCGGTGACAAGGAGGTACAGCTTGATGGCAGCGGGCAACGAGGTCGAAATGCGACGTTTTCGGTACATGAGATTTTCAGGTATTTTCATTAGACATTGAAAAAGGGATTGAGGAGGGGTTGAGGAGGGGAGTGAGCCTTGGAGCTCAGAAACCTTCAAAAACAACAAAAGCAAACAGCACCGAGTCGCGGATCCTTTTCTCCACAACGGCCACCCGCGTTCGCACATTGAACTAGGCATTCGCCGTTCTGAACCGTAATCCCCCACCAGCACTATAAGAATGGCGGCGACTACGCCCAGCCGTCAGGCCATCCTCAGCCTCTATCACAACATGCTGCGCACGTCCCAGTCATTCAGCTCCTACAATTTCCGCGAATACTTTATCCGAAGAACGAAGGACACTTTCAGGACGATCCAGGTGTGTGTGTTTACGTGCTCTTCCCTGGCTGTCATCTAACAATTGAATGTTATGTCAATTAGGCGGAATCAGACCCGAATAAAGTCGGAATGATGTATTCCGACGCTGTGAAGGAGTTTACTGTCCTACGACGCAGTGCGATTGTGAATCAGTTGTATGGAGGGTGGAAACTCGCTGTTGAGGTTGAGAAAAAGCCGCAAGAGTTCAAGACGAGGGGTGATAACTGATGGGTGGTTTTATCGAAATTTGGAGGACAGTCAGTCCCATAATATCAAGTGATGAAGCTCATGGCACCCTGGCTCGCACTTACCGCTCTGGTGGACAGGTGCTAGAAAACAGGATGCTCGTTTATACCACCTTCAGTTAGGCTTGATTGGCATTTATGGAAGCACCCGTAATTCCTGTGTATATTCGCCTGGTGTTCGCAAATGAAACTTTTTGCTTCAATGACTATCCTTCTTGTGGTTCTGGTCGATCCCGAAGTCGCAAGACTAATGACTATTTTACAAGAGTCTAACCTCCTTGAACTTCCTCCCTAAGAGGAACTCTTCGACCCAGAACCTGGACCCGACTCCCACCACCCCCACCACCATCCACCATTCTTACTTTTGTCCACCGGCGCAACAGGATGGGGATGCTGCCTCCCCGCAAGAGTAGCAGCCTTTCTCTCAACCGTCTCCTCTTCCCTCTCCTGCGCACCCGTTTCCGGGTGCACATGCCTTTTCACCGTCGGCCCCTTGACCGTCTTCCCAGCCAACGCCGCCTCCTCCTCGTAAGCCGCCTGTGCTCCTCTCAAGCGACTCTCAAACTCCTCCTTTTCTCTCTCCTTCTTCGTTTCCTCCGTAACTCCCGTAGCTTCTTCGACCTTTTTCCTCTGTGCTTGTAGGCTCATGGACCCAGCGACGAGGGCAGCGATGGTCACGCCCTGGATGACCACACGCGCGCGTAGCCAGTAGTTCATGTCTGTAGACTTTCCGGCTCGCATTTTGACAGCTGACATGATGAGTGCGCCGCACGTCGCTACGCAGCCTATGAATGAATAGATTTAGTTGTCTGCCAAAAAAACAAAAAAACAAGCGTGAATTGGTGAAACTTGAAAATGGGAGGGAGATTTGGGGAAGGAGGTGATGGAGCTGCGTCATCGTACCGATTGGTACCCATGGGTTTTCCTTGAACTTTCGAGAGAACTTTTCTGTCCACCCTTCGTATCCCTGGTCTATGGGTACGTGTATTGCACCTGAAGGTGATTGTGCGATTGTGTTGCTGGCCATGTTTCGGACTGAGGTTTAAGCCCTGGTGAATTGAACACCTAGGAAATAACCTTGTAGGCTGTGTTGAGAAGTGAAGAAAAGGAGATACAGTGTAGTCGGGATTGGTCGCAATGACACTGTTATGTAGTACTCCACGATAACTCTTCTCCGTCTCGTGCAGGATGAGGGTGGCGGAAAGAGATGTGACGAAAGGCTCTCCGATCCCTTCCTTTTTTGGATTCTCGCTATCGGAAATTGCAGCATCGACATAAGCCCACCCCTCACGCGTCACGTCCTGGTATTGTACAAGGGGATGATACAAGTGTGAAAATTTAGCCAGCGAAGTGAGAAACCACTTCAGCATCGGGCAATGTGAAGGTCCACTCCAGCCCTCCGAGCCCCCAACCGCTCCGAGATTCAGTCAACATCTTTCATCCAACTTCACCAAGTGGGAATTGACTGGCTCAACGGCGGGCACCCCTCCCAGCTGGCGATACGTCTACCAAAGCTCCTTTGTAAACTTCCACCTTCTAGCCTCCATGTAGCGTAGAGATCAACACAATCTCATCGCCATCTTTCAGCAAATATTCTCCCTCGCCTTCAAGCTCCCAATCCGTATCATTGATCAGTACCAGTATCCCAGGCCGCCTGGTAATCACCAATGGTTGTCAGACTCAGCGAGGAAAAACCAGGCTTAAATCTACGCACACAGTCCCGTTCTCCATGAACAGCTCCTCACGCTCCTTGAGCAAATGATCTCGCAGATGGTGGAGAAGGTACGTCACGTCCGCTGGTCTCGTAGCCGGTGAAGCAGCGTCCTTTGTTGTTACAGAGGTATTGTTGTCCGCGGGTACGGTCGAGGGTATTGTTATGCGATGTGAGCGTTGGTTGGAGAAAAGAAGTTCGAGGCCGCCTCCGAATTCGATCTTGAGAAACATCGTGTTGGAGTCTGTGGACATGATTGTGGTGATGTGGTTTCAAGGTGTGGCACACAATCGGACTAGGAGAACGATGGAGTAGGTTTGGAGGTTCGATGGTTGAGAAGGTGTTGAAGAGAGTCAAAAATAACACACCGGCTACCGGACCGCTGCTCCTGCAAAAGACTCCGAAAGAGACTGCCCTCACCAGTCGACGACAGCTCAGCGCTCAAACTTTCCCCCCTGTGCTTTCCCTACACGCAGAAAACCCACAATACTCACTTGTGGGCGTGACAGGTGTCGGAAGCGAAGTCCGAAAGACCTTTCAGAGCATAGTCACCCTTATAAGTAGGTCTACACTGACTTTGAGTCATCGAGCGCTCCTAATGTGCTTGACGATTCACCTCCTCTGAGCAAGATCCGAAAAGCACGAGGACTTTGGATTGTGCTCGATCGTCTCTTTCTTCTCAAGATCAGGTAGATCTCTTGCAGGTTCGTCTACTTCAGTTAACGCCAGCGCTCATCTCTCATCATTTACAACTTCTAGTACTGCAATTCGTAACTTCGCTGCTTGAAAAGCTTCTGAGATGGCTGATACCCCTCCAGCGCCACGAAAAAAGTCCAAGCTAAAGGCTGGACTTCGCAGCATCGGCAGGATCTTTCTGTGCGGTGTCGACATCTCACCAGACAGCATAGAGCAGGCATTAGAGAAGGCCTCGCCGACTAATACATCTATCGAAAAGGACACTGATACCACAACCCCTGCAGCGAGCTGCACCTCCGACGATCCTTCGTTGACAATGGTCCGCGCACCTCTGAAGAAACGCTCGGAAAGTCGAACATCGCTGAAGAAAAGGATGAACTCTGGCAAACCCATCGAGCAGCTTCCACCAGAAATCATGGCCGAGATATTCGCAATGGCAGTTCTCTCAGAAGCGGCCTCAACGAGCTCACGAATGACTCCGTTCAAGTTGGGAAAGGTGTGTTCCCGATGGCGCGGGATCGCCTGGTCTACCGCTCATATCTGGAGTTCGGTCTACCTACGACTATCAAGGAGACGGTACCAGGCTCAGGCTGCGTTGTTGAGGGCTTGGCTGGACCGTTCAGGTCGCTATTCACTCACTATTCACCTTACGCTTGAAGATGAAGGCGCCTGGACTCACGCTGCTCCTCAGAAAGTCGTCGCTATACTCGCATCGGAGTCCAAAAGATGGTATTCTGTCAACTTTGTACTCCCAGAAGCGTGCTATCCGCGTCTCGAGATCGCCAAGGGCAACCTCCCTGTCCTGACCTCATTCATACTCCAGCCTCTCTTGAGTGACTGCCGCCGATCCCAAGCTAATAGAAAACGATTGACTGCATTCGAAAATGCCCCGGAGCTACGCACCGCCCACCTGAATGGGTATTACCTCGATGACACCATTGTTCCGTGGGGTCAACTACTACAGCTCACCACACAGCATGTCTATCTCGACGAATGCTTCTACGCCCTTCTGCGTGTCCCCAAGATCACATACGTATGCTTCTCTACCATCCTACTCAACGACACCGGGCGCGTCGTTGTAAAATCCCCAATCAAGCTCCCACACATGGAATATCTCAAGATGCACGGAGCTTCAGGAGCCGATCAGGCGATCCTCCTCGCTGAGATGACCCTCCCCTGCCTCTCGGAACTCGACCTCTCCTCCCCCGACACCAGCCGCGTGCTGTCCTCCATACCTGCACTCCTCACCCGTTCTGGGTGTCTTTTAAAGAAATTCACACTTTCAAGCTGCCAGCTCATGGAAGATGAGCTTGTCGAGTGCCTTTCAGGCATGTCGTCTATTGAAGAACTGAAACTCGCGCCTCTCCTCACTGGGCCACCGCTATCAAGTCTTCTGATGAACACCCTCGCTGGATACACGAGGAACGCAGATCAGAACCCGGATTCGTACAAGGGCGCATTTCTGCCTCGGTTGCAGCACTTGGAATATGAAGGCTTGGCATCGTTTGATGGGGCGGCTGTTGAGATGATGTTGGGGTATCGTAGACGGCGTTCGGGTGAAGGGCCCCCTGCTATCGCGAACCTCAAGTCTTTGAGGATAATAACTGATAGCGATATCAATGCGAATAGGGAGGTGAAGAAGAATCTGCAGAAGATGGCGGATGAGGGTTTGGTTTTGGTTATCAAGTCTTTGGGCGGGACATCGTGGTTGTGAGCAACCTGTGGTAAGCAGTTCTCCCGAGCTTCAGGTGCTTTACTTATCTTCGTACTCCTTCCTCAGTAGGCCTAGTACCGGCGTCTAAATTCAAACCCATCAGGAGACGTCTTCTATGCCACCCAAATGCCACCTGCCACCCGACTTTCAAGAAGATAAGAGTTACGTAAACACCTGCAGAGTATCTCTTCAACTTCAACCACCACCACTACCGGGGTCGGCTCTCGCATAGATGCCGCTACCCACCGTTGAAAGCCTCCTCCCTCGGATTGCGACGATAAAGAGCACGTTGTTCCTCTCCGTATTGGTCTGCGACGTCACTCTCTTCAACCGTGCCATTCACCCATACACATTATTCACCATCCATCACTTGGCATGCCTCACCCTGCTCCACCACGGTCTTCTTATCTGCCTGTCCATGAAATGGCCCAAGGCAGTCGTCAGTCGCACGGGCACATACAGCGTCTGGGCCATATTCCTCTCTTGGGTCGCTGTGGCGTGTCTCTTTATCGCTGCCGTCGGTCGGGGTGTGTGTATGCTTGATCTGGACGATGAGCGTGTTAGGTTGTTCGGGATGGTATTGAGGCCGACGGAGGTGCCTGTGCAGCTGCTGATTGGCCTGTTTTCGTTGATTGCCCAGCTTTATCTGTTGGCGGCGATATGCAGGGAGTGCTATGACGTTCGGGAGCTTTTGCAGGGAAGTGGGGAAGTTGTGCCTGATGATGATGAGGAGGTGTTGTTGCCTTGTAAGACTACTTCGGAAAAGATGGGTTAGTCGTGGGTGCTTTTTGACTTTTGGGTGTGTTTTGCTGACTTGAACTTCGTTGGGCAGAGCTTTGAGTTACCACGATGAATATCGTTATTCTTTCGTAATACCGGATTTCGGACCGCAACTTGACATCCATCATTCTTTAACGTCAGCTTTGTGGTCTTATGTACTCGCACCTGGCTTCATTCTTGGGGCGTAATATTCAGATCCTTGCTCAAGTTTATCAGCATTGGCGCGGCAGTTCCGCGTCAAAAAGAGAATGGTCTGACCCGTCGGCATTACGACTCTTCAAGTTACGCCTAAGCTTTGCGGAGGAACGATCCACATGACTTTGGCGATACGAAAACCCACCTCCTTTGTCGAGGTCTTGATAATATTGTTACAATCAGACATCCATCTACGTCTACAGAAGGCTAAGGTTGGCCCAACGGTCATTCTCGATGGATCACATGTCCGAAAATCAATAATGGTCTGCGTGACGTTCAACCAAAATTCAGCCGTTTGATGTCGTTCCATTCACTGTCAGTTATGCCGCCAATACCGCCGACAGTGACTGAGTGATGAGCGCGACTTTTCTTGTCAACATGCTTGCCAATTGCGATTGGTATGCAGCCCAGATACTCACTGCCACCTTCAACGACATCGAGATGTTGCTCGCCTAGATCCTCGAAATCCTGCCACCAAAGGACAGGTCACAAACTTTGCCTTTCGATCATTTTCTGCAAATTGGTGCCCAGCGATGTATCGGTCAACCATCACTCTCATTATCAGCTTCAAGAAACCCGGGTCCACGATATGTTTCAACCACCCGCGCTCCTCCGCATGGCAGTGATACAGGGACGATCATCGGCTCGTAAAACTCACATCACCAACCGCGATCTCAGAGCGACCTTATGGCTCTTTGTGCGCTTGCTTGCTCCAATTTTGGACGACCTAGAAGGATATTTGGCGTTTTCTCCCAGGAAGGTAAAAAAGTTCAGCCCGATGTTGACCGTTGTCGGTGGGCCAGCCTCAGCATTCGAAATTCTGATCCGTGCACGGGGGGAACTGACCGACATTCGTGCCGATGCCCATCAACAGGCATCAGAGATCTCTTGCGTCAGTTTGTCAGGCTTTCCTGACTTATCGCAGCGGCAGGTCGGCCTCATTCTGGATACATAAATGAAGATGAACTATCTTTGGTTCTTTACCCTACCTCTTTCATAAGATGGTATCGCCATCCCTGACATTCTCTGCCTTCCTCATCTTGGCCTGCGCTGTAGAAACATCCGCAAGTCCAAGTGGCAACGTTGTCAACGTCGTAGATTTGGGATATGCGAAGTATCAAGGATCGCTAAATTCCACTACGGAGAACACTGCGTTTCTTGGGATGCGATATGCTGCGCCTCCTACAGGTAAGCTGTTTGAAACCTTCGTTATGGCTGAATTCAACGATCAAGTTCCTACTAGGGGCATTACGTTGGAGAGAACCGCAGGCACCTGCCACAACTAGCGGGGTACAGCTAGCCAACTCACAACCAAATCAGTGCTACCAGAGTACCTTTGGGGTGGCCCCTGCATCTCCATTCAGGAGTTCCACGGTTTCGCGTAGAGACACGCCCATCTCTGAGGATTGTCTTTTTCTAAAGTATGTTCCTCCTCTTTCCGTGCCCTTTTTTACATCTTTTTGAATTTTCTATCAAGTGTTTGGGTTCCCGGGACTCTCCAACCAAACCGAAAACTACCAGTCGTTTTTTGGATTCATGGGTAGTCTTGAGCTTTTGAGCTTTTTGCCGAGTTAACTCCTCATGTAGTGGTGGTTACACTTTAGGAAGTGCCTCCGGCTCGTTCTCCGGCGTGTTCGACGGAAATGATCTCATCAAGGAAGCTGGAGGAAATGTTGTCGCTGTTGTCATACAATATCGACTAGGTGTGCTTGGGTTTTTATCGAGTTCACAAATCAAGGCAAATGGAGCGTTGAATGCCGGTCTTTGTGCGCCGTTCTCTCTTTCTTTCAGAGTCACGTTAATGACTTTTCCCAGTGGATCAACAATTTGCCCTGAATTGGGTGCAACAGCATGTGGGTTCTCACAGCTTTGATTCTTTTTTTGGAAGTGCTGAATTCCAGCCCTTGTAGATCAGCAAATTTGGAGGGGACCCAACGAAGGTTACCGTTTGGGGAGAATCCGCAGGAGCTGGTTCCGTCATCCAACACATCGTTGCGAACGATGGAAATACCTCCCCTCCACTTTTCAGAGCTGCAATGACGAGCTCTACTTTCCTACCTTCGCAATATAATTATAATGATAGAATTCCACAAGTAAGTTTCGAATGAATTCCTTCTCGCGTAATTTGATATATACCCCTTTCAGTCGTATTATAACAGCGTTGTCACCCAAACGAAGTGCTTGACATCCTTTTGTAAACTCTTTCGAGGGTACTGACGGGAACTTGATATAGTTGTGGTTCTGTAGCCGACACCCTTAGCTGTCTCCGCAACGTCGACGCGGCAGTTCTCCAAGCTGCAAATATGAACATCGCTGCGAGCGTTTTCTTCGGCACATGGGCCCCACAGCCTGTCGTTGACGGAACGTTCATAACTGATCGGCCTAGTGTCCTCCTGAGAAATGGAAAAACCAACGGAGTGGTGGGTCCTTCCATTAGGCTCTCATTTGTACACGATGGTTATTGACGAGAATAATCGTGAACAGAAAATGGTACTTTCGGTAGTAAACAGTCATGAAGGCGACGCCTTCGTGAATCAGACTACGGCTGCTACCGTACAGATCCCCAATTACGTCGCAAACCTCTTCCCAAATCTCGGAGCAAAAGACATTACAGCGGCCGCTCAGCTCTATCAAGGTCTTGGAAGCAACATAGAACAGGCAAATCTGATTGCGGGAGAGTGTAAGTTTGTGTCCCAGCTCATCAAAGGGCTTAAGCCAAGCATTTTCTCTCTTTGTAGCCATTCTCGTTTGTCCCACATATTACCTCCTCAAAGCTTTCAGCGGATGTGCGTTCAAGGTGCCTTACCTTCATTTTGAAGAGAACCTACTTACCACTGACAGAACTTTTTAAACATAGGGCGAATTCGCCGTCCCCCCCGCACTCCACGGGGCTGACGTTTCCTACTACTTCCCAGGCTCTTCGTACGTCAACGATCTTCCCAAAATCTCCCATCCACCAACCCAGATTTTCATTCAGGCTCGTCCCTACATCCGTCAACGCTGACCTCCAAACCGCATTCTCAGGTGGATTCCTTGACTTTGTTCAGAACCTTGACCCAAATGTTAAATCGAGCGGCCCGAACATCACGCCTCGCTGGAATACGTGGAGCTCGCAGCAGCACAATGAGATGCTGTTCAACGTGACGGTGGCAGGTGCGGCGCACATTCATGCTTTCCACACGAATGCGGGGCTACTTCAACGTTGCGCGTATGTGTTGCTTTTTTTACTTGTGGAAGTTGCTGCAATACTGATGAAACGACCTAGGTTTTGGGAGAGCATTGGCGCGTCGACGGCTATTTGAATGTTTTATACGTGTCTGAACCTCTGATGGATTCGTATTTATCTGTGTATCTATGTAATCACTTGTGTATTACCTTGTCGACTTTTTTTGCTTTCCCTCCTCAGTCGTTCTTGGAACGATACAGGGCACGGGGAATCAGTGGACTCCAAAAGAAGAAACCCAATCATTTGTATTTATTTGATTTGGTCACGCACTATACATGTGATCGCATTTTCGGTTCTGAGTCAAGTCCTGTTCGTTTCTTCATCTCAATGCTTCAAGCCATATGGAAGGAACTCAACGCAGCGTTGAGAGAACCGCCAGCTATGATGGGCTAGACTTCACTGTTCATAACTTCATTTCCCCTTCATTGACCGCTCCTCGAAAGGATTTGCTAGTTCTTGGTCAAAAGATTATCCAGTCTGCAAAGACTTCATCACCAGATTGGCTGAACCCCAAGTCTATTCCAATCCCCAAGCTCTCTACAAGTACGTGGCCTACTGACTTTGCAGAATGAAGTTCATGAGTCGTTGAGCAGGGTTGTTTTCGTATGCTATTACACCACCTGTGACCCTTCCCCGAGAGGGAACATCCAGTACACAGGAGGATCTGAAAGAATGGGGTTCTCCGGTAGAAGAATCAGAAGTCTATCGCATTGAAGACTTGGAAGAGTTTGTGAGCAGCGACTTCAGTTCGCTGTTCAGAGTCAAGGAGGCAAATCCTGATCACAGTCAACTGCTGCACCGAGCACGGGTAAAGCGAGACTCCGAGGCTGCTCTTCTGGATGAAGGTGTTAGAAGTTTGAAACGGCTACGATCGGACAAGGTGGAAACTGAAATACCTCGGTTGACGCCTTCTGATGGGAAGGTCGCGTCAGTGGTCACTGAACGTCAGGTTGTGGTAGAAGACAAGGATTTGGATTTGGAGCCTCTACATCACGTCATACCCCAGGTTCTATCTCATATCCCAATTTGCATAGAACACAAGACTGACATTGTATTTTATCCAGCCCCATGTCCACCCCACTCTCCTGCCCAAGAAACCTCCAAAGGAATCTGTCAAGGGATACGCCAAAACCATCCCCATCCCCATCTCCCCTCATGTACAGATATCTCCATCGTCTCGCTACGATCGCAGCGCCTGGCTTATCCCTGTCCGAGGACAGCTTCCCTGGGAGGGCTGCACATCCGCTGCCGTTCTTGCTCCTTTGCGGCGGGTTCCAATCGAACCTGGCCCCATCACAACTGACAATCGAATCATATGGTCTCACGACGCATTGCAGAGGTTTTGGAAGTTCATCCTTTCGTTACGGAACAATGGCTCAATTGGAGCCATTGGGATATCGTTCCACGCCGCCCCGCCCTCTACGGAGCCTACAGGATTCTCATATTCGTACTCCACACCATCTGGCGTAGGGGCACAGATCGTGCAGCGAGACACTTTTCCAAGTACCGCTTCATCTGGGAGTGGACACTCCACTCCTAGTGCTGATATTTCCTTCGACGTGCCCTTATCAGTTGATTATATGAAGATACATCATGAGGGACCACGAAGGATGATCGTTAGGACCGCCCTGGATGTCTGGGGGTACAATGTTGATGCGAAAGACGGATCTCAGAAGGTTCGCCCTCTCAAGGGTGCGAAACTAGTCTTGTTGGACCACAGGTCGAGGGGAGTGTTGATCTCCTAACGTCCTGCCTTTTCCCTCGTCGTCAGCGCCTAATTGTTTGCCTTGTGAGGAAACAAACCATCGCTGACGAAGAAACTTCTTGGGATCGCTGCACTTCTACTCAGCACGCCTTGGATTCAATATCAAGGAGAGGGAACAACGTCTCTTTGGCAGCACTGGAATTGTCATAGCACAGTACTTGCGTGCACCCGGAGCTGGCGAATCATGGGATCTTGCGCAGTCTCAACGATATATATTACCCTTACAACATCCGTCCTATGGTGCTCTTTACATTACCCCATTCCTTGTTGTGGGCATTGATGCAGCTTACTTCCTTGGCCATGGTGTGGTTCAGACCCTCTCGTGTTTCACGAGTCCAAACCAGGTGCATCGTTATACGTCGACCCGGAGGATTCTTTCCGGCGAGTAGTGCGATATTTGCTGCTTGAGTCCCAGGAAACTCGAGCATGCTTGGGTTGTTTTGATTTCGACCCTCAAGATTGTCTTTTTCTCTCGAAATACTTATGGAGGAGGGGTTGAAGGAAACGATAAGGTTGACTCCAGAGAGCTGTATTTAGCTTGCTTCGGCAAGTTTCACAGATCACATTTCTGATCCTTCGGTGCCGCCACGGGTTAGCACGCTCAGACTCCTTATCGAGGTTTCTGATTACTTGATAGACACATCCAATCGATCCGCGTAATCGCCGCCACTTTGCATTTTGACAGTTTTGCATTTAACATGAGCTCCCTTTCATCGGAAGGAAAAGCCCTATTGGACGACAAGATTGTTCGTTCTTTTTTCACGCCGCAGTGGAAACATCCCAATTTCATTTGTATGATAGGCCCGAGCATGCCATGAAAGCAAAATTCCAAGCGTAGTCTTCGGGGTTTCAAGTATGACTGAAGAACTATACTTCGGGGCAGCTGGCCTGCGGGACTTGGGCAAACCTTCAAGCGGTAACGTGGATGAATCAAGCGTATTATGGGTTTGCAGCATGACCAAATTGGTTACTACCGTGCGCTTACTTTCTACATGTCGATTCTTCATTTCATGGAAACTTACCAGATCGCAATCCTTCAACTTGTTGAACAAAAAAGAATATCTCTCGACGCTGTCGTTTCAGAAATCATTCCCGAGTTGAAGGATCCCGTGGTCCTGAACGATCCTTTTGCAGAAGAACCAACGTTCAAACCTGCAAAAACTAAGATCACGCTTGCGCACCTTCTAAATCATTCCAGTGGCTTATTCGTCAGGGAGAAGCATGACCCTCCCTACGCTCTGCCAACATTGTTGACCGGCGACTACGGGCCAACGGATCCGGTTGGCTTGTTCTATGCCCGCAATAGGGTATGAGTTCATAATTTCTGCTTGTCAATTCGCTTGAAAGAAATACCTTACACGCAGGAGAAATTTCCCGCAATTCCTTTGAAGTTCGAGCCTGGATCGGATTGTATGTTTCTTCAGTATTGGGGGGTAGTTTGTTGAACTAATTGAGTAACTAGTTTCGTATGGGCAAAGTACTTGTACAATCGGTTTCATCATCGAAAAAATTTCGGGGCAGTCCCTTGAGGAATACTGGTGCGTGCTGCCCCGCCATGTAATTATTTAATGTTGATTTTTCCAATAGCCAAATGCACATATTCAAACCGCTGGGTATCAGAGCTACCTTCTATCTGACCCCGGACTATAAGGCAAGATCGGTTGCCTTTTCTTTTCGAGAACCTAGCGGAGAGTTTGTTTCCTGGGCAAGTCAAGTACCAGTCATTGAACAGGATCCCAAGAAAGGTGCCAGCGTTGATTGTTTGCTGGTCTGTAGAGAGTAACTCATCAGCTTCTTGAAAGTTCACCTGATTCTTGGTGGTCTGGGGATGTACACGTCTCTTCAGGACTATCTCTCTCTTTGCCGTCACTTACTTCAAATACGAGGTGCTTATCTTCGGAATGTTTCAAACTCGTCGGCTCATTCTCTTTAGCTGGTTTCGCTGAAAACCCCATTCTATCTGTGGATTCTGTCCTGTCACTCTTCAAATCGACATTGAATGAGACTGCCGCACGTTCTGTTGAAAAGTTCACACCAGGTTGGAAGGACTGTCAATGGAGCACTGGTCTATGCCTAAACAATACTGATTGGCCTGGCCGGCGTCGAAAAGGCTCTGCTTTTTGTGGGCATTGATATTTTCAGAGTCGTTATTCACGCTGACTGGAGCTAGGGTACGGATGGGGGGGAACGTATTTTTTTATTGACCCAACAACGGGCATCTCAGCCATGTTGGGAACACAGATAGTTCCCACTTGCGACGCCGACGTTTTGCGTCTCTGGGAGCAACTCGAAGAGATAGTTTACAGCCATCTTGTCGTTGATAATTAGATTTTTCGGGTAGGAGTACTACATTGGCGGCTTCGTATGTAGGTTTACAAAGAGGTCGGCATCACCCAGTCCCGCTGCCCAGCTCCTCGACGCCTTCAATATGTAAGAACCCTTGCGGGCCTCGACTCCTACAGACTCCGAGGCCAAACTGGCCTTGAGTGCTTCAACGTAAATACACCGATGACTGCGCTTGCCTCGAGTCATGTTGACTTCAACTCTGACAACCCAATCTGGTTACATAGCGACAAAGCCAAGGCGCACTGAAGAAAGCTTCAGGATCTCGCCTTGCTCCCTGACCCCTAAAAGCAATCGTTTGATGGGAATGTAAACGCGCGAACTGATTGCAAAGTGTTTAGATAAAAAAGTACTTCTTGGTCGTCTTCTGCAAGCCAGTTGTCCAATTCTTGCCAATGTCCGTATGTTGACGGTTGGTTGACGGGCCACTGCTGACTCTAGTGAGCTATTCTAAACTCAGGATTTAACCGGTCCACTATTCAAGATATCCGACATTCCATCGAACGGACCGAGGAGTTTGCGTAGGCTACGCTTCTCCAATAAGTGTAAGTGTGTAACAGATGGTAGTGGTAGGGGACGAGATTACTGCCAAGTACATAGTTACATACCGCAGAAAAGTCGTCAAATTTACAAGGATGACGCAGGGCGGACTGAGCCACGTTCCTGTCCGTGAGAAGACCGCTCGCTAGTAGTGATTGGAACTCCGCTTATATACGTGTTGTTGACCCGAATTCGTTTTTCCTTCCTTACCACTTCATCCCCTTCCGTGTTTTGGTTTTTTGCGCTGTCCTTCCCCTCTCTTAATCACATTCCTTTATAACCCCACGAACTATCCTACAAAATGTTCACCAAATCCTTCATCGTCCTCGCACTCGCCGCCCAGGCTTTTGCCACAGTTTTCGTATGTTCCTAAATTTTAATCACATCACACCACCTAACAACGCTCGGTAGATCACCAGCCCCGTCGCTTCAACGACTTTCAGCGGTGGAAAGCAGGCCACTATCTCCTGGCAAGACGATGGCGCTTCCCCATCGTTGAAGGACTTCGGCCCTGCCAAGGTCTCCATCTACGTCGGCAACGCTCAACAACAAGTATGCATCAGAACCATCCATTTCTCACCCAAGCTGACCGTTTCTGTAGACCAGTCTCCAACTCATCACCGCCAGCGTTGATGTGTCCACCACCGCAAGCATCCAGTTCACCCCTGACCCAACTATCGGACCGAACAGCAACCAATAGTACGTGTAACGTGTGCACGACTTGAAAATGAGATTCACGCTGGCTTCTAGCTTCGTCCGTATTGAATCTTTGAGCCTTAAAGACGCTACCCAACCCCAGTACCCCGCTCTCGCTTTCTCGGCCAAATTCGCGTTGGTGTTTGCTTGGCGTAACATTCACTTGATTCTAATTAATTATCTTTTCCCCCTAGCATGGACAACATGTCTGGCACTTTCAGCGACGCCGCTCAGGCCCAAATCGCTGGCCAGTCAACCGCTCCTCTTGCGTCGCAAAGCACCACCGTTTCTGTTGCCTCTAACACCGCCACCACCAAGCCTACATCAGCAGCCGCATCCACCACCGGTGGCTCATCAAAGGCTGCCAGCGCAACAAGCTCCCATGCGTCTGCTTCCGCCACCAAATCCTCTGGCGCCCTTAGCGTCAAGGCTGGCTGGACTGGTGCCGTTCTTGGTGCCATCGTTGGTGTTGCCATGTTCTAAGCGATTTCGTCGATATCGTGTTCGTCTGGTAATATCATTGTCCCATTTGCATCCGCTAGTTTTCTTTTTCACTTTTCCCTCTGCGTATTGGCTTTCCTTGGTTACCCCCCCCGGCCAGAAGGTCTCGTCCTGTTACCATCCGACCTAGTTAGACCCCATCATTTATATCCATCACGCTATGATATACTCACGATGCTTGTCAACGACATGGCAGCCTGCGGCCTAACTGCCATGGGAACGACTATCTTACATTCGTTAGTCAGACGATTCAATATGGCTCTGAATAATTATTGGCTTCTTGATCTGGAGAAAGTACGATGATGGGAAAAAGTTCTAAGACTTACAGCTAACTGCATAATCGTAGACCACATCTGAAATTTCACTTTGCGCCTTTGTCTGTGCGTAAACATCCGTTTTAGGCCGTGGCTATGTAAACCATGACGCCGATTCGCGCGCGCTGCCCATTGCTCCAAGTTCTAGCACCGTTTCGGTAGTTGCTCCAAACGCTCCAATCCCGTCCCGCACGTCATAAGGGTGGAGCGGTTGGAACTTGCCAACTTGGAAGGGCGTTCTACCTAATACGGTTGTTTGTACAAATAAAGGCGCACAAAGTAAAATTTAGATATGGTTCTACGGTTATGCAGTTAGCTGTAAATATCATCCTTTTGCAAGATTTCTCTTACGCTGTCTGGCAGGCCGTTTATGTTGCCTCTCACATTCAAGACTACGCTCTGTATATGGGGCCACCATTTCTAACCTCGATGAACGCCTGGTATCAAGCAATCTCTTTTGCCTCTTTTTCTTGAGGACAAGCGGCTCGCCACTGGCAATCCTGCATCTTCCTATTGGAATTGATTGGAATTCCAAGATTACTTTCAGCAAGGGATATTTATTTCGTGGCGAATGCCCAGTATCATGAGGCCTGGGAGCTTGAACGATATTGCTATGGCAGAGTTGACTATTCATTCTGGCTTTTCTTCCCCAGCCTCATTTATCGCAACTATCTTTGTTCCGGTGCTCTCTCTCACAGGTACCTTCGCCCTTCTGGTGCTTCAATCGGAGGAGTGCATGCCTCCGAACATCAAACATCTCCATGTACACCGGAGGAACCAGTGCCAGTTCCCAGGCACCCTAGGGAAATGTTCAATCATCTAGAATCATCTCTAAGAAGCATTGGGCCGTATTTCCCATCTCCGTAGCCTCAGAATGGCTTTGGTCGCTGGTGAGATGTTCGTGAATCTAGCCTTCTAATGACGACTACCCCTTTCCTCGCATTTTCGGCTCATCCCGCTACCCCCTTTCTTATTTTAACACTGGTTGACGTTGATCATTACCCTCGAAAGACTGTTGCAGATGGATCCTGCCAACGCCGTCTTGGACCCAGCGACTACTATTGCGCAGGAAGAACTACCTCTACTGGCCTTTCAAAACCTTACTCTTGCCCCACGCCCAATTCGTCCGGGTTACGAGATGGTCGGTCCGGCAGTTAAGGAGCCTACGTCGGTGCAGGTGTCTCGGCTCGCGTCACTCTCCGCTAGGCTTTCATCGTTAGAGCAAGCGACGCTAGAGCATAACTCAAGACTTGACAAACTCCGAACCGACGTGAACGACATAAAGCAGGCTCTGGTACCTCCGGCGGACTCCGTTGTGTTGGCATGCCTAGTGGACCGCTTCTTGCATAAGCGGGGTTTCTCACCACTTGAACCTGATCAGAGAAAGGCATGGGTCCAGTCCAAGATCAACGAGCTTTCGCAGGCCTGCGGGATTTCTCTGGCTAATATCGTGGAATTTATGTGAGAATACTGCTTTCTCACTTCTTCGTTTTTGTCCACCACTCTTATATTACTGTTCATCCAGGATTGTCCACGCGTCAAGGGTTGAGCGAGGAATGCTCTACTCCTTCCCGTCCAATACCGTTGCACGCGCCATCACTAGCGTTAGTGACGACTACGAGCGGTCCATCTTCAAAGCTTTGTTTTCATTGGAACTGAACCATACTATTGATGATGAATTAGAAGATGGGTACCCATTTGTAACTGATGTAGTGGGCTGCATAAGGACGAGCCGGCGGGAGATACTTGAAACTCTGCGGCTCTGCAGTCGAAGATTGCTTCTGCTTCCGAATAAGTTTTTAGGCTACAAATAGATACGACATGCGATTATTTAGAATGGTAACCACTCTCTCTTCAGCGATATCACGTCCAGTGTACTTACAAAACATGGTTTACTCTAACTCGAGAAGTTATGCAGGCTTCCAGTTAATATTATAATCTCTTTGGAACTTTGTCGTCGGGGAATGCCTCCCTGGTGAGATCCATAAGACGACGACGACGACGCTCCTTCACCAATAAATCGGCACGGGGGGGACCGGAGTCATTGTTGACCCCCTCATCTGGCTGGAGAGTTACTTAAATTGTTCATTCCAAACCACCAATTGCGGAGTCGCCTTTCAAACCGCCGGGAGAATATCGTTTGTGATAGCGACGGTATCTAGTCGACGCGGCCGGCCTTTCGCGGAGTTCACGACGAGACTGAAGACAAGTAGAGTGAGTACTAGTGTCTGCTAGCTTTCCGAAGACAAGGAGACGTGCAAGACCTTACATGCGTGTAACAGAGCGTTCGTAGATCTATGCCATGGGAGACTATTGAGATTCGGATGCTCGCGAGGAAGTTACGTGACTTACCAATACCGCACGGCTAACCTCTGGGTATGGACCAGCCACGGGATCCTACGGTCGACCACAATCAGTATTAGTGCAGGAAAACCTCATCAAACGTACCTTTGCCGGAGTCTTCCATTCCCTCTAATCCAAACATTCATTAATCCTCCTATAGCACAGTGAAGGATGCTCTATGCGAGTCGTTGATAACATTCACCCCGCTCTTCCTTGATGCATGTTATCTGGGAATGGAAAGAACGCATCGCTAGAACATGCATGCAACCCCATCCAACTTACTCGCCCCTTCCCTCTTTTCCTCCTCTTCCAACGCTGGCACCTCGCCCTCGGATAAAAACTCCCACTATACCTTCTCCTCACCCTCTAGCACTTCTCCACTTCAGAACAGGTCAATGACGTTGGCTTTTCCTGCGGGTTTTGCTCCTTTTCTGAAGGAGAGAGCAAGGACTCGTGGGTGATGGCAGAGTCACCAGAGATCGGCTTTCCCGCCCGGTACAGTGGATGCACGATTGTTGGCCTGCACCGATGCCGATGATGGACCCATGGAAGGCGTATGCGACGCTGTTGGATTGGGTGTATTTCAAAGCGAGTGTGGCGACGACGAGGTTTGTGACTGCGCTTGACGGGAGCTAGGGTTGACCTGATTAGTGAGTGGCGATGAACGCCAAAAAAATATGGACCTCCTTGTTTTTGTTGACGATGTTTGAGAAGACAGAAGGCTGGATCTTGCAGTCGTTCCTCTTTTGCTGGAGGTGGATACCGTACACCTGCTTCGTCTCGATTCTGGGAGGGACATAGTTTGGATCGATCTGAATCCACTCATTTGCACTTCATCTGTCTCACAAATAAGATGGGAGTACTCACCTGTAGAACACAGTATTTCCCTGCCTTCTTCTTCGACGACACATCGAGCGCGTCATCTGCGTACCCAGGCGCAATAATCCCATCAGACACTTCGCGCGCGAGATGATGCGTGCAGTAGCGAGGTCGCGTGGAGCCGAAAGGGCGATAAAGTCGCCAAAAGAGGACATACGGTCCGCACCTGACAGGTTAGGTTCAAGTGAGCTCTACAAAATGATGACAAAAACGTACCTCGAGCTCTAGCATATGCACAAGCGAGCGGAGTCAAAGGTTTCTTGACTCTGTAGACCCTTTTCTCTGTCTCTGTGAGCTCGACACCGACAGCTGCACCCGCGGGTGAAACATGCTTGAAGGACGCGGTGGCCAGGAGATTGAGGGCCTTTTGGAATTCTTTGACGAGGGTGTAGGAGTTGAGCGCGTCGAGGAGGTTGATGCATCCAGGCGATCCTATCGGATCAGTCAATTTTCGCCACAATTCGACGAATAAGAAAAAACCCACCTCTGAACGAAAGCTCTCCCTCGGAGACATACGCCTGCGCGGGCTTTTGATGCGGGTTCGCACCATACCTAAGCGCGATCCTCTGGACTGGCCCTGCCAACTTCTCAGCTGGCAACTCGGCGCTAGCGTATTGTTCCCTGAAATACCGGCTGATGGCCTCATCGTACCTTGCGGTCATCCGGAAAGCTTTCAGCGCAAGAGACGCTCTCAGTCCCTGCCCTACGTCTCCTTTCCCATCCTTCCACGCACCGAGGAAGGTTTTGTAATCCTTCGGATCGGAGAGGACTGAGACGCGCTCGTGGTTCTTTGCTGTGGCGCGAAGGAGTGTCACTCCGCCAATGTCAACTTCTTCGACTGCGTCTGCTACGGTACAGTTTGGCCTGGCGATTGTTTCGGTGAATGGATAGAGGTTGCAGACGACGATGGAGATTGGGGAGATATTTTGTGCTTTGAGGTCTTCAGAGTCCGAAGGAATGTTGCGTGCAAGGATTCCTGTTGTTGATACGAACCACCGTGTACTGCAGGGTGAAGCGTTTTGACTCGTCCGCCTAGCAGATACGTCCCTTTTTCCATCATCGTAACTAAAAGAATCGACGATTGAAAAAAAAAAGAGCCTACTCAATGAGAATCCCTGCATCTCTTATTTTCTTCGCCGTTCCTCCAGATCCTAGAGCAAGGAATTGTGAGAGATCAAGAGACGGTGTGACTGACCTGTGACGAGGCTGAGAGTAGGACATACCCCTCGTGCACTACTTCTCTCGGGAAAGAGACGGTCCTGTCACCCGGCAAGCGCCGACGCGCGCCAAGTCAGGGTGCTGAACTGTCCCTCGGTGATCGGACTGTCTCCTCAGGGTCCATCCCCTTTTGGGAGGGTGTCACGTGCTTTCGCGCCCTTCCTCTTGCGCGTCGCTGACCAACTCCTCATTTCAGGTCGACCGCCTGCGACCCCGCGCCTAACGCTAGCCTCGGGGACGACAAAGCGTCACCAAAAGATGCTGTTCAGCAAACTCAGGAGGAGCGAGAGCGTATTCTTCAATGGGTGAGTGCATTTTACAGCCTTGTCCTTCAAGTTAATGTGTGTAGGCAAGAGACATCGTCAAAAAATATCCCTACCAGCCACGGAAAGTGCGACAGGAAGCTGCTCGTGCAAAGGTATGTTGTTTAGTGTTTAGTCTTCCAATGAATTTCTTCACAACTTACAAGAAGATATCACAGCATCAATTGAATTTCTGTGAACAGTGCGGAAGATCCACCTTGCAAGATAGTACTTGATAGCTAGTTCTACGTAGCGTAAATGATGGGGTTCACTAACAAAAGCATGGATCAATTCGATATAATTTACTCCTTTGAAATTGGCCTGAGCCTAATAATATAGAGAATCTACATAAAACCCCCCCTCAGATCTGTTGTGCCCACAAGACCGAGCCGCAAATGTGAACAGCTGGCTGCCACATCTCATAAATGGGGGAGGTAATTGCTGGATTAATCAGCATCAAGTAGAACCCAAGAACGTAGAAATCGAGTCAGAACTTACATGCAAACCCCAAATTCTGCCCAAAGACTTTATCCCCCCCCCACAAAATAGACACAGAACACGAATGGCTACGTGCCACATTTCGTAAAATCATGGGGCGGATGCTGGAGAGACTGACATAAATTAGCACCCAGCAGCCTAAATGCCGAGTAGGAATTCACTTGTCAATCACAATTTATGGCATTGGACCTTGTCCCGACAAAATCGAACGCTGAATTGGTACGGTTGCAAACCATGTTTCGTAAACTCAGAGAATAAATTCTGGAGCAATTCCAGTCAAGTAGAACCTAAGAACATAAAGTCCGAGTATGAACTTACTTGTCAACGCAGATTTTTGGTGTTGGACCCTATTTTCTCACAGAACTGAATGCCGAATTTGAACGGTTAGGGCCCACATTTCGTAAACTCGGGAGGTCGCTCCTGAACCAATTTCGGTCAAGTAGAGCACAAGAATGTAGAATGCGAGCAAGAACTTACTTGTTAACATCAATTTTCGGTGATGGACCTTATTTCCTCACAGAACCAAACACCAAATCTGAAGGGTTGGGCGCCATGTTTCGTAAACTCGGGAGGTCGCTTCTGAGGTAATTTCGGTCAAGTAGAGCCTAAGAACGTAAAAATTGAGCAGGAACTCACATGTCAACCATGATATCTGGTAAGGGACCTTAATCACTCACAAAACCGAACGCCGAATTTGAACGGTTGGGCGCCATGTTTCGTAAACTCGGGAGGTCACTCCTGAGGTAACTTCGGTCAAGTAGAGCCTAAGAACGTAGAAATTGAGCAGGGACTTACATGTCAACCCTAATATCTGGTAGGGGACATTATTCTCCGAATGTGAACGGTTGCGCGCCAAGCTTCGTAAACTCGTGTGGTCGTTCCTGAAGTAATTCTCGTCAAATAGAGCCTAAGAACGTAAAAAATGAGCGCGAACTTACATGTCAACCTTAATTTCTGTTTATGGGCCTTATTCCCCCCACAAAACCGAAAACTGAATTCGAACGCTTGGGCGTCATGTATCGTAAACTCGGGTGGTCGTTCCTGGAGTAATTCTCGTCAGATAGAGCCTAAAAACGTAAGAATCGAGTGAGAACTTACATGTCAACCTTAATTTCTGTTTATGGGCTTTATTCCCCCCACAAAATCGAGCACTGAATTCGAACGCTTGGGCTTCATGTTTCGTAAGCTCGGGTGATCGTTCCTGGAGTAATTCTCGTCAGATAGAGCCTAAGAACGTAAGAATCGAGCGAGAACTTACCTGTTAGTCTCATTTTCTGGTAAAAGACATTATTTTTTTGCAGAACCGAACGCTGACTTTGAACGGTTGGGCGTGATGTTTCGCAAACTCGGAAGGTTGTTCCTGAGGTAATTTCCGTCAAATAGAGCCCAAGAACATAATATACGAGTAAGAACTCACTTGTTGAGCTCAATTTCTGCCAATAGACTCGATTTTCCCGCAGAACTGAAATTTGAACGGATGGGCGGTCCGTTTCGTAAACTTGGGAGGCGCTTCCTGTAGTAGTCAGCGTCAGATCAAGCCCATGAACATGAAATTCGAGCCAGAACTCACGGAGTAAATCCATTTTTGGTATGGTCTTCTGGAGGGAGGACTTGCCAAACCTCGTTGATGCCGGAGATAGCTGGTGGACGTGGAGATAAGATGGCGGGGCACGTTCTGCCTCCTTAGATACATATAATGGCACAGGCTAAGATGAGAAGCGGGATGGGGTCATCGGTCAAGGGATCGGGGCAAGTGGCCGAGGCAAGAACTTGTAAGCTGTGGCCCGGGAAGTCAAGAAGATAACCGAGGACTGTCTCTTGATGCACATGGGACCGTCTTTTTCGAGGCTTGCGACGGTTTCGCAAAGCGCGGGAAAAAAAATTGGCAGAGGATCTCGACGCATCTTGCAGCAAAAAGACGGTCCCAGCTGGTCCCTGCTGAGGAAAAAGACTTGAAAAAGACAGTCCGTCAGAACCCTGCCGGTGGTGGCTAATCAGGACTACTCACCAGTTCTAGAACTGTACCCTGACGTGACATGGACCCTAGTTTTCGCTTGATTGATCTCCTCACTGCCAAAGCGAGGCTGAAGCATCGTTGTAAATTAATGTACACTGGCAAAATATAAAGCCTTGCATATCGAAAGTCAGTTTACTCGGGGCCCACCAAACATCTTTCTCACCGTCTGAGCTGTAAGCTTTGCCCTGTCCACCTCGTTCCCTCTCCAGAGTCCAAGCACAATGTCGGTGATCTCGCCAAACATTGACCCTGTCGTGGATGTGACGCCCTCCCACTCCTATGATCCTGTGCAGTCTCCTCAAGCCATGATGTGAGTAGTTGATCCAGATTTTTGAATTCCATTTTGTGTATGGGCAAACATACCTGTGTTTGTAATCTGAATTCCGCCCCTCCTCCTCCCATTTCCCTTCTCCTTTGTTTGGCTGCTACTGTTCCAACCTTCATCTTCTGTGTGTGGGTGTTTGCACCGTCCGCGCGAGCGCTCGTTCATTTTGCTTTGTGCGCTGTTCGGGTGAGGTCCCTTTGAGGTCCCTTTTCGAGCCCTACCCTTTCTTGGCGGGATCTGGTCACAGATCGGTCACAGTGATCAGACTGTCTTTTTCGTCGGTCGCAGCCTTACTTCCCCTATTCTTTACCCGCCGAACACCAATATGTCTACAAACGTCATTGTGCACGCACACATTGTTCAAGAGATTGCGACGGAAACTCTAGCTATACCTGTGACTTGCACTGCGAATTTGACCGTTCTTGACATTGCTCATTCGACGGAGCAACAAGACTCTCTCCGTCCATTCAGTGGCATATCCCTTATCTCACCTTCACCATCCGAGGCGCTCGAAACGATAGTCACGCTCAGTACTGATTTGGATCCTCTAAGTTTGACTTTTTCTGTGCCACCCAACGACGAACCCATGGACGCTGTGCAGACCCTCCGCAAAGAGCTACTGGAACTGAGTGGCAAGGTATCGGTGCTTCAAGGGGAATCAAGAACTAAATCTGAACAAATATCTACGCTCGAGGGAAAAGTGTCCGAACTGGAGGCAGATGTGGTACCACTAGCAGATGCGATACAGCTACAATGCGCGATGGACGTTTGGCTTCATGAAAACGGATTCAGCGCGCAGAGCGGTCCTCGCAAACTCTGGGTTTCCAGGAACAAAGCACGCCTGTCAAAGTCATTGCAGATGCCAGAAGCAGAACTTGAAGATTTCTTCAAGTATGATTATTCCCCCCTATTTGTACCTATTCTGACTTCTGACTTCAGGTGTTACCGACGACTGGGCGACAGCAAGGCCCATATCGTCATGTCGAATGGCGTGGCGCGTGCCGTCACACGCGTTACGCAGAATCATAATGACAACGCCCGCTTCTGTCATCTTTTCAGTTCCCTTTTCAAGCACACAGTCGATGCAGAGTTGGATCAAGCCCAAGTCTTTGTCACACGCCTTGATTCAGGGAGGGATGTCCTGCCGTCGGACAGGAAAAAGAAATTACGCAAAGCCTTGGTGTGAGTAGTCCTTTGATTTTACCCCAAATTATGCCACTGATCTTTTTCCAACAAGATGATCAATTTCCTTGCACAAAATGGATGCATACACTCTATACTATTCCTTTACATCTTTGTGTGTGCTTGCTTTTCGTGTGTTATTTTCTTTTCGTACATGCCATACATAGCAATGGCCCACACCAACAAATAGTCAACCTTCTTGCATACCCCCCTTCCAAAAAGCTTCACAGTCAGCTTGTCAAATACCCCCAGGAAGTTGTGCCTGCTATGGATCAAGTGCTAAAACATGATGTTAGAGCTTGCAGACATGAATCAACACACAGGTGTGGAAGGAATGGAGGGCACTGATGGAGATGAGCAGATTTCTGATATCATGGGTAAGATATACAAAGTCAGGCCTTTTGAACTTAGACCGTGAACAAGAGAGATTTGAACCCAACAGGTATGCTCCTGGTCAATTTTACCTGGTGTAGACTAACATAATGCCTCTCAGATACTGATAAACTGGTGGCCATCAAAGGACTGGTCATCCGCGCAACGCCAGTTATCCCTGACATGAAAGTTGCCTTCTTTCGCTGCCTTAGCTACTCGCATATCGTCCAGGTTGAAATTGACCGCAGTAAAATCGAAGAACCAGCCAGGTATCCTCATGATATTTGTGGATCGGTGGGGACAATGTCGCTTGTGCATAACCGATGCGAGTGTGCCGACTGACAAGTGATACACCTGCAAGAGACTCCCGACTCAGTGCCTGACAGACAAACACCTCATACCATATCTCTCAGCATTTACAACGAGCTCGTTGATGTATTGAAGCATGGGGACTGCTTAGTTGTGACAGGCATTTTCCGCAGCATACCTCTCAACGTGAACCCCCACCAATGAACCATGAAAAGTCTCTTCAAAACATACCTTGATGTTGTCCAAATCAAGCTGGGTGGAGGTGGTACCCTTGGCTTTGACAAGACTACCCGACTCCCAGGGGGCGACCGTGTTCCAGGGGTTTGTTGTGTTGGTGACGGGGAGGGACGAAGATGAGGAAAGCAGAATTGAAGGTCGACAGAGCCAGAAAGCTGAGTTGGAGGAAACATTGAAGGAACTCACTCATTGACCTTGATATCTATGAGCTATTAGCCCAGTTGCTTGTCCCGTCAATATGGGAGATGGATGACGTGAAGAAGGGGATTTTGTTACACCTGTTTGGTGGTACTTATAAGAGCATTTCAAGCAGTGGTGGAGGTGGTGGGCCGAGGTACAGAGGTGACTAGTGATGTGCAAGGGTTTGCAAACCCTTAGGGGTACAAGGGTAAGGGTAGGGAGGGTAAGGGTAGAGGTTAGGATTTTCTGACCCTCAAAAAACCCCAACCCTTGACAAGGGTTGGGGGTTTTTGTGAGGGTAAGTCAAGGGTCAACAGATTATGTAATAGATCATGTGAGCCGCATGAGCGGTGTTTGCCAGGAACGTTACATACATCAACAACAAACAAACACTTTTCTTTCTCAACTACCACTATCCACATTGACGACCACCCGCAACCGCGACCAACAACCCCACCTTCTGCAACCACCGCCGTTCGACGTTCTGAACCACCATCGCACACGTCGACAACAACGACAACATGGCAACGCCACGTCAGCAGCCCAACGGCTGACAGCGACCTGGCACGTCAATGGACGTGCCACGTCGTCCAGACGGTGACGACGCAATCATCGTCACTGCCCACATTAGTTCAGGTGCGCAATGTGATCCCTCCCCTGCACCCTTTCCTTTCTTCACACAACAAACAGGTGCCACATCAGTGACGTGACAACCGACAACGACCAAACCACACTTTAACCACCGCCACCTTCCCCAACCGTGGTTCGACGCCCCGAACCACCACTACACATGCCAACAACAACAACAACGAGGCGACGCCACATCACCAGCTGAATGGATGACAGGTGACGGTGACGACCTGGCATGTCAACGAGTGCCCAACACCATGAAAAGTGACGAATGCCCAGCACCACCACTCGAGCCCAGGTGAGTCGTTACAACCCCATCATCTCACTCCTTCCTTTGACATTGAATCCAGGTGCTACGTCGCTGTTAGCAACGTGGCAACCAAACGACGAACAACGGCCAATTCGTCGTTCGTCGTTGTCATCCATCTTATGACCCACCGGTGAGCACCCCTGTCCCAACCCACGTCTCTAACATGTCCCCCACAGATTACATGACACAATGATGACACCGCGCTGCAACGACGACACGACGACAATGACAGTGGACGGTCGAACGACCGACACAATGACATCTGATGACACGACAAAAAGAGGGGGGCGTCACCTTGACTTATGTACTGATTGATTAGACTACATAGTGTACATTATACTTGACCCTAACGTTCACCCGTTGTGGGTTTTCGACCCCCCAAACCCTGTACAAACCCCTACCCCCACCCCTGAAATACCCTTACCCATGGAAAGGGTATGGGTTTGCATCGGGTAAGGGTAAAGGTAGGTGTGAAAACACCCGCGGGTTACCCGTGCTCATCACTAGAGGTGACATCAATGTCCTTCCCATTGGTGGCCCTGGTTCTCAAATTCTCCAGGAATGCTTTCCAATTACACTTGTTTCCGATCCTTCTGACATACTTGCAGTATGTTCACAAGATCACCCCTCATGTGTAGTTGGCTTATGTTACGCGCGATCCGGATTTAAAGCTCCTTTCCTTGCATTTTCGGCTCACCCCACTACCCCTTTTCCTATCTGAACACTATAATTATTGTATTGGTTGACGTTGATCATTACCCTCGACAGATTGTTGAGTATGGATCCTGCCAATGCTGTCTTGGACCCAGCGACTACTACTGCACAGGAAGAACGATCTCTAGCCACCTTTCAAAACCTTTCTCTTGCCTCACCCCCAATTTATCCAACTCAGTCAAGCGATTCTGAGATGGTTGGTCCAGGAGTTAAGCAGCCTACGTCGGTGCAGGAGTTTTATGCTGCCAGGACTTCATTATGGCCAAAACTGCTAGAGGTGAGCTCAAAACTGGATAAACTCGAAACTGACATGAACATGAAGTGGAATTTGGAATGCATTCAGATCCTAAGCCTTCTACCTCCGTTGGACTCTACTATGTTGGCATGCCTAGTGGACAAGTTCTTGCATATGTTCACACCACTTGAAAGCGGTCAGAGAAAGGCATGGGTCCAGTCCAAGATCAACGAGCTTTCGCAAGCCTCCAGGATTTCTGTGGCCAATATTGTGGAATTTATGTGAGAATATTGTTTGCTCACTTTTTCGTATCTGTGCACCATGCTTATATTACTGTTCATCCAGGATTGTCCACGTGTCAAGGGTTGAGCGAGGATTATACTCCTTCCTGTCCAATAGCATTGCACGCGCCATCACTTGCATCACAGACGACTATGAGCAGTCCATCTTCAAAGCTTTGTTTCTATTGGAACTGAACCATACCATTGATGATGAATTAGAAGATGGGTACACATTCGTGACTGATGTAGTTGGCTGCATAAGGACAGGCCAGTGGGAGAGACTTGAGCCTTTGCGGCTCTGCAGTTGAAGATTGCCTCTGCTTCCAAGTCATTTTATATGTTCCAAATAGCAATTTTCAGCTATGTCATACAGTAAACATGGTTTGCTCTAACTTGAGAAGTTAAGCATGCTTCCAGTTATGAGAATCAGAAATTCTTTGGAACTTTGCCATCAGGGAATGCCTCCCTGCTGAGATCCATAAGACGACAACAATGTTCCTCCGCCAGTAAATCGGCACGGGCGCCGGGACCATTGACCCCCCAGTCTGACTGGAGAGTGGCTGAAAGCATTCATTAGAATCACTGAAGCAAGAAGAAATTTATGGTTGATTTACTGTTGGATATTAAGGCACGTTCAGCCTCCTCATTTGATTTAACACACCTGGCTTCGTCCTCTTCATGTACCGCCTTCATGAGATCCTCGACTGAGGTCTTGATGTTTAATTTGACAAGTGCGGCCACGAGGGAGGGGATAAGAATGATCTGATTCTTGCAACTGTCTGGAGCTGGAGGTGGAGGGGGAAACATTGTAAGTAGGGCTGCGCACTGTGCCCATCATAGACAGGTTGATGGACGGGTCTGATGGACAATTACCTGTTCCGTTTGGGCTTGCTGAACACCTGTTTTTATCCATCACATGACAGCCATAATGGCCATCAGATGGGTCATTGACACATTCTGTGATTTTACCCACAATTAGTGTACCATCTATTGACAATATATGAAGTGCTTCATTATTAAATTTTCGCATATCTCTGTCAATGCTAAATGTCTCCAGGTGGGCCCAAATACAACCAGAATGGTGCTGACTCATCACAATTGAAACCCCGCAAAAGGTCTATTCACACCTCGAGCTCATGATTTGCTGTTTGAAGGTCCAAATCTTTATTATTTGTGCTTAATATCTCTTCTTACATCTACCAGGTACCCAAAAACAAAAGAAAAACAGTTAAAAAAATTTATACATTGAAAGGGTGGGCAAACATCCGCACAACCCGTTTACGGCCGTTTTTTGCCTGCCTGTTCCCATTCTGACTTTTGAGTTGCAAATTTACGCCCGTCGATCAATGGCTGTCCCTGTCAAATGGACGGTGCACAGCCCTAATTGTAAGGAACAGAGTCTCAGATACAAAAAAAGGGGTATGTGTATGGGCAGATAGGGGTTCGAACCCCTCACCTTCACGGTGGGAACATGGGTGCTGACCATCTGCCTTAAATTCTCCTGTCCTCTTAATACCCATAGGATGTCGCTTCTGCTCTATATGATCACAAGCATGTTCCAAGGACAGGTTTGTCTAAAATTTGAATTGGGGTGATTCTTTTGGAATAGATTGTTTGAGATGTGGGCCGCAACTGTAGTTTTTATTGGGTGCGGCGTATATTGGGTAAAGTACACGCCAATTACCTCCTGCTATACGCCTTTATTGATGAATACAAAGGCCTCCACTCTGGCAACACTATCTGTTCATGGCTGGCTGGTTTATGCAGCTGGCATATCATGAATCATGCACCTTGGTATGGTGATGACAGTTGGGTCCATCTGGCTTGCATTTCCACCAACAAAGAGGGTACAAAGCACAAGCATCCTCTCTGTGCTCCTGTCTCTATCAAGCACCTCTCTTGTTTATGTCATGCTTTGAATCTCTCTGATCCCTTCCACACTGCCATTTGGGCTGTCACCCTCATTACTTTTTTCAGTTGTCATCGTCTGGGTGAAACTACTGTGGTATTTCAAACAACTGTTCAGCCAATGTGATGTGTGATAGCCTTGAACAGATGGGAGGGGTGTTTGAAATTGGGATGACTGTGTGACATAGCAACAAAAGTGTTCAGCCAGCAGCAATGTTCATTGAGCAGTTGACATGGCATGTAGTAGCAACCTTCTTGCCTCCTCCACAAACTCCCAGATTAGTGAATGGTATATAATTTTGGGGTAAATGTACACTGCACAGTGGAAAAAATGAATTTTTGGAGACAGTTTCCTTTTTTGGGTAAAATGTCACCCTATTCGACCTTCTGAGTGACCGTGACAAGTGTCAAGATCTTAAGCACCCGTCCACAGATAAGATAACTGTTGCGTAGTATCCAGAGAAGATGTCCAAGAAATTTGTGCACACAAATTTCTAGGTTTTGCAAAGATCCTGTCCAGAATCAAAGGTGTGCGACCAAGGTCTGAGCATTCAAAGAGCTCAATTGTGCTTGCCAAGCCAACTGCCTGTGCCAACCCAAGTGTAAGCTCACACTGGCAGGTTGGTGAGGCAAGGAGCCAGGCAGACAACCCAATTGAGCATCACTCAGAGAAAAGGGTTAAGTTGTGAATAATATTCAGAGGGGTGGGCAGTAAAGTAGACAATGTGCTAAAAAAGGTTACAAGTTTTAAGGGGAGGAATTGTCAAATAAGGAAGAAGGAATTTTGTGAGAAATACAAAACTCTTCAAAAATAGAAGCAAGGTGGTCAAGGTGTGCTTTATTGTAAGCTTTTGAGGTGGACATGGGTAGGATCTCATCCATATAGTACCAATAAAGTAAAAATGCAAGGGATGTCCAGCCCCCAGTTGCAGTGACGATTTCAGGGGGAACCCCTGCAAGCAACAACTCAACAGTGCCGCCAATGCGGAAACTGTGGCCCAGAACATGGGCAAGCATGGCAGAGGACCAAATGTTAGTGACAAAGTGGAGAAATTCGTGCTTGAGGAGGTTCTTGGGTTTGCCATAGGATGAAGTGTAAGCAAAAAGGGTTGAGGAAGGTGGGACCAAGGAGTTGACCTCAAGATGGTTCTTGAAGGCAGTGATGGGACAAAGAGGGTTGCTGTCATGACGACCAGTAAGGATGACAGTAGCCCCAAGCTCTCTTGTGGTTTTGGTCCATGGAATATCAAAGCTTGCAGAGCACACACCATCATGCAGGGAACGAAATGAAATTCTAGGAAATAGTAAGAAAGAAGAGAAGATAGAGAATGGCAAAAGAAGAGGCATACTTTACAGAGTGCAGTACATGGAGCTTTGGGTCAAGTGCCCCAGCAACAGTGAGGGTACATCAGGAGGTGCTGACTTGGGTCAGTAGCTCCAAATACCCTTAGTACACTGAATACCTGGGTACTAGTGCTTGGAAGTCCAGTCCCAAGACTGAAAAAAGACTGAGACTGGACTGGACCGAGACTGCCCAAGACCGGAAATTCCCAGGACCGTCGAAGACTGCAACCGCGGTCTGGTCTTCGGTCTATGTGGCCTCATGGCATCTTCATGCGACCCCTCAGTCAATGACAACATCAAGGACAACATGCATGACACAAGGGAATGGAAGGAAGGCGGCTCAGTCTCATGGCGACAATGTCACCGCCCTTGCAGCACTGATAGAAGCCCTGCTTTGCTTGTTCATTGTGCCTTTTTGTAAGCTCTAAACGCCAAAACATCACTCCTTCATCTCACTGACCCTGTGTTGTTCATCTTCAAGTTGCCAGCTGAATTCAGCCAATACAACCACCCCCTCACCTACGTTCATTGGTACACACTCCTCCAACGCACCCCCAATGATTTCGACACCAACATGTTCACAAATCTTCGCCATCACAACTTCTCCCTTCTATGATATTTAGTTGATCTTCATGTATTTCGGAAGTCTCTTCGCCACACAAAATAACAATTTTTTCTTTTGAACTTCATTCCTTTTTGCTCTTCTTTATAACTATGGCTGCTTGTTGGCTTGCAATACTTCTTCTATTGAAGCTACCAGTCTCCAGTGAAAGGATGTTGGGACTACTGACACTTGCCAGACAAATATTGGAACTACTGACACTTGCTGGACAGCTACTCAGGAAATGTACATGCAAGGTCAACTACCCAGATAAGTTGTGGCTACTGCCTGCTATGGCGAAGAATCAAAAACTACCAGTGCAATAGATTTCACTGAGAAACTACTTATAAATTCACTGTTTCCTGATGTAGTTTCACCCAGACAACAACAACTGAAAAAAGTAATGAGGGTGACAGCCCAAATGGCAGTGTGGAAGGGATCAGAGAGATTCAAAGCACGACATAAACAAGAGAGGTGCTCGATAGAGACAGGAGCACAGAGAGGATGCTTGTGCTTTGTACCCTCTTTGTTGGCAGAAATGCAAGCCAGATGGACCCAACTGTCATCACCATACCAAGGTGCATGATTCATGATATGCCAGCTGCATAAACCAGCCAGCCATGAACAGATAGTGTTGCCAGAGTGGAGGCCTTTGTATTCATCAATAAAGGCGCATAGCAGGAGGTAATCAGCGGGCATGCGAGCCTCCTCAGAAATAGCCCACTTGTTACAGAATTGAGTGAAGTGGAGTGGACCAGCAGCATATGTTGACTTGGTATTAGGAGCTAAGGCTCCCCTGACAGCCATCATAGCAGAGTTGACAAGGGGAGCAGGTAGCGTACATGTGATTTTGTCATAATGGTGGGAACCAAAGGGCGTATGCCAAGAGAAAATGCGATCTGCCACAGGGACATGGGGGCAAAGTTCATTGTGAGTGATAGATCAGCCAGCATGGGGTTTACAAGCATGTGTGACATGTGAAGAGGGATGGCAGAGGTTGGATAACACAGGTGGGCAGTGGGGATCAAGATAAGTTTTAGTGGAGGAATTGGGAAGGGAACAAACAGGATGGTTATGTGTGAGGCTAGTGTTTAAAGGTTCAGTTCAGTCCGGTTTTTTGCCCCCAAAATGCGCAACCGTGGACCGCAACCGGTCCAGGACCGACCCAGATATTGAGGGAACCGAACCGAACCACCTAGGACCGGTCTTTTGCGGTCCATGATACCGGTTCAGACCGATCCAGACCGGTTTTTTTGCGTATAATTTATTATATCAATATAAACCATTTGTATCTCAACCATTATTACTCTGAAAAATAAACGGGTTATATAAAATAGTAAAGCATATAAATACCCGTCATTCTACCAATTTTCAAGAGATTTAATGAAGATTTGACATAGCTATGACTGAAACTGAATTACATCTCCTAGAGACTTGGGTAAAATATGGATTTGGTTATATCTTTCTCAATTCTTAACCGTTTTTGATGAAACAAAAACCCAATAAAAGGAAATAAACGTGGTTACAAGGCTATGTAACGCACGTGACCGTTTAACCGGTTGCAACCGATTAAAACCGGTCGTTGAACGGTTTTAAAAGATTTTCGAAATGAGGCAACCGGCAACCGGACCAACCCCAAATTGGGGCAACTGCAACCGAAAAAAAGACCGGTCCATGGTCCAGTTCAGTTCAGTCCACCGGTTTTTTGCGGTCCTATGGACTGAACCTTTAAACACTATGTGAGGCAGACAGTAGCTGGCAAAGACAAAGGAGAACATTGGAAAGGGTGGAAGGAATTTTGAGGATGCCTGGGGCATGGTGAGATAGTGTTGGGGGATTGTTTCTCACCCACAGACCTCTCAGCGACACTGGTTGACAAGGTGAGTTTTCAGTTGAGACTAAACATGAAGGAAACAGTTGGCTAGCTCCCTTGGGAGCGTAAAAGTCAGGAAGA